GCTGCCTGAGAATGAGACATAAAGCTATGGAGAGAGTAAGAATTGGCTCTAGGGACTAATGACTGCCCAGTGCTGCTCCAAGTCCCTTTGGCAGCATGGATGGAAGAGCTGACTGAAGACGTTTTGCTGCCTGATGTGAAACAGCAGATGCCTTATCCCTGCTACACATACACCTCCAAGTCAAGGTGCACACTATCCAAGGCTGGAATTTTGTTTTTGGTCACCTGAGGCAGAAGATTCCACAAACACCTCTTCCTGTGAACAAAGAAGGGCCTTCTGGCGGTTCCCTCATTGCGAGACGTGAGGTAATAGGGAACCAGACAGAGGGCCTTCTCGGTAGTGGCGCCCGCCCTGTGGAATGCCCTCCCTTCAGATGTCAAGGAAATAAGCAGCTATCTTATATTTAAAAGACATCTGAAGGCAGCCCTGTTTAGGGAAGTTTTTAATATTTAATGCTGTATTGTTTTTAACACTTGATTGGGAGCCGCCCAGAGTGGCTGGGGAAACTCAGCCAGATGGGCGGGGTATAAATAAATAAATTATTATTATTATTATTATTATTATTTCTTTGTTTCTAGACTTCATGTATGGAGTTTATATGCCCAAGTTCTGTTTCAGCTGCACCTCCATTCTAGAGGATGCCCCAGCCTTCAGAAGAGGTTTTTTGGGGGTCTTCATTGCAGGGGAGTTTATGAATCCCATAACTTGTGGGAAAGCCACACACAGGACTTCGGATCTCAGTCATTGTTTTAACTGAAGTGAACTCACTGAGCAGGCTCCTAGCTTCCTTTGTAGAACTGCCATCATAGAGAGGAATGGTTATTACCATAGAAAAACCATAGCAATGCAAGTATTAGTTACATGCATGCTAATTGCCATCACAACTGTCTATTTCAATTCCTATAAAATCTATGGCTCACCCCACAATCCATAAAGTACTGATTAAAATTAAATTGCCGTTCTAAACCAAGTGCTGTCAGCAAAAATAATAAAAATCAATGGGGCTGTGCTACAGAAAGTAAATTTAGGAGCAAAACCTTAGCCTTGTGCTGTTTTTCTCTTTGGATCCCTTCACTTCAGTAATTAACTGTGTGATTAAATCTATTTTACACTTTAAATGAGCATTATCTATTAACCTTGCATCCATAATGTTTGTCGTTATTCAGAATTCAAAACAATTACACGGAATCAGTTTCTCTACATAATCTACAAGATTTAAATTTTTGATGGCAGCACCTGCCTCCTCTTACCTCTTTTTAGAGTGTAGTCAGAATGAAGTTAATAACAACTGGGGTTGCCACTGAAATTCCACATAAATTCCACCATTCAGGGTGGTTTTTTGTGGGTGCGGGGAAGAGCTCCATCTTGAGTGAAACATCAGAATAACTGGAAATGCTTTCACTAAACCCAGTGAACTTTCTCATGAGGGTTCTATACATTTCTAAATTGGTGACAGCCTGAGAGGTACAAGCATGAAGATGAGTCTGTTTGTTTTTTTGGTAGTAAACAAGCCTTTGTTGCACATCCAGTGAATGGGTGAGGGCCAACTTGTGATCATGTCTGTTGTCCCTGCTCCTGATTGCCACATGTTTACAGCACATGCATGTTTATGCACCATATGCACAAAGAGGGACCATGACTTCTGTTGGGTTCCTGATTTTGTAGATGAAACCTGAGTGCATATAGCTGGTATGTATGTAAATATTATTAAGACGGGGGAGGGGGATTCATACAATTCCCACCACACATTCTTGGATGTGTCCTCTTTCCATCTCACAGGGTGGTTGCTGGCATGCCTCTATCCTGGGAGACAATGGAAGAGTGGGCTTTCAAGAGTAAAGTCAAATTATAATGCCTGCTGTGGCAATGAGACTGATAGGGGAGAGACATGTTTTATTGAAGGTGGGGTGGATGAAGGCATCCAGTTTTGCTGCCACAGGGGCACCATGATGTTTATTCTCTCGGTACTCTTTCCAGCGGCCATCCTTCCTCTGGTCACTGCTGTAGATACACAACCTGACTCCAGGAACTGTGATCATCTGCAAGGGATTCCCATATGGCATGATTAATGTTGCCAGCCTTCATGTCACCTTTGCCATCTCTGTAACACAGAGTTGGTCTGCCAACAGGCCTAGTGCCTGAAGCCAGCACCCCTTGGAGCACGTCCCTGGGGATCCTGCCATCTTCCATTCTATGTACATGACCAAGCCAGTGTAGACACTGCTGAGACAAAAGTGTGAACTTGCTGGGGATGTGGGCTTGGGAGAGCACTTATTTAAGACTCAGACCTGCCATGTGATGCCCCAAATCTTTCTGGCATAGCACATATGGAAGGCATTGAAGCACCCACACATTCCGCCTGTGTGAGTAGGGGCCCTATGTGCAATAGAGTGATTGGGTCAGGATCCTGCCTCGTGAGGAAGAGCTCTACATGCCAGTGTCAGGGCATGCACAGTGTTCTCTCCCATGCATGGACAGGATGACATGACTATTGGGTTTATCAATGGCAAGGCTAGTCCATGCATGCTCTCTTGTCCCTTGGCATAGCTGGGAGGTTATCTGAAGAATGAATGAAAGGTACAATCAAGATTTCACTTCACACATATTGGGAGAAATTCAATGTCACACTGTTACAAGTGTTCCATCACTGCAAGAACTTCTGCCTGCCCAACAGTACAATCTCCCTTGAACTCCCCCCATACATTATTCGCATGGGGGGGGGGGTCCTCCTCCACCCCAAGTCATTTACAGGGTTTGAGGGGTGTGAAAGGAAACCAGAGGGAGGAAGCACTAGTTGAAATCAGGATCACAGGCCTGGAAGGTATCATGCCAACTGACCCAACAATCCTATGACACTATGTTTTGTTTACGCCAAAGGGGAGGGACTTGATTAATGTTATCAAATGTAAGGTAAAGGTAAAGGGACCCCTGACCATTAGGCCCAGTCGTGACCGACTCTGGGGTTGCAGCGCTCATCTTGCTTTATTGGCCAAGGGAGCCGGCGTACAGCTTCCGGGTCATGTGGCCAGCATGACTAAGCCACTTCTAGTGAACCAGAACAGTGCATGGAAACGCCGTTTACCTTCCTGCCGGAGCGGTACCTATTTATCTACTTGCACTTTGATGTGCTTTCGAACTGCTAGGTGGGCAGGAGCAGGGACCGAGCAACGGGAGCTCACCCCGTCACGGGGATTTGAACCACCAACCTTCTGATCGGCCAGTCCTAGGCTCTGTGGTTTAACCCACAGCGCCACCCGCCTCCCTTATTATCAAATGTACAAGGAAGTTATCAAATGTACAAGGGAGCTATTCTATTCCTTCTCTTGGTGCACCATTGTTATTATTTTGATTTTTGCCTTTCAGATAGACAACTTAAGTGTCTCCATGTGATAACTGACTGAGTTACATGGCAATCTAACATTTCAGAATTTTAACAGTGTGTTGCTAGTTCATAACACTTCACTTTTAACATAATTGGGCCAAGATACAGCTAGCATTTGCATTATGACTTAAGACTGCTTTTCTTGCTCTAGCTGCATTCTTCTCCAAAAAGAATATTGTCTGTTTTATCCAACAAAAAGAAATAAAGGCAATTTTAAAGTCTTAATCTAAAGGATTTAATAATGTAGTAGTCAAGAGGAGCAAAATAGCATATATATTTTTCAAGCAAGAAAAAGGAATGCGAGAGATATTGTTAGCAAGTCTAAATGTTGGAAATACTGGTGCTGTGTATGCAAAAGTGAGAATGAGTTTATTCTATTCTATACATGGATTCTATTCCCACATATGCAGTCTGAGAAAATGTATGTATTTTGTTTGATGTTCTGCCAACAACAAGTACTTTACCTTCCAGAATTCCCCACAGTTTTAAATTCTTTTTTCCCAAGAATGTTTATGAGTTTTACAAAATCATTAGAGATAAGAACTTTCTGTGTAACCAAGGATGTGAAACCTGTGACCCTCCTGACTCCAGGTGTTCATGAACTACATTTCCCCTTCTCCCATGCTGACTGAGATCTATCAAAGTTTGACTACAACAATATCTAGGTTCTCCATCCCTGAAAACATTTTTTTAGATTAAAAAAACAAAACCACACACTCTGAATTATTCTCCCTATTACCTAAATTAGAAAGTATTAGTCTCAAGCAGAATCAAAATCATAGACTAAAACTTGGGAATATAAAAGTAAATTCAGCACAATTCCAAATGCAGTGATTTTGTGATTAAGAAAAACAACCCCAAGTTTAGATGTAATTGTGACCATATCAAGGAATAAAGAGGCAAGATACAAGTGATGGGTTGAACTAGAGCTACGTTAGCTTTAAACGACATCTGCAGGGGAAATGAGAAGAGTAGGAGCCTAACTTTACAGTATGATGAGGAATACTCCCAAAGCCTGGGCCCCACTTCATGGTTAGTAGGGAGGGCTCTCTGCTCCACACAGCCAGGAGCCATACAACTCTGAGCAGGTGTGTGGCAGGCGAAGCTCAATAGAATTCCATATTCAGGGTTAAAGCCTCACAACCTAGAGCAAATCTTCTCTGGGAACACCCCTCAAGTTCAAAGGTGCCTAAGGGTGCTCACCTGTTACCTTATCTACTTTAAGCATTCCTGCACATCCTGCCCAACAAAGCAACCAACTTATCAATGAATTCTAATTAACCGACTCAACCTATCTAACAGCACTGACCCTTAAACACCAACAACCTCTGAATCCAGTAGAGAGTAGGCAGCCCTGTTTAGGGAAGTTTTTAATATTTAATGCTGTATTGTTTTTAACACTCGATTGGGAGCCACCCAGAGTGGCTGGGGAAACTCAGACAGATGGGCAGGGTATAAATAATAAATTATAATAATACGGTAATATTATTATTATAGGTGAAAATACCTGCTTAGCCAAATGTGCAGACAAGCAAGAAATTCCTACTTGCCCCCAAAGCGACTGGTGAACCTATACTGTAACAGAGGGTGGGTGCACGAAACATACCAAAGAGGCATGGCTCAGTTGGCTCAGTCAGTAGAGCATGAGACTCTTAACCTCAGGGTTGTGAGTTTGAGACCCACGTTGGGCAAAACATTCCTGAATTGCAGGGGATTGGAATGGATGATATTCATGGTCCCTTCTGACTCTACAATTCTATACAACCACAACCCACAGACAATGGCACTGGCATGTGCACAGACACTGAACAGCATCGTCTCCCCAATCCCTTGCCAGCTACAAGAATGCTCTTGGATGCAGTGTTGCCTGGCTGTTAGGACTGGACAAGTAAGCTGTTACATGAAACCTAAATTAACTTGCTGACTAATTGATAAATATAATAACTGAAAATAATGAATAGGAACATAATATTGAGCCAAGAAAAAAAAAGTTGTTGTCCTAGTTATCTGATCATACGCATGATACTGAAATAAAAAGGTGGTATCTCACCTGGTGCTTGCAACTGAGATGCCTATTTCAGCATAATTGTATGGACAGTGTGTTTGGAAATGATCCCTTCCTTTGAATTTGTACAAAACACATTGAATTTGCCACTATAATAACTTCACAGGCACAGAATATCTAACAAGAATGTTAAGAATGAATACACAATTCTTTCCTAAAGAATAAATATTGAAAATCTGTGCAAAAAGAAAACTTTAACACACTTGCTTTTTAGGGCAGAAGCATGTTTGGCATATGAAAGGTAATTTCACATATAACAGTAATATAATAATTACACCTGAATCCCATTGCATAGATGTGCACTGGATTTTAAATAACCAAGATGGTTTCCATCAAGTTTTTAAATACTGAATAGCAGTATCTTGTATGGCTATAAAACAAGAAAGGCAATTCCTTTCACTTTGAAAAATAATAATACCGTAGCCATAAAACTGTGGTTTTGGATTGAAAGAACAAGTGAAAGCAAAATTTTAGCTCCTTTCTATCAACCCTATTTGTTCAAACAATCTCTATCCTGTTGCAGTCATTTTCTTCTGCAAACCACAGAGCTGTAATGCACATAGTGCAGCTGTTCCACTGCCCCCCACCCTGTGCACTGAAATGGAGAGACTATTCACTGGTTTTCTTTTCAGCACACGGGTACATGCACAGCACTTCAGTGCTCAACCACACAGACCCATTTCCACATGCAATCTTTCCACTCCCAACCTTTAACTTTAAGTGCAGATGCACACCCTTTTGCACATAGGTACATCTGCATGAAGGGACGCGGGTGGCGATGTGGGTTAAACCACAGAGCCTAGGACTTGCCAATCAGAAGGTCGGTAGTTCGAATCCCCGCGATGGGGTGAGCTCCCATTGCTCGGTCCCTTCTCCTGCCAACCTAGCAGTTCGAAAGCACGTTAAAGTGCAAGTAGATAAATAGGTACCGCTCCGGCAGGAAGGTAAACGGCGTTTCCATGCACTGCTCTGGTTCGCCAGAAGCGGCTTAGTCATGCTGGCCACATGACCCGGAAGCTGTACGCCGGCTCCCTCGGCCAATAAAGCGAGATGAGCGCCGCAACCCCAGAGTTGGTCTCGACTTAATGGTCAGGGGTCCCTTTATCTTTACCTTTACCTACATCTGCATCAAGATCCTATCTACTTCCTTCTATTCTTCCTTGGACAAGGCACACTGAACTGCCTCTGATTAAAACCCATATTTCCAAGGGAACTCCTTCGAGTCTCATTCCAATTATATGTGAGAATGATACAAAACGATTTTGTCTCTTTTTGCCCTAGATACATAAAGACTAGATGATTGATTCTTACCCAGGTCTGCTAAACTCTTATTCACCAGCGGCAAAATGTTGTTTGTGTTAATATGCTTAGGTTTTGTGGTATTTTGCCCGAAACCTCATCATCCACGTTGCTGATTGATTGCCATGAGCTCGGCATGCAACCATTTACTGTTGCTGCTTGTGGAGCAGATGCGATACAGATCCTCAGGCTCTCTTTCACTGGTAGCTAAAAATGTCTCCGACAACAGTCTCATTACAATTAATTTCTGTTTCAGTTATTTTGTGATTATTTTGTGATGTTAATTGGCATCCAGCAGAGGTATTTTTGTTATGCCTTGATTAGAAGCCTTCTATATCCTCTGCGTATCAGCTTGGATATACTGCATTATGTTCCAAAATGCTATCCCTAAAGAGGCTGTAAATCACTTTCATATACATTTGACTCTACATCTCCTCTCTACCTAGCCATCCACAGCGGGATGTGAATTGCACAGCTATCTGAAGTTAGTGGGGGGAAATTCCCAGTGAGTCAAATGGATCTGAAAGTGATGCAAATATTCAAAAGACTGCAAAGTTACTTTAGATTTGAAATGCTTGCTGAATCTGTATGGGGAATGAAAAGCAAACTTATGGAGATGATTATGACTTTCAATAATTTGTAGAATGTGTTTCTTTCTGCGAATTTATGCAACTCCAGGCAACTTAGGTAGCTAAATCAGAATTGTAAGGATATTCTCAACGTTTTCCACAGCATTACTAACCCTATACCAATTTGTATGCCCATTTGCTGTACAAATGATCACCTTGCTTCAGTAAAATGCCATAAGGAAGTACAGCATATTGATCTCAGTGAAGCTATGCAAAAATTCACTTATTCATAGAATGGAGAGGGGATGCGATTTTTATTCAATTTTTCATTCCCCTGCATGCTTGTAGCCCCACTTTCTGTGCTGTCCTGGAGACTCCTCAAACATTCTGGCGCAGATTTATTTTTTATTTTTTAAGTGTGTAGGGGTGATTGGGAAATGGCCACCTCCTCATTCATAAACAATCTTTAAACATTGTTACAGAAGTACTCGATGCTGTTTCTGCTATTCATGTGAATGAAATCTCAGATCCAAAGACCCTGTGAGCAAAGTTCTGCTCATGAACACTCCCATTCATGAATGAAGAGGCCACAATAGCTGTTCCAAGAAAAATAAGAGCAAAAATGCCACACGGGTAATGCTGATGTTCCTCAGTGATCAAATCGGCTACTTTTTGAATGTGCAGGAGTTATGTATTCTCCACAGGGCTGTTTAAGCATTAACTGTAGGTGGTAGTTAAAGTAAGGTAAAGGGACCCCTGACCATTAGGTCCAGTCGTGGCCAACTCTGGGGTTGCGGCGCTCATCTCACTTTATTGGCCGAGGGAGCCGGCGTACAGCTTCCGGGTCATGTGGCCAGCATAACTAAGCCGCTTCTGGCGAACCAGAGCAGCACACGGAAACGCCGTTAACCTTCCCACCAGAGTGGTACCGATTTATCTACTTGCACTTTGACGTGCTTTCAAACTGCTAGGTGGGCAGAAGCAGGGACCGAGCAACGGGACTTCACCCCGTCGCGGTGATTTGAACCGCCAACCTTCTGATCGGCAAGTCCTAGGCTCTGTGGTTTAACCCACAGCGCCACCTGCATCCCAGGTAGTTAAAGTAGATGTTAACAAAATCATCCAAAATAAGTGAAGTTTGATTAGAACCCATCTCTCAGGGGCCAGCTGGGCAGGGCCAGGAAGTGGATCCCAGTGAGCCAACAAATGCTGTTCACTGAAAACGGGGTGATGATTTCTTTTAACGCCCTAGTACATTCCAGCTGCTTCGCAGTCATTAACAAAGCTGTGACATTGTCTACCCAGTAACTGTATCTGTTTCCCCTCTCTTCTGGTTGCTTCTTATTCCACTTTGGAAAGTGCTCTCTGAATTTAGAAAAGCTTACATGTTATTGCACCAACAAGGTTGGTCCAACAAAAACAGCAACAAAAATATTTGGCTCATTTTTGTATCCCACATTATTTGGAATGAACACAGCATCCATTTTTTTATTTGTAAGATGTAGCGCAGCACACAGAAATGATAATGGATGGGGAAATCTCAGTTGATTCAACCCACACAAACACAAACAAAACTAATAAAGCTTAATAAAATAAACTCAGCCCACACAACTCCCCTGAACCTATTTTTCACAGCTCTGGCACACAAATAATTATATTTTCTTTAGCATTTCTCATAGCAGGTGCACTGCAAAACACACTGCAGCTAAGCAACACTGACTGTATTCAAAGAGTGTATTAAAATATAAATCTAGAACTTAAAAGACCAGGCTTCACATGTTTAGGACTGGCACTTAAAAGAAAATGCACACTCATCTGTAGCCCCAGACCTAGGCACCTCTTATTTCTTTGCAGTTTTGAATCAGTACATGGGCAGTACACTCGTGTATTATATTCTCAAATGCAAACTTTGGAGTCACCCAGAGGATACAAAAAACAAACATACCACAACCCTCAACCACAGTAAAGGAAATAGGATTCTGCTTTATAGCAAGTCAAATTAATTGTCCATGTTGCCCAGTAATGCTTACGCCAGCAACTCTCCAAGGTCTTAGGCAGAGGTCTATCCTTTAACTAAAACTACAGTTTATGCTCTCCATTGAGATACAGTCCCTCCCCAGAGTTATTACCACTTCTGTGTGGAGTATGATTGTAAGAACCAACTGGTCCAAGGGCATGGTCTGTGGACACTATGTATATGAGCTGGAAACCAAGCAGGTCTAGATCAGGTCAGTGGGTGGCTTATATATATACCCATATTTCATCTTGTGTTCCATGATGGGAAAAGGGAGGATAGGAAGGTATATTTTTTTCTTTTTTTAATGCAGTCATACCTCGGGTTACAGATGCTTCAAATTGCATTTTTTCGGATTATGGACTGCCGAAAGTACTGGAATGGGTTATTTCTGGTTTTCGGAAGTACTGGAATGGGTTATTTCTGGTTTTCGGCGGTCGTGCATGGGCAGAAGCGCTGAATCGCAACCCGTGCATGCGCAGACGCGCCACTGCGGGTTGTGAACGCTGTGGGTTGCGAACGTGCATCCCACATGGATCACGTTCGCAACCAGAGCGTCCACTGTAACTTGAAAGGAGAACTGTTGAAGATGCATAAAATCTGTAAAAGTTTGATTAGCTCTGTTGTGTGTATGTGTGTGAGTGAGTGAGAGGGAGAGACAGAGAATGCCAAGATGCAGTCTAGTGATTGATCAGAGTACTGAACTTAGGCCAAGGAAACTTGGGTTCAAATCTCTGTTCAACCACTATGCTTACTAGGTCTGTTTAGCTCTCCTGCAGCCCTAAACTAAATGAAACCCATGTGTTGGCCAGATATGCAGAAAAATTACTTGGGATAACTGACTGTACTGTGCACATGACTGCTTTGAGAGGCTCTTTTATTACAGGCTTCTAGTGTTTCTCACAGAATAAGAATATGGAATGGTCAACTAATTCCTGCATATCCAGCAGTGACAACTTGAGATGAATTATTCAAATTGAAATGTTGTCTCCCACCAGTGCATAGGTGTTATTTATGTTCCTGGCATTTTCTTCCTAAAATAAGCTTAGCAGCAAAACAGTGGATTAACATTTTTCTTTCCTGAGCTAGCTGGGGCAAATGCCAGTGCAGTAGTACCATATTCGACTTGTCTTGAGTGATACTTGGCCCGTACAGTGCAAGTAGCCCTAATTGAGATAATTGCTCAGCAAATCAAAGTAGTGTAGTGAAGCAAGTAATTATGTGTCACAAATTGCTGGGCTAAACTATTTATTTTTTCAACCTGAATAAGTAACAAGTAGCAGGATTGCTCGAGTCTTCCTCTTGTGAATGAAACAGAGAGAGAAAGAGCGAGAGAGAAGTGACAAACCCATATTTTTTCTATGCGACTGCTCTGGATGATGATTCATATTTCCTTTCTGAATCTTTTCAGACATGAAATTGTTTTAGATCTGGAGGCTATGATCCCTAACAGACATTAGAGAGAAACAATTTTCTTCAAGGCAAATTTAAGGCCAGAATCAGAAGGAGAAGAGTGTAGTTTTGCTTTCTGTACCAATATTAATTTAAAAACTGACCACTGGGCAACCCCTCCACTCAGCTCTTGTCAAGAATCTGCCAACAAAAGAGTGGCACTGAATAGTTTTCTCTACCTGAGCATATATCTTGTTGTGACACTTTGGAGACTAAAAGAAGGCAAAGGTGTTGAGTAATCTTCATATAATATATATAGTTTCAGACAGCTGAGCCAAAGATTGGTGAAAACACCAATCAATATAACACAAAAACTGAAAAGACAATTACAGCTGCTTAGTCTTAAGAACATGGAAAGAGCTCTGCTGGATGAGGCTAAAGGCCCAACTTCTCCAATATCCTGTTCTCACAACTAGATGCCTATGGGAAGCTTGGAAACAGGAAGCCTGAGTACAGAAATGCTCTCCCAGTTTGTGATTTGCAGTATTCAGAGGCCTAGACACCCACCATCCATGTGTACCAGACATTGTTTTTAACTTGTGGCTCTGAATGTAGGACATACACATACCTTGAGCAATATCTGCCATAGGGAGAATGGCAGTTTTTGGAATCTCTTCCATTGCAGAAAACGTGGTGGCCTAGGAGAGTGGGTCACACTCATGATGCATAGATATATCATTAATAAAACATAAGTGGACCCACTCACACATGACAACCCTGCCCAGTTCTTCTGATTCCCCCGCCTCTACAGGTATTCCCCACTTTGCTCTTCAGCCGACTGCACTGCCAGGGCCAGGCGCATTTGGCTTATTAACTGTGATTTAATGCTGGTTAAAGCCCTGGTCCACTGTCCAGTTAGAACTTTGGCTGGTCACAGTGTGACCAGCCTGGGGCACTAAAATGGCTGGCCACTGGAAAGTGACTACTCACACCCTGGGAATGGGGTCACAACTGCCACCCACCCAGATTGCAGGGTAAGCAGCTATTCCCCCCATCCTTCCGCACCCTCATTTCATGCCCATCCCAGGCCATTCTAGAGGTTCCTTCAACCTCAGGAGCTGCTTTTGGGGTGGCTGGATGCAGCTGAGAGCTGTACTGATGGTGGGAGATAGGGAAAATCCCCATGGGGAGTTTCACTCTGTTTGCTACCCTTTGTTGTCTGCATTGCTGCTCTTGTACTATGTGAGCTGCTTTGGGTACCTCTGTATGGAAAAAGCATCAGACAAATTTAAAGTTAAAGGAAGGGTTTTAAACTTGCTTTTATCACAAAAGACCAAAATAACTTGAGGACTTCCAGATAGAAATTATTTTAAGGAAGGGGAGAGTCATGTGGCCAAAACAGTTTGATCCCATATTAAAATCTAACCCTATTATTTCAACAGGAACAAACTAAGAAACTACAAATGTTTACAATGTAGGTGTTAACAGATAAATGCTTTTGTTGATTGTTTTTAATTAAGACACTAGTAATATTGAAACAAGTTTCACAGTTAATTGAAGAAATATGGTACCTAGCAATTATGCATTACCAACATGCTCTTAAAACTGGCTTGTTTATGCTGCTGCTTGTTTATGCTATAATTTTGCCAAAATAGCACAGCTTTGTAATGGCTAAATCTCTGAATCAGTTAAAGAAGAAGAAAGAAGGGGAGGACAAGAAGGAGGACAAGGACTATATTAGGATAATGTTGTGAGTTGCTTTTCTTATGTAATATTTGTTTACTGTTTGATTTTTTTTTTAGTTTCTGTAGAACATGCAGGGAGGAACTAGGGAAATGGTAGCATGCAATGTAAAACTTGGGACTATGGGTTACTGCTACTTGAAAATTCAAAAGGTCTGTTTAGAAGCTGTGCCTACTGTGTCCTATCACTGACAGGAGAGAACAGGTAAAACAGACTTCTTAATCTCGCAATACAAGTAACTACTTTTTGTTTGCAGGTTGGTGGTTCCTCCATGCTTATCTCATAAAATTTTTTATTTTATTCTAATCTGTCTTTCAGAATTAATTGAACACTGAAAGATACTTCACTCATGAACACAAGAATGTTGGGGGACAGAATCAGTGCAGAGGCTCCAAATCCTAGGTCCCCTTCTGAGGTACCTCTAGTTCTGTAGAACACTCCTTCCCAAAGGATGGTAATAGGAAAAATCCATGTCATCAGTTAGTCCTGCTCATGCAGTTGCCTCCTTCACATGCAACCAGGAGCCATATAGGATTGCATATCCAAATATTTTTGTGACTTTATGTGATGGCAGCCTTATTCCTATTAGGTATAATAACTGAACCTACCAGAAAACAGACCCACCAAGTATTCCTATTTTCCAGGGACAGTCCCAGATTTACAGAAGCCATTTCTGGTTTCTGATTTGATCCCGGAATGTCCTGCTGTTCCTTAAAGATAAAGGTAAAAGACCCCTGACAGTTAAGGCCAGTCACTTTTAATGCTGCTCCTTAGGACACCTCTATTTTCATTGGAGAAATGTTGGAGGTTATGGTAGGATGTCCCTATTTTCATTAGAGAAGTGTTGAAAGGTATAGAGTTATGAGCCCTCAAGCCAAGAAGATAAGTAACTATACAATTTCTAGAAGACAACTGAAGGCAGCGGTATATAGGGGTTGTTTTTTTTAATGTTTAACGTTTTTATATGTGTTGGAAGCCACCCAGAGTGGATGGGGCAGCCCAGTCAGATGGGTGTGGTATAAATAATAACATTTATTATTATTATTATTATTATTATTATTATTATTATTGAATAGGACATTCCTATATTCATTGGAAAAATGTTGGAGGGTATGGAATAATCCAAGGCTGTCTAGCTATGTTTAAGCCATGTGGGAATGACTGAGCAGTAACTAAATCATGGTCTTGAACTATTCCCATTTCTGCCACACTAGAGTACTACAAAACATGGAATCGGGCCTTTTGAAAAACAGATTCCAAAACATTACAAATGCCTACTTATGCATTATGCCAGCAGTAAGATTTGTGAGATGGAAAAAAACCCAACAACTGTGTTCCTTGCATTTTCAAGTTGTTCAATTTTCCCCCTGCCAAGATTCATTTAGGGCTTAGAATGGCACAGAGCACTCAATACTTTCAAAGATTATAGCCCAGGAGCTTATTGGTAGTGAAGTTCTTCTCATGAGCTGGTGTCAGCATAGCAAGTATTGCCACCATCAGCATACTAACAATGGTGGCAACTGCAAAATAAACAACACTCCGCAGCTAGAGTGACAAGCAATTTTTTTTGGTAAACTTAATCTACTGTTACAATAATCCTAAAGAGAACTTTTAATGCATTTAAATACTTGCTTTCACAAAATTTCTACAAATATGTGCAGTAAGTATCTTTACCGCTTTATTTAAGTACTTCCTTGATTTCTATGACAGCTGAAGGATCAAGAAGTGAATTGGAGGAGGGAAAGATCACATTTCTTTTTAACAGAATGTAGTCACATGTTTGAATAATTTGCATTTTATAAAGGCTACGGATTGCTTAAAGCACAAAACAATTTTAGATGCCTAAACTCAGACAAGGTATGAGTTTAATAACAGCAACATACCAACGATAATTTCTCTGTTACAGCACCATAAAATGCCCAAGATGAAAGGCATTCTGCCTGTGCAAAACTTATTGAAGTCAATGACAACTGCAGGATTTGAAGCAAAATTATTCTTTTTTGAAAGGCATTGCAACCAAAATATGCTGAAATCATATATCAACATATACAAAGTACCAATATTCTTATTACTAGTAATGTTTGTTTTTTTTATCTTCTTTACTAAACCTTCTGTTAAGACCCAATCTTTGCTCAGAAAAAAAATAAAGGAAAAATTGAATCAAGTGGATGAGCTCAGCTTCATGAATCTTCCAAGAGGTAGTAAAGGTGCCATGATTGGCTCCATACATTCACATACGCATACACACATGCACACAAGTCAGAGAAGGAATGTTTACCTTCAACAGTGTGAAAAATGCTGTAGAGAAGAAAGACCGCTTGCTGTTCTCGGATTGGCTGATGTCACTGTCTGTCTCAGTCAGTCAGGAGGCTCTCACTCTGACAGCAGACCTGTCAGAGGCAGACTTTGGTCAGGTCTGCTGCCAGAGCTTTAAAATCGGCCATATTGCAAGTAGGCAACACAGACCAACTTGGACACCCCACTCACCTGTATTCAAAGGCTCTGCCCAGAGGTAAGCAGTCAGTGCATGTATATGACCTTGCTGTGGAATTAATCAGTCAGTGTATTGGGGGCCAGGGAGAAATTTGCCTGCAGACAAAGTGGGCCTGTCTGGGTTTTCATCTCCGCCAAGCTAAGCAGTTGGCTCCTTACCTCTCTCGCCGTTACCTAGTCACTGTGATCCACATGACGGTCACCTCCAGACTGGATTATTGTAACTCACTCTATGTGGGGCTACCCTTGAGACTGACCCAGAAACTCCAGCGGATGCAGAATGCCGCGGCGAGACTCCTTACGGGGTCCTCGCTGCGGGATCACATTCACCCGGTGCTATACCAGCTGCACTGGCTCCCGGTGGAGTACAGGATCAGGTTTAAGGAGCTGGTTTTAACCTTTAAAGCCTATACAGCCTAGGACCCTCGTACCTACGGGACCGCCTCTCTTGGTATGTCCCACAGAGGAACTTACGGTCTTCAAACAAAAACATCTTGGCGGTCCCGAGCCATAGGGAGGTTAGGCTGGCCTCAACCAAAGCCAGGGCTTTTTCGGCTGTGGTTACGATCTGGTGGAACGCTAGGGCCCTGCGGGACTTGACATCTTTCCGCAGGGCCTGCAAGACAGAGCTGTTCCACCAGGCCTTTGGCCAAGGCACAGCCTGACCCCCTCATTTGGTAATCCTCACAGAACTCTAGCCCAATTGGTTGCCATTAATTTGATTTGAACTGATTTTATAATGAATTGATTTTAGAATGCTGTATTATTTTACTGTTGTTAGCCGCTCTGAGCCCAGCTTCGGCTGGGGAGAGCGGGATTTATTATTATTATTATTATTATTATTATTATTTGCCTTCCTCATAGCAACTGTCAAAACTTTTAGTGGGGAAAAGACACTGGGTTTGGATCCTTAGTCTACTGATGCTTTGTCTCCCGTACCAATAAAGACAAGTCTTTATAGTTCAGTTCTTCCAGCGTACTATTTGAATGGTGCAAGAGATACTTTTTTCTTTGCAAAACAACAACCACCTACTTCCCACATCACACACATAAAAGCTGGATGCCTACCCTTGTCAACCCTTATTCAATATTGTTCACTTTTGCATTAGCATATAAAAAGCTGTAACTATAATCAGTAGTAAAACAACACAAAGAGTATTAGAGGGCATTGGTTCCCTTCTGAATGTGAACCTACAAATTTCTCGTGCCACTTCAAATGTTTGCAAGTAATAAGTATATCTGACCTCTGCAAGCTTTAATAAGATCATAGCCCAAGAGGTTACTGCCACAGGCACACCAATATGCTACTAATAAATAAAGTATGAGACAAAGCATGTTCACTGAACCTTAATAGTATATTATCGCCATGTACTGCATAATACATAAAGTGCTTTCTATACTTTTTCACTATAATTGATTTACCTATTTATAGCCTTCTACAACCTAAGCTATACAGAAATTCATAAATTGTGAAGATCACTGATACTTACTTGCTTGACATTTATAAGCATGTCAATAATACTTGGAAATAAACTTCACAGAAATAAATGTGAATATACTTAGGATCAGTGCTTTTTTCTGGGGGGACGCAGAGGTATACATACCCGTAAACATTTTGTGAATCTTTGTATTTTTGTCCATTTAATGTATTTATTTCCCCCAATTTGAACTATAAAATGGTGATTTTCTTGAGTCAAAGTAAGAATACTCCTAAACATTATTTTAGAAAAAAAACACTGCTTAGGATTAATATGTGAAAGCCATAAGAATCAGTTGAATAATAAGCAGCAACAGCTTGGTTTTCTTGTAAGCTACCTTTGGCCACTTCCCACAAACAGCATTATTCTCAGGAGTTTTTTCCAGTTTGTAATAAATAACCCAAGTTCAGAAGCTTCTGCATTCTTCCATGTCCAGCAGACTGGCAAACACTCTGAAAATTAAGTCTGTTTCCATGCTCTAAACAATACCCCAAGTGGGACTTTAGCTAATGAGCATAGGTTTTTAGAACTTCAGACTGCCAGACTAGTCCAATGCAGTAATGCATCAGAGAACTATTTAGGTGTCATGATTTTAGCGTAGCAAATCCATAGAGTGGTACCTTCGGTTACAAACTTAATTCATTCCGGAGGTCCATTCCTAACCCGAAACCATTCTTAACATGCGCTTTCACTAATGGGGCCTCCCGCAGCCGCCATGCCTCCGTCACGCGATTTCCGCTCGCATCCCGGGGCAAAGTTCGCAATCAGGAGCATCCACTTCCGGGTTAGCAGAGCTCATTACCCGAAGTGTTTGCAAGGAGAACGGTACGTAACCCAAGGTTCCACTGTACTGAGTTTGCATGTACAGCACTGCACCATGGCAGATATGGAATAGCAAACAGATCCCTCCAACATCACAGAAGCTGGGTTGGGTTCAGCCAAGATGAAGTGTAGTGAGCAAAAGCTCTGTTAACATTTGTGACCCCAGTATTTATCTGCCCCTTTGCTTACATCTCTATCCCCAAATCCCCAAGAACTGTGGGCATAAGTTACTTGCATATCCTAAATTACTTCCATTTCAGGGGATGTTCCACACATGAAGTGATGAAGTGTTGCCTCTTCCATCAAGACAAATGGGAAGTCTCTGTGCAAAAGAGATCTCCCTGTGCACATCAGAGATTCAGTGTGCACATGGACTTGTTCTGTCAGAGCCAATGTGCACATGGACTTGCTCAATGAAAGTAGAGAACTCTACCTGTGAGGAATCTATAATGGCTTCCTTCTCATCTGCTCACTTGCACACTGAGCACATAATATGGGAATAAAAGCCTTTCCCAACATACAAATGATTTACTTTGTATTCTCTGACACTAGAAATTCTGTCCTTATCTAAGCCTTTGTTACAGCTAAAACAATTTTAGAAAATTTCAAAAAAAATTTAAAAAGATAAGGCAGCCGAAATGACATACCAGTTCTGAAATGCTAGAGTAGAGTACAATCACCAGAGTGTTATATAAAGCACTGCTGCTACAGCTTTTGAAAAGGTGGTGACGACATTTAATTCAGCAATATACATGTGTACAGCATCCTAAAGTATATTAAAAAATGCAGCCACTTCCTTCCTTCTGACAACATGTATCAAGTGCATATATACACACACACACACACACACACACACACATATATACAAACTATACACTTTAAAACATAACAACTGGTTGATGAATTTAAATTATTTGTTTTCTATTAGAGCTGACATTGTAATCATGACATCTATTCCAAGCTATTATACATTTGAGCTCCTAGAATCAATCTTTTTTCCAATAAAAAGATCACTCCGATAAACAAGTCGTTCCTTCCCTCCTTCTCCCCCCAATTGTGTTTTGTTAAGTATGTCAGCAACAAGGCTGCGTGGGTAAGATTTGTGCTTCAGAAGGACTTTAAAAACAAAACAGCCCCTGAGAGCTGTGGAAAAATTCCTTTAATTGCCAGCAGAAAGCCTGGTGATAAGTCTAAAGCCAAAACTGTGCTCAGCAATGGTGTTTTTTTGTTTTCTGTTACCTCACCGATGCCACCATTTGCTAAACTCCTACGGCAGTGCTGTGTGCCAACATCAAAACAAGTCTAACATCCTACACACAGCAGCTGTCTATTCACCCACTTCTTTTCTCCCCTTGGTTTGATTTAAGGATGTGGCCTGTACTTTTGATGCAAAACATATTTTTTAACAAGGAGGAAGTGCAGCAGAAATGTCACCCATTCTGTAGGGTCAGTTGTAACGAAACTCAGCAGGATTTGAGGAGACAGCAGGGGTGTACGCAGTCTTGTCTGAGGATATTTACTGTCACAGTTGTTACAAATCCACAAGGTTTGCCCTACTGAATCTCTCTACAGGTGTCACGAGAAGAACATCACCTTTTCTCTTACCGCCATCCTACCCCAACCTTTTATCAACACAATTAAAGCTATTGAAAGCATTTTTTTTAAAAAAAAAAGGACAGTGAAAAATTGCCACTTAAGATCCATGTGAGATGGCCAAAAACATTGGGCCACCTGAGGCAGACCACCAAATGCTGCCATCTCCTCCTTCCTTCCTCATCATGCACCAACCCACTGGACAAATTCTACACATTTGCTGCCACTTCCAGTTTTTGGTGCTGTGCGGCCCAGCTTTGCAAGGTCCCTGGGCAGCATTTATGCCCGCAATGTCTCATTCAGAGGAAGGGCAGGCCCTAACTCATTATGCAGTAGGGTCCTTCCTCAGAGTGAGGCACTGAGACGATAGGGCAAAATAACCCTGCTGAGCCCCAGAAATGCTGTCGCCACTTTGCAGCAGGGGGAGGAGATACAGTTTAAAGTTTAACAGGCAACAGTCTTTTTTCCTTCTGTGTTTCCAGGCTGCTTGCAGGCACAGACAGGCAGAACCTGTCTACCTTTTCCTCTTTGGAATTGGTTGAAGAACTGATGCAGGAGAGCAGGCAAGCTGTGGGGTCTGTGGGTGGGTTTGCAGGCAGCCCAGAAGCAGATGAGAAGGGGATGTGTGATCTAGCATCCTTCGCAATCTGCAGCCAGAGACAAGGACTTTGCCTTGCTTCATAGAATGGCTGGGCATGCATTCATGAGAAACTTGGTAATTGGAAGAATTCAACCATGGTTTTGTTTTGTTTTTAAAATGTCATTTTCAGTATGCCTAATCAAAATCTAGTTTAGACTCTTCAGACAAACCTAGCTTGCTGACTAGTTATACCACTGACTCTGGTAAATGCCTCACTTAGAATACAAAGTTTACTAGGGATACTCAGATGCAATACATATCTAATGCTATTTCTATCAGAATATCTTCTACAGTGTCAAACAAAGAGGTGTGCACAGGTGCAAAGAGTACTCTTTAATTTATATCTATAATTCTGCAAAAAGCCTAAGGCAATCCTTTGCAGCCAGCATTATAAGACAACCTAGAATGTTTGAACAGGGATGATTCCTTCCCCACTCCCAGTGTTTCTTAAATATGCTCCTAATTGCTGACCCATTTCTAAATTGAGCTTGCTTCCTAATCTGCTGCTAACCTCACTGAAAGCAGAGAGGGACAAACTCTGTGATTTGCAGATGCTCAAACAGACCTCACTTATAGTGAGGATGCATCACTATAAGTAAGGAAAAAGTCATGGGGGGTCAAAAATAAGTTAGAGCCCATACTACAGAAGGAAGTGTGGTTTAAGGAGGAGCTGTTTTTGCTTTGATCTTTTGTTTGATTCTGGTACACAATTCCTGAAAGTGTTTTAAAAGGGAGGCTACTTTATAAGCACCAGCAGCAGTTGAGATAACAAAAGGACTAATGCTGCTAATGGAAAGGATTAAAGTCTGAATAGAGGCAGAGTTGCCTCTCTTTCTCAAAATGTTTAACAGATCATGGCACAAGTTTTTCAACTCAGTGTGCACTTCATTTTGCAAGACTTCATTCAGGTTCAGATTAGGTGATCACTGCAGTGGAAAACATAAATCAGGTTGGACACTGGATAAGGGACTGAGCTCAAGGGCAACAGTTTCTCCTAGCTTCCTTTCAAAATACAAATCCTAATGTTTCGTGCACAGAGTGTGGTTCTATTGCCAGGTGAAGAGAACACATACTGTGATATAGCATGAAGAGAGACAATATTGCAAGCCTGCCAAAACTAAAGTCAGCAGTGGAGGCTGCCAAGACTGTCTACAGCTAAAAATGGTCAGAGGAAGGTAGAAGAGGAATCCATTTTATATGAATTTATACATGGAATCTGGTGGTTCTGATCCAATCATGCTTCAGTTGCATTGGGCTGCCTCTTGGATCAAGCATCTGCCTATGTCTGAGTCACCCGTGCATTGCCTTTTAAAAAAAAGAAAAAAGCCTATGCAAGACTATACCAAAAATGTGTGTGTTATAAATATATTAATTATAGAAGAGTCAAGCCACGTGACACTATATTTCTGCAGCTTAATTTTAGAAGTACTAATCCATCAGTAGTCTTATATGATCATATCCTCTGTGTGTGTGTGTGTGTGTGTGTGTGTGTGTGTGCATGCACACATGCTTATGTACTGATTACTTTAGGAAACTGTGGTCATGTGTGCGTGTATAACATTATAATATTGCATATAGCATGTGCGAATTGCTCATATTTTTAGCAGAACAGATTTTTAAAAAACCCTTGCTATTCATCAAGGTGTAAGATAATAATTAGAAAACATCAGTGTGGAAAAGTTCAACATCAAGAGTTTCAGAAAATTCTCTCTCTACAAACAAGCAGCATCAATATTTTGCTAATTACAGAAGCCAGAGGAAAGGCTTAAATGACGCCCACCTCTTTGTGGTTGCTAACAAAAAAGCCATTTCCCTGAGCTGTAATCTATGCAGCAGGGTGTAGTATAGAGATATCTATTCTACAGACACTGTTCTGTTCCCACGGAAGTTATATGGGAGTAGCTGATGGCCTCACGCAAGAACACCACGTTTTAAAATACTGGAGCAAGTGAAAAAAATGTTCAAAAGTCAGTCCCCTGGGTGGTGTACAACATTAAAAACACATTACAGAATATCAATGATTAAAAAACATAATGACAGACACTCTAATAAAAACAGTCATCATAATAACAGTCTATTTCCCCACACTTTAATAGGCAATAGATTACTAGCCACAGGCCTGGGTAAAAAGGAATGTTTTTGCCTGGTGTCTCAAAACATGTAGTGATGGCACCAGGCGAGCCTCTCTTGGGAGAGCATTCCACAATTGGGAGCCACCACAAAAAAAGGCCTGTTCTCTTATGGCCACCCTCCGGACCTCTCTGGGATGGGGGACATAGAGAAGCACTTCAAGTGACAAGCGCAGGGTCTGGGTCGGTTCATACACAACTGTACTCTGTAAAGGAGGACACGTGGCCATCCTATGGTTGAGTGTGTGTTGCAGAGTATATGAAAAGGGATATTGCTTATGCTTAGCATAGGCTGGGACAAGATCTTTCTCAAATGCAGCAAGATGAATTTGGGAGTGACCAGTAGTGGACAGTGTGGTGAGGACAGAGGTGCTTACCTGACCTTCCAGCAGGAGAACTGCCGCTGCTTACTGTGTGTGTGTGTGTGTGTGTGTGTGTGTGTGTGCAAAAGTGCCCCACCATACCAATCCACTACGAGGAATAACACAGGAGATTTGTCCCAATGTTCAGGTCTTTCTCTGACCTGTGCCTCAGTGGGCGAGCTCAGAAAAGTGCACAGCGTTCTAGAACGCCCCTTGAGGCATTTCAGAAAGCTCTATGCTTGGATGAAAAGCAGAGAAACAATCATTTTCATCCAATTTTCTTAACTGCTTGACACAAGGTTTGATGGGAGGGGGAGTTGCTGTGATCTATATTCTCTCTCTCTCTCTCTCTCTCTCTCTCTCTCTCTCTCTCTCTCCCCCCAGACTTTCTGTCCGGTTGGGGGGTAGCATGTTTCTTTCTGGCACTGGGTAATTGTGACAGATTAGAGATTCTACTGGTTTACTGCCTGCCTCACTAAAAAGCACTCTGCCTGCTTGCCTGAGCTCACACAGTTGGTCTCAGAGGCGGTGTTGCGGATTCTCAGATTGCTGGTGTTGAGGGCTTTCAGTGGCCATACCAAGACGAAAAGCTGTGGCTCAATGTTAAAAAGGTAAAGGTAAAGGACCCCTGACAGTTAAGTCCAGTCGCAGATGACCCTGGGGTTGCGGCGCTCATCTCGCTTTACAGGCCGAGGGAGCCAGCATTTGTCCGCAGACATTTTTTCCAGGTCATGTGGCCAGCACGACTAAGCCGCTTCTGGTGAAACCAGAGCAGTGCATGGAAACACCATTTTCCTACCCGCTGGAATGGTACCTATTTATCTACTTGCATTTTTGATGTGCTTTCGAACTGCTAGGTTGGCAGGAGCTGGGAGCTCACCCCGTTGCAGGGATTCGAACTGCCGACCTTCTGATTGGCAAGCCCAAGAGGCTCAGTAGTTTAGACCACAGTGCCACTGCGTCCCTTTCTCAATGTTCTGATTTTATTTTATTTTTTAACAGAATATAGCCAAGGCAAATGAAATTCCTTACACTGGGATGTGCATTCGAATCAACATTCCACTGAAGGTAACTAATGCAGTGCAAATGAACTACGCCCACATTTGTATCTGACTGTACATCTAAACATGAATGTTTTTCCTCTGCACTGCATTGCTTTCAATAAGATGTGGTTCCTCTGCATGACATCTCAGTGGTACAAATATTTGTATGTGTATCCCAATGTAAAGAAGCACCAGCCTAATTCCCTTAGTAATGGGGATAATGGCAACATGCCCTACAGAAGCAGATGGGGAAACAAAGTCTTTTGTGTGTGTGGAATATACAGTGGTACCCCGCAAGACGAACGCCTCGCAAGACGGAAAACCCGCTAGACGAAAGGGTTTTCCGTTTTGGAGGCGCTTCGCAAAACGAATTTCCCTATGGGCTTGCTTCGCAAGACGACAGCCCATAGGGTCATCTCAGGGACAGCGGGGTAGCGCGTCTTCCCCCCTGTCCTCGGACCTCATCCGAAGCCCGGCGGCGGGGCGGGGACACCTCCTCCCACCGCCGCCGGGCTCGGAAGGCTCCCTCCGAGCCGGGCGGGGGAGGGAACACCTGCCGCCGCCGCCCGGCTCGGAGCGGTGCTCCGAGCCGGGCGGGGGAGGGAAGACCTCCCGCCTCTGCCCGGCCGGGACGGTGCTCCGAGCCGGGCGGTGGGGAGGAAGACCTCCCCGCCGCCCGGCTCGGAGCGGTGCTCCGAGCCGGGCGGGGGAGGGAACACCTGCCGCCGCCGCCCGGCCCGGACGGTGCTCCGAGGCCGGGCGGGGGAGGGAAGACCTCCCGCCGCCGCCCGGCTCGGAGCGGTGCTCCGAAGCCGGGCGGGGGAGGGAAGACCTTCTGAAGGCGGGCGGGGGCGAAGTCTTTGCTCCCCCTGCCTGCCTGTCCCGGAGGGCTTTGAAGGCGGGGAGCAAGACTTTCGCCCCCGCCCGCCTTCAGAAGAGGTCCAGGACCTCTTCTGAAGGCTGGCGGGGGCAAAGTCTTTGTCCCCCTGCCTGCCTTCCCAGGGGCTTTTAAATTGCCCCGGACAGCGGAGAAGTCCTCCGCTGTCCCGGGTGATTTTAAAATGCCGCCCGCCAGCATTTTAAGATCGCCCGGACAGCGGAGAAGTCCTCCGCTGTCCCGGGGTTTTAAAATGCTGGGGGTGGGAAGAAAAGCCCTTGCCCCCAGCCTTCAGAAGAGGTCCGGGGACAGACTGTCCCCGGACCTGGTCTGAAGCGGTTTCCCTAGGAACGCATTAATTGATTTTCAATGCATTCCTATGGGAAACCGTGCATCGCAAGACGAAAAACTCGCAAGACGAAGAGACTTGCGGAACGAATTAATTTCGTCTTGCGAGGCACCACTGTACAAATGAATGGAAGTGTCGGGCAGGGGCTGCAAACAGTTTTACTCTTCCCAACATGCCAAGTTTTGCAACAAAAACATTTTGAAAAATGAGCTAAAGCAGATACTCATCAACTAGCAAGGAAGCAGAAATTGGATATAATTCCTCTAGTGAAGAAACCCTCTGGGAAATTAGCTAATAGTGTAGAAGATATAAAAATGATTATTTTGTTTTTCAGCCACTTATATCAAACTGAGAGACCTCAGGATGTGACACATTATTATTATTTTTTTAAATGAACTGCAGATCCCCAAAGTTTAGATTTAAGATAATTGAGGAACTAAATGCTGCAATTTCCCACAGGAATTCATAAATCAGATTAAGAATCTTCAGAATAAAAGACACCTGATTTTGATCATAACGCAGCTGAATTCTACCAAAATTATGCATAAGTATTGGGCACTTATTTAGGTGAATTTGTTTAATTACCACATTGACAACAGGGGTTCTGGAACTCAGCACAAACACCTCCCTCTTTCTCTTTAGAATGGAAATGGCATCCACCTGAAAGGTACTGTAACTGAGTTGCAGTGAGTTCCCCTCACACACACACACCCAAGAAAAAGCCCTGCCACAGGCTGACATTGCTGAAATTTCACAAGGGATGATATTTTATCCTATAGCCAACACACACTGAATGGGTTAGAAGAAAACTGACATCCAGTAGGAAGAAATACACAGAGACCTATGTCTTCTAAATAGGGTCTTCTAATAAAAGTGCAATTTGATATTATACTTCATATCCAGAAAACCATTACGGAAATGCTTCAAATAATACAGCATCTCTCAAATATATATCTTACATAATGGTTCCAGATGTTTTCATCAACTATGGATAATTAATTAGGGTAAATCACCCCAGTCACACCCTTCTCACCACTTCATTGTTTGCCTCATATTCTCCCACGTCCATCGTATGTTGAATAAAATCCCACCACACAGTGCTAAAATCTTGTTGCTGCGCTTTTCCTTGTATCAAACATTTGGAGACAGTGGTTTGTTTTCCCCCTGATAGTGCTCTATAACATATCTTTCCATAACAATTATTTTTGTTTTTCTATCTGCCACCAATAAATGAGTTATCAAATCCTTAGAACTTGTATTATTATTAGGTGCATTCTAAATAAGAGTTGTTACTGATCTTTAAATATTGAAGCTTAGAAGGATGATTTCAAAATAATAGGGTTTCCTCCATAAATCATAGACCATAGCATAGCACCTCCATAGACCATAGCACCAAGGCACACCATGAACTCCAGAGGCTTAGGTAAATAGTCTATGTCTTTAAAGACGAGGCAGGGCTGGCCCAAGACATTTCGTCACTTGAGACAAACTCCCAAATGGCATTCCCCCTCCTTGTCAGGGAAGAAGTGGGTCAGGAAAGAGCTACATCAGAATTAGGGGGGTAAGGAAGAAAGGTCAACATCTGCATAGCTGCCCAGGTAGACCCTGCCGCCTGAGGCGGTTGTCCCACGTTGCCTCATAGATTGCCCAGTCCTGGGCCTAGGGTTGTGTGTGTGTATATATATATATAATTATTATTTGATTATTATTTGCCAGAGAACACCCAATATTTTCAAAACTGAACAATTTCTAGAAAAAGCCTTCTTTCATACACTTCTCCATGCCAAAGCAAACACAAACTTCAACCAGGAAATATAGACAGGCAACCATTACAAAACTTCAGAATCAAATGCCTCACAACTGCAGAGCAACAAACATTAACATTCTCATGCCAAACATTTTCTGAAACGAGCAAGCTGTTTTCTAAACCAAATAAGCAAAACAAAACTGCGCTATGAATGACCACAAGTTTCGCTCCCTACTAAGTTTGGAATAATTCCATTGTTTTCAGATATAGTGTTCTTGTGCAAATGATTTTAACTCTTTTACCCCCCCCCCCCCCCGCCCCCGGGGAAAGAGATTTATGAAAATCTGAACTCAGAATAGAAACTGCACATCATAGTAGTAGTGGTTTCTTTAAAAAATAATAATAATCTGAATTACTCCCCGCTCCTACTGGAAAAGCACATTAATCGGTGCCTAGAAAACACACCAACTTTTGAATGCATATTCAGGAGTCTATGCATATCCATCAAGTTCTCAAGAATTCAGAAAACATCATGTACAATAAACCAAATCCATATGGAGAAAATGCTGAAATAAACATGCAAGGGTTTGAATAAATACCAATCTAGTCCACTCACTGACAACATATTTTTAACATGTTATTCCAATATATTGTAGTACAGATATGACCAAGACAGGTAACTCCAATAAACAAAATATAATCCTTCAAATTTGGGATTCAGATCAATCCACAGGAAAAACAGGCTCACCAACCACTCCGTATACATCCTCAAAACATTTTTTTCCTCCCAAGTTTCTTCAATAGATCATTCAAAAATAGCTATTGAACCCTACCTTCATATATCGCCTTGAATCCTTGAGCACTCACAGCGAAGTCTGTAGTGAAGCAGAGAGTCATAATTGATCCTGTGCTCACTATGGAGGATGGCAGCTGAAATCCAGAAAGCCTGCAAGATGCAAGAGACAAAAATAAATCACAGTATTTGTTATTAATTGTAACAACAACAACAACAACAACAACAACAAAACTCCCAAAGAGCATCATTTAAATGTTTATATTGGCAGCCTCTTCTTTGATGAATATCTGAAGACTTGAAAAAGCATCTGGAGGTACTCCACTGATAGTTCTAAATCTTTTGAAAACTTTTTAATAGCACACTTCACATCTGAGCTGGGGGGGCGGGCACCCTTCACCCTGACTATAATTAAAGAGGACTTAAGCTTTGCTCTGCTCTCTTCCCAGCAGGGAGGTCTACGTGTGTGTCTATGCGGGTAAATTAATGTTGGCCTGAGTGTACTACAGATTTGGATACTAACCTTGGAAATGATTTGGGGGATGGAGCCAACATCTCTCCCCAAACAATTAATCATGGTTTGTTGGTTTGTTTTTACTTTTCACAACTGCCCATAGCCACTGTTCTTTGGTTTGCTGGCTGTGCTGCTGTTTGGATAGTGTTTTTGCATTTTCATTCCTTCTTGAGCGAACCCAGGCAGCTGAAGCTCCTTATTCTCAAAGTTACACTGTCAAATGTTTAGCTTTGTGCCAAAGCACATGAAACACATTGCTCTGGAAGCAGCACTTCTTGCACTTGCCATGTGCACTGAATATGACCGGCTGGTGTATAAAATAATGCCACAAAAGAGTGGCAAAAATGTTGTTGTGAGTTGAGAGGAGCGGGCGGTTATGCCGTATGTCTGAGTCCCTTTGAATTCTTGGCTCCGGCAAGGATTCAAATTGCTGGAATAGCCAGACAATTTTCTTGGTAATGGCCCTCTAAGTATGGGCCACTAAGGTAACAAAGGAAGTGGTTCTGTGCCAGATAAAAATGGGTAGGCCTCCCTCCCTCAACTCACTGGTGGTTAGAAAGACAAAGGCTAGAGTTGAGTTGTGTGTGAACTAGAAGTGAGAAGCTGCAGGCTGCAGGCTGGGCAGCTGAGAGGAAGAACCATGCCTGATTTCTGCTGGAATCCAAGGCTGTGGCTATGGGAGAAGCAAGAACCTCTTGGGATGTTAATGCTGTGAGTCCCTCTATCATAGGCTCAGGTTGCATATATGTGTAAATAAACCATATATCCTAAATACACCTTTCTGAGGAAACTGAACCCTAAAAAGTTGTGAGGATGCATATAGGCCCCTTAGTATGTGGAACTGCCTCGCATAGACGATTTTAGGTAGCTTCTCCATTGCGGCATATTGTGAAACTGTCCCTAATCCAGGAGTTATATCTAGACAGGAAAAACCAAGCAAGAAAACTATCTCTATTTGAATGCACAGTGCAAGGTGACAATAGAACTAAATCTGAAGGCTTTAAAATATTCATGTTCAAATATTTTTTCTTTGCTTACTTTTCTTTGAAAAAGGACGGTCTTAATAAACTGTGAAGTTAGAAATAGGTGGTATTAGTGAAAACATAATTGCCCATTTTTTTAGATTAAGCTGTTGGTGCAGTTGCTGCCGTGATTCTGCACATGATAACCTGCTCATATGGAAAGATGTCCACACAGTCTGTGTAGCTAAGCATGTACAAACGCACTCATGTGGTCAAGCATTTTTAATGTCAACTGTGTCATAGAATTGAAGTTGGATGGGCAATTTCATCCAATCTGCTGCAATGCAGGAATCACAGTTACAGAATATCTGACAGATGGCCCGGCAAAACCAGTTAAGGTGGTTTTGTGAGCATTATATATAATATGTGGCTTAGAGAGGTAAAAGAAATATTATTATGTAGATCATGTGGCATGTCCTGTTATGTATTCAGTGGTCTGTGTTTGCCTGAGCTTGAGTCTGTACTAAAGATTCTGAGCCAGTGTTCTGATTCGATACATGATATCCAATCACAGAACAATTCAGGATTTGGGCCTCTGTCATTGGCCCTTAAACTCTGAGTTATGATTCGCAGCTTGAAAGTTTAGATAGCCAATCATGTTGGGAGTGGGAGTGGCCCAGGCCTTCAGAAATATATAAGCAGTTGCTTTGCCTCTGTTGTCTAGTTCTGTTAGTTGAATAAAGGTTCTTGCTGTTATTACTGTGTCTTGCCTCGTGGGAATCCACCTACACTTCAAGTTCATTAAACAGACAACAGCATTCCCAAATCAAAAGGCATGCAACCTCTAGCAAAGGAGGATTAATTCTCAAGGACTGCAGATCTATGCACATTTAGCAGTGAGTAATTTCCATTTAACATAAAGGACCTTACTTCTGACTGGATGGATAGGCATGCAGTCCTGTCACCAACAATGGCTTATTCCATTAAATATTCACATGTATGTTCCAGAAATCTTTTGAACTATAATTGTTAGCAAATTCTTCCAAAACTGTAGTTTACAGAAAATTGTATCCCATGTTTTCCATGCATAAGCAGAATATATTTCAGCTTGCATAACAAGATTTCTCATTCCTCTCCTCACCCCTGCAGTCCCCCATGTGCCCCATAGGTAGCAGCAGAAAGTGAAGTTGGGTCACACAATACTGGATTCTCCACAGAAGTATACACTGCTAGAGAGAAAAGCCCATGTATATCAACTCCATGTGAAAATGAAATTATGATGTCAGATGGCAATGGTGGTTGCTCATGAGTAACCAGTCAGGGCTCCGACCTGTCTTTTACAGGTTTTTATTTTGGTGCAAAACTATTTACAGTGCAGTACCACAAGTTTATGTCTGCCTTAATCGCTAGCAGAATCCGGGAGTGGTTGTTTCTGGGTCCTCCCCCAACATAATAGCTTAGTCACCCCCAGCCTTTTCCTTCCTTCTTTTTATTTTACACCTCTGCGCAGGGTGGGCGATGGAAGAGGCATGCTTCCCTCCTGGCCGGCTTGACCAGGAGTGGTGCTGAGGCTCCCAGCATCCTCCTCTGGTCCCTTCTCCTCTTCTCCACTGGAGGTGTGGCTTTCCCCACCACAGGAAAAGGAACTGCTTCGCAAGATTTTCAGAGGTTGCCTGTAAACCAACTCCCCCTCAGCTTCCCTTCCCTGTTCCGATGGCAGTCCCCTGACATATGACTTCCCAACAGTGTGCACGTAGCAACGAAGGCACTTGTATGATTTTCAAACATTGCTGGCAAACTGTGATACTAGTGCGCACCTGTGCAAAGAAAAGTTGTAGGACAAGTAGCCTTAAAGCAGGCATCCCCAAACTCGGCCCTCTAGCTGTTTTGGGACTACAACTCCCAGCATCCCTAGCTAACAGGACCAGTGGTTAGGGAGGATAGTAATTGTAGTCCCAAAACATCTGGAGGGCCGAGTTGGGGGATGCCTGCCTGAAATAATAGGCTTGAGTCAGAACTATACACTATAGCATTAACATAATAAGCTACCATTACCAAAGACTGTAAGAGCCAACTACTAGGGGCCGAAGTCCCTTTGCCCCCCCCTCAATAAAAATTTTGAGGGATCCAGGCTCCTACAAATTTGATGGGTGTTGCCATTCAAATGGTTTGTGTGTGTGTCTTGTGATTGATTATGCAGGTTGGGCCTTACCTGAGTCCCCCCCCCCCCAGGTATTTGAATTCAACTCGGCACCCCTGCCAAAGCCTGAATCTTTTTGTCTTCTTTGTTGTGATATCAGGCCTTTAATGACCAGATGTTTTGTTTGTGCTCAAAGGCACATCCCAACAGACCTCAAAGTTCATTATCAGTAACACTGACTACAAATTCTCAAAGCAGTCTAGTATTTTTCTATCCACGTAACTTGATTATTTTTGAAGAGACAGCAGGTGGCTAATATTGAGAGGTGTATAATTTTTTAATATCTATTGACTTGATATATTTCGTACACACACATGCTACACTAAATTTCAGGATGTATTTATGCAGTACCATGGTGACTATATCTTGATCTTATTTTGTTTTAGTAAATATTTCCACCTCTAGGATGTCTGCCATTGAGACCTGTATTATTGACAAACAACAGCCAATATGTCTACTTCATCTGATTTCAAGGAATACTGAAGTTGTTTTGACACAAACTACTTTTTTAATGAAGTGTGTATACTTCAAATGCTATGTGACTGCTTTAAGGGTAGTTCCTGTACACTACCTTTTGAAAGTTGGCAGTAATTTTTTTTAAAAATGGTAGCCAATGAAAATGAAACATATGTTTAGTTAAACAAATAATCTACAAAATGTATCCAGTTTGAATGAAAGCAAAGCAAAAACAGCACTGAGTATCTAAAATAATGGGATGAACATACCCAAAAAACCTGTTGCACACCTCCATTCTGAAAGCATTTTGCACCTCATTCAGTTGTATTTCTTCTGGAAAACTCCTTTTATAGGTGCTGTTTATAGAACAGTGTCTAGCTTCTAACACGAATTATCAATTTATTTTCCGTATTTGGGTACACTTAGCCAAGTCCAAAGTATGTATGTATGTATCATATAATATATGCCCTTCCATAATCTCATCACTTAATTCTTTCAGATGTGAGTACAGGCCATAACCTTTCTCTGTTTCCAAATGTGATTATGCAACTATAAAGCAGTGGTCTAATGAAGTGATCCAGTCAAAATCAAGCAATGGAAGAAATGAGCATGTGGTCTCTTTAAAGAAATGAGAAATAAAAATGATCATATTGTGCTTAATGTTGTTGTTTTTTTATCCATTATTATCCATGAGAATGCAAACTCCACCTTTAGCCTTTCACCTCTACCTTATTTTTTAGAGTAAACTTTTTTTAAAAAAAGTAAGTGAATAAACTTTTGTTGGAAATGAAGTTATTTTATTTGGAGTTTGATAGTTCAAAAAGATACCGTCATATATATCCCGGAGAAAATATATTTTCTTGGAAAGACTCCTCTGTCATATTAACATCCATAATCATTCAATTATTTAACCTTATTAGAAAGGTGAATTTATTCATAAGGCAGGGAACATTAATTCCATCTTCCATTGTGCTAGAAGACATTTTATTCAAACCTTAATTTAAATTGTCACCCAATATTGTCAGGTCACCTAGCATAATTGAAGGATTGCATTTTGAAAATATCTGAAATTCTGCATAGCATTTTAGTTATCTCTGCCTTAGGAGCACAGATCTATCCTTCTCAAAAGCGGGTAAATATTATGGTTACAGCTACTGTACTCACTTTCAAAAGCTCTCAATTTCAATTAAAACCTTTGTAGATGCTGGTTTAGCTTCTCAAAGCTCCTCTCAGATTAGATCAGAAAATTCCTCCAGAAAAAAATATATGCAAGAACTCAGGTAATTTTTCAAATGGCTTATCAGTTCATATGGGGGCAAATGGGGGATACTGCTGGAGCAAATCAAAGGGAAGCAGTCAAAAAAATAATTTACTCACACCTTTGGAACAACAACAAAAAAAATTAATCAGTATTTAAAACATTTTCATTTGTGACCTGATGGCCAAATAAAGACACAGGCACAAGGGCTGGGTTGAACTAGGTTAAACTTAAAGTGTAAACCAATGAAATACCCACAGAAGGAACCAACTATTGGTGTGGGAACCAACATTAATGTAAGGCAAAAACTGCAGTCACTACAGTGCCCACCATCCCTGGCCTGTTGTGATGGCCTGGGAATCTGATTCGGAGGCTGAACCTGAGGAATCCCAGCCTGTACAGGATTCCCCGCCTCCAGGACATGCTGAGCCAGGGCTGGGGCATGAGCCTGAAGGGTCCTCACCTGTGCTGGATCCTCAGGTGCAGGCACCAGCTGAGTCTGCTTTGGCCCCTGAGGAGGACCCATTGCCTGCAGGTGCTCCACTCTTAGCCCTATGAGAGGAAGCTGAGGTTACCTCTGGGTCTGGTAACCCTCAAGCCTCTCCTGAGCTGCAGAGGCTCAGGGCAGAGAAGCGGAGAGAACTAAGTTCCTGCAGGAGGAGTGCTCGCCTCCAGGCCAGGAGGGGCGAGTCACCTGAGGATCGGGTCCACCCTATGCCTCGGGGGAGATAAAAGCCAGCCAGCCCCAGTCCCAAGTTGCAGGAGCAACATCGTTGGTTGTCAGTTCCAGCCTGATCCATGACCTGCTTCCCTGCCGGAGCTCCTGACCTCACCTGACGCCCTGCCCTGCACCCAGCTTCGACTTCTACGGACTACCTTCATATTGCACCATCGACCTCGGACTGGACTCGGACCTCGCCTCTCGGTTAGCCCCCGGGACCAGCACACCTGTGGGAAATAAAGGCATACATAGCTCTTTTCCCTAGGCCACAGCACAATTGTGAGTAGGTGGGCTTTGTGCATCCCCCTCATTGCCTGTGACCTTAGCTCCAGGTGGGTGGGGGAGATTGGCCTCAAAGGCAGCCTTTATCAGGGATGTAGTGTGTGGGGGGGCTGCTGGGGCAATGGCCCTGGGTGCATTTTTTGGGGGGGGCGGAGCTGGCAGGGCTGTGTGAGGAGGAAGCAACAGGCATGCACCCTTCAAATCAGACTGATTGGAAGGGTGCATCCCTGCCCCCACATGGCACTGTTATACTAGGAGAAAAGAGTAAAAAAACCCTCAGCTCGAAACCTCACTAAAAGCCAAAAAGGCAATTGCTCTTAGAGCCACAGAGCTGACCCGGAAATATAAAGCAGGAAGAAACCTACAGTGGTACCTCGGGTTAAGTACTTAATTCGTTCCAGAGGTCCGTACTTAACCTGAAACTGTTCTTAACCTGAAACACCACTTTAGCTAATGGGGCCTCCTGCTGCTGCCATCCCGCTGGAGCCCGATTTCTGTTCTTATCCTGAAGCAAAGTTCTTAACCTGAAGCACCGTTTCTGGGTTAGCGGAGCTCCATGATAAGCTCTTGGTGATATACATCCATATCTGGACACTCAAATAATAATAGCAGAGCTATTCCCCCCCCCCCCCCCCGGTATAAAGTGCCTTTTATAACTTCCCCACAAATGTGCTTCATTTTTACCACCATCACCACCAGTTATGATAAAATGAGTCCTTTTCTCAACAGCCTCTCCAGCTTCAGGTTTGGTTAAGCCATTCACACAACCTCAAAGGGGTGAATCAGCGAGGCAAAAATTCCAACCTATTTCCTGATCTGGGACAATATCAACTTCAGCAGCTTTTTCTGCCTCAAAGAAATGCCATGCATTTGGTTCTATTTCAGCTCCCAAATCCCTTTCAAACACAAGTCTCAGTCAATCTAAGCTCCCAGCAGACATTTGAAAGTTACTTGATTACTGGATACTTGAGATTTTTATAAAATAAGAGCAGATGGCAAGTTACAACATCACTTTTTTATTAATAGCGGTGACTCCCAAGTGCTCATTGCACATCTTTTCGGTAGAGTTATAAAGGCATATCCCAAATTAAAATTGTTTATATGCCAAACGTGTTGCTTAGGGATTCATTGCTTACTTCATGCACCTTTCGGTTCCCTTGTGTATCTTTTAGCATGAAAATTATCATATTTTGCCAGGTTTAAAGGCATGATAGGACGTTCCTCAACGATTAAACGTAGAATGTTAAGTAAAACAAGTGTCAAGAAGACAAAATCTGTTCAAATCCCCTGATAGTCTCTGTGCTGCTGCTTTTTAGATCTCCGATAATTAGATAAACTCACAGTGCTTCTGGCAAGTACCATTTTCAAAAACAAAGCTGTATTCAGGGTTCATCTAACTGAATTCAATGAAAACCAATATGTGGAGGCAAATGTGGTTTGAATTCTACCGCAGCTAAGTAACTTTAATTTCATTTTGCCTAAATAACTTGAAAGATATAACACAAAGCTGTTGAAAGGTACCATCTACTACTATTGTCCCAAAACCCAAGAGGCATAAAATGCGGTCTCATCTACTCAGTCACCTCTCATTTCCAGCAACTTGGTGGCAAAGTGCTTACTCAGATTTTCTATGGTGTTGAAATCTGCAGCTCTCATCTGAACTCCATTAAAGTTTTGGAAACTGTGCAGAATTTTTTTATTTTGGAAGCTATACTCTGGGCCATCAGGAATATTAGCAGCTCTTTGTACAGAACCTGGATGGCCAACAATTAAGACAAGGACAGACTAGTAGTATGCCTGTTGAGCATTTTCCTGTGCTGTGCTATATGGAATTGGATGATAACCAACTCTGGAAAGCAGCTTGTCAAGATGTTTTAGGGTATTATTTTCTAGAACTGAGCTCTGCTTCAACATTGAATAAGTTTCATCTAAGGGATTGGCTCCTCTGGATAGAATCCACAAGGGACCTGGAGACTAATTAGAAACAGCAAAAAAAATCCCCCTTAGTATGCACTCTTGAGAACAAAGCATTTTAGAGCTAGTTATCTGACCAAAATCCCCCTAACTCAAAAAATGCCTTTAGTGAGTTGCATTTCCCACTGCAGTCTTGGATGGCCACTGCAACTAGGTCATGTACACAGACACACTTTGTATATGTGGTCAACCACAGATGGAAGATGACACTCATTATCTGCTAGCCCCTTATATAGAGACAGAAGAGATCGTTTTCCAAAACCTTTATTCACACACAAGCAAGCAGGTAAATCCTGCCATAAAGCTGGATTTGAATTTGTTGATGTCTCTGGTAACTCCTCTCTTACATCATAGGCCCATATTATGGATCCATGGTCTGTATTGTTTTATGTATGGGTAGCTTTTAGACTCTGCACTTCTCTGAATTGTGCAATAGAGTACAAAGCTGTTCATCTTTTCCAGAATCCAGTGCATTTAGAATCCAGTATATTTAGAAATGTACATTGAGTTAAATTATTTTTAAAATATTTAAGTACAGTTTTATATGGTCTCATATTGGTAAAATATGATTTCATATGGTGTATTTTGTTTTTCAGTTCAAGATCGGGCCAATTTTAAGGGCAGCCATTTTTATTTGTTTTAGTAAGGTCCATGGGGCTGCTTGCCAATTATTTTGCCATTGGCTATTTTTCTTTAAGCTGCTCCCTTCCTTTAACTGTTTGTAAATTTTGTTTTTTGCAGTGGGAGTAGGTTCTCACAGCCTGATAGTGAAAAAAATAGTTAAAAATGTAAATAAACAGTTAAACAAAACATAGGGAAACAGACCTCACAACAACGTATGAACTTTTGGCAGCCGACCCCTGAAAATTGATAATTTTTGCTTCTGCAAATGGAACAGTGCATTTGGAGGATTAATTCTGCCTGACCCTTGTTCACCCACACTCATGTGCACACAGACTTTCTTAGAAGTCAATTTCCCTGAAATAAATGGAACTTTAACTGAGTAACTGGGGCATCAGGATACAGGATACCTTTCTCTACCATAGGTATTCTTTTTCCTTTTCCTGGTAATTCTTCTTTCCCCAGCCCCAAGTCAATAAAAACCAGTTTTCCATGTAATTTGTTTATTGATATTGCAGAGCGGCCATAGTTGAACTGTTTTCGGTACTTTCTCCCCTTCATTCAGATTTATTCAGCTCAGTATATCCTCCCCACCATCAACACCAATGGGTGGTTGTCATATGGGTTGTCCATATGAACTATGATACTGTGTAATCATATACATGTTATTCATAAGTCAGTCCCATTGAGTTCAGTGGGACTAGATCCTCATTCAGTATGTCTAGAACTGCAGCCTAAAATTGTTATTGACTGACAGCTAGGAAGAAGCAGATCTGGTTTTTGAGTTGGTATTTTCAATGGCCGGAGAATGATGGTGCACTTCAGATGCAAATTGCTCTTTTATTTTCACTTCAAGAGCAGCATTACAGAAAGATAATGCAATGTCAGAAGAAAGGTTAGACCTTAAATGTGCCACAAATGTGTTCATTATTGTACCTTTTTCATTTTGTAGGAACTCTGACAACTATTATATTGCAAAAGGGGGCTTTCGAGCTATCAAATGAAACATACGCAATCTGTATTAAAATAAATATTGGAGGGGATGAATAAGTGAAATGACAGAATTGTTAAAGGAAAATTGTTTCTGCTATGGAACTTTTTATGGAAAGCATCTTACATTTGGCAATTACTGGTAAATATCAGTCACACAAGGCAATGATCATAGAAGTTATACTGAGCACTTTTTAGACAGTAGAAAGTGCATTAAAAGACTACTACACTTGATCTTAGCCAAAAGGCCGAGTGATTAAAAGACTATCAAAATAGAATGTTAACAATATTTAGGTGTTTATATTTTCAACCTGGTTTCGTTCGAATGTGATTCCAGGGTGTTCTTACAAATATATTGTGCATCCACATGCACACAAATGCACACACAAATTGAATAAAACTATTAAACATACCAAAGTTTTAAAACTGTAACCTGATATTAAATACATAAGATAAAAATAGTGAGCATTGTGGATATATTCCATTAAACATGAACAGCTTGCCCTGTCCCATAAGCCTAACATCTCCAAACAACATTTCAAAGCAACTCCTAAAATTTTGTAATGAGGGACCACTACACAGTAGAGAAGAGGAAATTCCACAAACTGGGAATGTCATAACCAAGACTGGTGCTGACCATGCTACCACCCACAAGCTTTGTTCCTCAGTGGGAGCATGTTAAGGGCCTTGACTTCATATCTGAATGCAGATATTGGGAGAGGGGCTCCATCATGTAATTAGAACCCAGGATTTTCAGGGATTTATAGTTCACTGTGCACATCAACTTCCTTAAAACAAGCCACTTCCATACTTTGGTTATATCTGACACTATCTCCTAGTTTTTGGTTATGGGCATAAGCATCGGCTCCTGGGGGCTGAGCCACTGTGGACCCTCTCAATTTGTTTTGGAAGGGGACTGGGGGCCTCCCTTGTTGAGGCTGAATGTAGAGCCAGGTGCAGAACGTTAGGATATTGGGTTGGGTCCCCTCAATGTGCTTCAGAATATGGTGCCTGTGGTTATGGATATATACTGTATTGTTCGCTCTATAAGACACACCAGACCACAAGACACACCTAGTTTTTGGAGGAGAAAAACAAGAAAAAAATATTCTGAATCTCAGAAGCCAGAACAGCAAGAGGAATCGCTGCGCAGTGAAAGCAGCAATCCCTCTTGCTGTTCTGGCTTCTGGGATAGCTGCGCAGCCTGCATTTGCTCCATAACACGCACACACATTTCCCCTTACTTTTTAGGAGGGAAAAAGTGAGTCTTATAGAGCAAAAAATACGGTAAGTTCCATGCTCTCCCCAGGTCCAGATATGGGGATTCTAATTATGAGAGCATGTACATATAAAAATAATTTAAGAAAATCAGATGGGACCCAATTCATACATGTGCTTCATGTGTAGTGCCTGTCTCACACAATGCCATATACGCACAACTAGAATGAACACACAGCCTGTTCCTTCCCAGCCAACCAAGGATTGTTATTTAATGGATTGTTAGTATTATTACTATTATCATCAAACACTCATGCCAAAGACTCGTGTATGCAGCTGGGAAAGCCTGCTGTATGTTTCACCCCCATACCCACTTTATGTAATAGCATCAGCGGTGGTCTTCGGGCTGTCAAATTTCAGGGGTGCCTTGTGCAACGCTAAAATTCAGTGCCCCCTGCCTCTCTCACTTCATTCCACAGTATTGCTGTGGCGCCCCCTGCAGCGTCCAGTGTGGGCAAACCAGCCCTACTACCCTAAAACCCCCTCTGATAGCATTTCCTACTTGAAAAGCATTGCAACTAAGGAAACAAACAATGCCACTTTGTTAAAATAAAACGATCTTGCAAACTGTTGCCTTTACAAACTTACCATTGCCATTCTATGTACGCAAGTAAACACAGTGCTTATCCTTCCAAATGGGATAAGGAGAAAAACAATCTGTTTCAGAGCAAATTGTTGAAAAGCGTTCAGTTAGCAATCAAACTCATGATTTAATATATCCCAAAACAGCCATAGGAATTTGGCAGGGCAACGCAGCTGTATGACAGCATAATAACCACGGAGGAGAAGAGAGCACCATACCCTCAGTCTGCATCAGGCAGCCAGCTAAGCAGAAAAATAAGCTTCCCCAAAGTCGACATATTATCCAACTCTGAACCAAAGGATATAAAAAATTCTTGAATTAGCAGTATGAATCTATGATTCACACTTTCTGGCCAGATACATAACTTGAGCCTATATTTTAAGGTTGACAAAATGTGTTTTATCTTGCTTTTCTTAAAACAGTTTACATTATGAATTTTGCAAAAGAAGAAGACGAAGAAGAGTTTGGATTTGATATCCCGCCTTTCTCTCCCTTTAAGGAGTCTCAAAGCGGCTAACATTCTCCTTTCCCTTCCTCCCCCACAACAAACACTCTGTGAGGTGAGTGGGGCTGAGAGACGTCAGAGAAGTGTGACTGGCCCAAGGTCACCCAGCAGCTGCATGTGGAGGAGCGGAGACGCGAACCCGGTTCCCCAGACTTACGAGACTACCGCTCTTAACCACTACACCACACTGGGGGAGAGGTGGGGATCCAGAAGAAAATGTGGGATATAGGGCTACTATTGAAATGTGCTGGCGGATTCTATTCAAGGGAAAATGCCAAGCAGATCTCACTAGAGAATTTGGAAATGGGGACTCGGCAGTCAGCTACAGATTTCACCGGGTCCAAATGGATTTTGTAACAGTGGCCTCATGATTTCAGCATGTGCAATATTATAATTTTTGTGTGTTTCTCTTGCAGGATCACTATGCAACCTATAGGATGGTGTTTCTAGATATTTCATCATTCTTCTGGATATGTCTGTAGGTGTCTCGCTAAGCCGAACACATAAGCTAGGATATTCTGTTCCATTGCAATAAGTAGAAACTTCCCCTTGAATTAGAAGAACTAAATCTAGCTATTCTAGTTGCTACTGATTTTCCCCTGGCACCTACTCCATTACCTTTTTAGCCATACTTTATACCAAAAGAGTATAAAGAGTCATGGTGGTCATGACTGGACAGATCTTTGGCTATATAGATAATTAAAATACATTCTGGTTCTTCATTAACCTAGCATCCAGATTAATATCTCAAGATTTTGACCCCTTTTAATGGACTCTTAATGCCGACTTGTTTTTTTCCATTTCCCCCAGACCATTATCAATGCTGCTTTGATGTGCTGTTTTTATTTTATTTATTTTTTAAATGATTGTTTTTATCCCTTGGGAGGCAGGACATTTTTTGAAGTGCAGAATGCAAATCTTGCCCTTCAAAAATGTCAAAAGCTCTCCATTAACTGTACTTCCAATAGTGTAGTCTTTATGATTAAACAAATGCTGAATCTTCTTTACTATATATGTTCTGGTAAGAAATGCTTAACAATGGGGCTCAGTTATGGACCAGAAGCACCTACTCAATTTATCAAACTTTTACATGCCTGCTTGACACACTTGGAAAAGACAGATTACTTGGATCCATTTTAATGTAGCTTCAAGTCTGATCATGGCACACTGAAACCACATTGGTCACCCTGGTTGATGGCATTTGTCAGAAGAAAGATGGGTGATTGCACCCCGAGGCCCCCAAGCCCTTCCCCAGTAAATATATTCAAACGGACACATAATTTTAGTTTAGGTTTTTGGGCAGAATTTTGGCCACAGCTTTATTGATTACAAAACAAATTGAGCGATATTGGCCTAGGCATTGGTCAGGGACGATAACTGACTCCAGCCTCTCTGGCTGGCAGTCTGAAAGGGCAAACACCAAATGAGGGAGCAACATCGGTGAAGATCGATTGAAGTTCACCCTGGGGTTCCTGTGGTCCTGGCATGGCCCTAGCCCCTCAAGCGGACTTTGGATGAGATCCAGGACCCCCAGATTCCTTTACCGGAATACCCTATTTCTGGAGGGGCAGGTGATGGCCACACCTCCCCTCCCCCACAATTCTATAAACCAATGCCTAACTGCCACATGAGCCTAGCGCTCACCGCCATTACCTTCACCTTGCAACCAGTCCTTTAAGCCATCACGGACTTCAGCCAGCCACACATCATTACCTTCATCAGATAAATGCACTCCATCTGACCTAAACAGGGCTGCATTAGAGAATGCAATGCCTGGGTGGGGGATCACCCTGCCACCCATGGATAACACCTTCCGCACTACCTTGGAGTCTACCCACTTCCGGGCATTATTTGTTGCAACTGGGTTGATGCTATTGTGCCAAAAGTGCCTCATGAGGAAACGTGACCAAAAAATTAATGTGCCTCACCCACATCGCGCTGCCGCATTTATAGGATCCCAGGATCATGCCACCTGCCTCAATTGGCCCAAACAGCCAGGCACGATCCCAGGGCCCAACTGACAAGGCTTGGGCCACGCCTAGTAACAACTCACCCCGTGGGGGTGGCTTAAGGGGCCCGAGAGCAACCAGGACCCTCAATTTAGGAGGATCCCATAAACCAACCCATCTTGTTCTTCTTGAGCTCTTGGCAGTTTTTGATACAATTGTATCATTCTGGATTACCCCCCCCCCAAAAAAATCTCAACCAGAGCAGTCTTACGAGTACATGCTTTGCACATGAAAGGTCCCAGGTTCAATCCTGCTTCAAACCTTTGAGATTTTGTGCCAGTCATTGTTGACAATACTAAGCTAGACTGACTGGCATTGTCTAATGGAGCATTCTGTGTTGCGTGTGTAGGCCCCCAGGCCACCCCTCAAATAATTTCACACAACACACATAATTTTAGTTTTGGTTTTTGGGCACAACTTTATTAAAATACAAAATCTGTGAGTGGTTGTTTAGACATTGGTTATGACTATCTGTCCCCCCGCCTGGGACAGAACTGACATCCCGAGCTCCGATCGGAAGCCAGTTGAAGGGAAAGTCAATGTTGGGAATCAGTTGAGCTGAGCGTCAGTCCCACGCCGCTCACCCAACCAGCTTCCCAAGGCTTGCCGGCCCTGGTCCCATGGAAGGGATTGGACGAAATCGTGGCAAGCCCCAGGATTCCTTTAACGGAATTCCCTTCAGCACAATTGGAGGGGCAGGCACAGCCTATCCTGACCCCTCCACCACCAGCTTATTAAAACCAATGCCTAACCGCAACCTTACAAGGTGTGACGAATTGCTAAGTAGTAGGCAAAACCAAATGGCACCAGCCAATCAGCCAAATGGAAAAATTCCTACTAGGCCCCTGCACCAAGGCAGATGACCCCATGACAGGCAAAGCAAGGTCAACCGGAAAACAGGGCGGGCAGGTGATCTGATGCACTCTGCAAAAGAGAATGGAAAACCAGAGAGCCCCCATATTTAAAGGCTATGGCCCCACCCACCAATTTGCTACATGCAATTTGCCCCAGCTACCCGGTCATCCAATCAATGCACCAGGCAATAGCCATTAACCTGCCCGGCAACACAGGGCTGGCCTGGTGGCCCACACCGCAACACGCACTCTCATTTAATTGGAGAATGTGCTTTACGTGAAAGAAGTTCTTCAAAGGAATCAACAGTGCAATCCTACATTTTAATATATTTTTTTTGCAAAATCTTGATATATTCAATTGAACTCTCCCATTAGTGAATGTGTACATGATTGCAGCCCTAGTCAGACATCTGCAGTAGCCTATTCCTTGAATACCTTACTGAAAGAGATTATCTATATTAACCAGTGATTTTAACCATAGTGAGTAAAGTTTTCAAAAGTTTCATGTTTTCACAAATATTACATAGCTCTGCAGCCTACTCTGCAGCAGCTCAGCCAGGCAGATTATTCCTCAGAGATGACAGTGATCCATTTTATTAAAACCGAAGTTTTATTTATCATCCAGGGATGACAAGAAGATACTGAACCACTCACTCTGCATCTCTTATCACAGGCCTTGTCTCTGTAATTACCTATTCTAAGTGCACATATAACAGGCCCTCAGGCTTCCAGAATTATCTCTGGCTTCAGGGACAGGCTTTTTGCTGCTTCTTTTTTTTTACAAACATTTCCCTTAAGAGTTGCCTCTGGAGATTACAACTGACACCAGAAAGGCGGGGGGGGGGGAGGTAGAGGAGCAAAATGGAAGACTCAGTAAGGGGAAAGGCAGAGGTACAAAATGCAAGGAGGGAGAAGGGAATCAAGAGAGAGCAATGTGGGGTTATTAGGGACACTAATTAATGAAGCCACACCACATTTTGCTGAAACAAACTCAATAATATCATGTTGCAAGGGCTTTGCATTTCTTTTCTACATTGCCTACAGGTATCTGAACATTTGATTTGGTAGCACTTAGGACATTAAGGCTGAAACCCTGAACGTCCTTAGCTGGAAATATTTCCTTCTGTTCACTCATGCTAAACTTGTGGTCCAGATACCATAGCATCTTCTGTTTTTGATTATAACACAAAGGCAAGGAAGAGATGCAAAATGCAGTACCCAAACAGCTGCCTTGGGAGAACACATACAATCCTCCTTGAGACAAGGATCCAGTTTCCAATGAGGGAGGATAAAGAATTGTTTGCCAAGGAAGGAACGGGAAATATAAGCAACCAGGGAAGACACAACCACACACTGACAGTAGCAGACTCCTGCGGCCCATGACATAGGATTCGGAAACCAGAGGTGCAAATTCAAACCCTTGTCAAGGGGGATGTTACCTCACACACGCTTTTATGTGCCTGGCCAGCAAGAGTTATGTTGGACCTGTTGACACCACAGAGGTGTTCCTGGTGACTGGGAGTGGCCGCCGGGACCACATAGCACTGGTCCTGAGAGATCTGCATTGGCTCCCAGTACGTTTCTGAGCACAATTCAAAGTGTTGGTGCTGACCTTTAAAGCCCTAAACGGCCTCGGCCCAGTATACCTGAAGGAGTGTCTCCACCCCCATCATTCAGCCTGGACACTGAGATCCAGCACCGAGGGCCTTCTGGCGGTTCCCTCATTGCGAGAAGTGAGGTTACAGGGAACCAGACAGAGGGCCTTCTCGGTAGTGGTGCCCACCCTGTGGAATGCCCTCCCTTCAGATGTGAAGGAAATAAGCAGCTATCTTCTTTTTAAAAGACATCTGAAGGCAGCCCTGTTTAGGGAAGTTTTTAATATTTAATGCTGTATTGTTTTTAACACTTGATTGGAAGCCGCCCAGAGTGGCTGGGGAAACTCAGCCAGATGGGCGGGGTATAAATAATAAATTATTATTATTATTCCTTGCCCACTCAGTCATAAGCAGACACATCATGGGACATTTCTCTTCCCTGCCACTGCTTTAAGAACAAGTCATATAAGCAAATGGACTGCACTAGAAACCGTATCCTGGTAGAACAGCTCAGGTATCATAGGCATGGAGGTCTAGCTTTGACCTCACATGGCAGAAGCTCCTACATCCAGAAACAAATTTACAGCTGCTTTGCCAGCAGAATTGTGCCTGCACAGCAGAAACGCTTGTGTAGCATCATACCAGTGTTGCGCCTCATAAAAGGCCGGCATATGGAAGTTTCCACCATATACTACAGCCCCACAGCTGGTATAGAGGAAGGCTCCCTAATGCTTCAAAATGCTGACAGGTCTAGTTTTGCGCCTATATGCATTTATGTACACAAGCAATATATTTGGAACAGAAGTGCTGAGAAAGAGGGAACAAATTAACCATCAAAGCAAAAATTTATAAAATTCCAATGTTTTGAACAATTTGAACTCATTAATGACTCGTCACTTTCGCTGAGCCTAAAAGAGCTTTCTCCAGAGAACAATTAGCTCTTGTCTGAATACAAATATTTTTAAACGCACCTCATTCATGTTTGTTTTGTCAATAAAGCAACGACATCTCAGTCTCCTCGAGGTTAATTGCTTGACTTATTAAAGATGCATGATTTTTTGGATTTAAATACACATAGCTGACACTCCATTCAGATATTCTTTAAACTTCTTGTTAAAAACACCTTTTTCAAAGGACATTTGTTAAAAAACCAGAAGCATTTTTGTTACGGATTGTAGGACAAGACCTGCCAAGGAAAACAAAGAATTTATTTATGTATTCAACAACAGTGGCAAGAGTCTTGATAGCACAAGGATGAAAGAATGAGGAAACCCTGACAAAAGAACAGCGGCAAGAGAAATTGATGAACTATGCAGAACTGGCTAAACTGACGTACAAATTGTGAGATAAGGACAACTGTGACTTTAAAGAAGAATGGGAACTTTTCACAAATTACTTAAAAAGACAACAAAATGAATTGGACTCCTTGGCAGGTTTTGAATAAACATACACAAATTTATTGATTGATAATAGGGTAGACAGATAATGTGAGGACCTGTATAATTTTATAACATGCAGAGAATAATATGGGTTGAGAAATCAGAGAGAGGAGCTGAAGGAAGTCTTGGGAGGAAGGGAAGGGGAAAAATAATACGATATGTTTTGATATGTTGAAATTGCTAATAAAAACATTTTTTAAAAAACAAAAAACACATTTTTCTTTTTTCTTTTTGTTCTGCATATACCAGACAATTCCACAGGCTTCTAATCTACAGGAGAATTTGTGTGACTACGCCCCCCCCCCGCCATGTCCCATGCTTCTTCCGTTAAGGTATTTTATGTTTCAACAATGCACTGGAGTATGAGGGTGTCAGAATCAAATATTAGAGGGAAAGTGTGTATTCAAAATAATCCCTGAATGCTCCAGTGGATTAAGATCATTCTTGTAGCAAACAAGTCCATACTGCTGTAATTAGAGGAACACAATAAGGGACTTGAAGGGCTGCTGTGGAAAGTTAGAAACCTAAATTTTCGGACCCAAGAGATTAAACACAGACCTGTTATGAAACTGTGAAGAATGAAAACATACTGACCCACAGGCAAAGAACAACAAACTTAAGTACTTGAATCTATGTATTTAAACACATAGGCTTTGATCTCCTGACATTCTGCTTTAGGAAGAAGTGGGAGCAATTATTGCCAATTACTCCTCTTCCTTGCAGGTCTCTGCACCCCCTAAAAATGTGCACCTCAGGACTGGGAATCCCTCTGGAACTGTATGAAGAGGTGCTGCTGGGTGCAAGGGCAAGGAGGAACTGGTTATATAGCTTGTAAAAAAAAGAATGCACGTTTTCTATATCCAGTGAATAACTGAGTGCAAAGCAACCAACAACATTCTATTCCTGGAACACCTAAAGAAGTCGAATGCCACATGAATCAACGACAAGGTCAGAGCAATACCATCAACACCTTGTGGCTTGTTCTTTTGCTAGAAGAACATATTCCAGTGTCAGAGGCACTGCCAATCCACAGTTATGCATTATACATTTTGGCAGGACTTACCGCAGTAATCACGGCACCCTTTCACATTGCAAACTTATACGAAAGGCTATTTCTGCTTAGATAAATAGATGTCAATATTATCGGGCAGCCAGGATGCAGAATGATTTGAGAAATAAAGACGAGGGTGCCACAGAAAAGGGCAGCAAAACATGCATTGCTAATGCATGGCCTTCAGCAATATTTTTATTTATTTACTTATTATACTCCAAGCGTGGAATCATAGAATACATTAATATTCCATACAGCATTTTGGAAAAAGAAAACATCTGCCCCATAATAGTTATTTAAAAAAACATTAGCAATATGCAAACAATAAACAAAGCTATACTCCCACCCTACTAGCAGATAAAAATCAAAACTCAACACTGGCCCCCTTCTCCATAATCCAAAAACCCTTCACACCAACCTGGAATTTCCCCCCTCCTTTTTAACCTCCCCACCCCACCTCACCCAGAAACCCATAGTCAAGACCTGCAGCTGTACATCCATGGTGGGTTGGTCCAGGGTTCTCCAGGGATGGTCCAGCATCTCTCCTCCTTTCAGACGCATTTCTGACAACTGGATTTCCTTGAAAACCAATGGCACTGATATGCACCAGTAGACTCTTAAGTTCAGTTGACGTCAATGGGGTTTATGCTGCAATCCAAACCCCTTCCATGTTGTGCTGGTGTGTTTGTGGAACAGACGTAGCTGTCTCTCCATCCAGCTCTGCCAGCCTCACGTAGCCTCCCCCTGAGGATTGACACCAGTATCACGGCACTGGTGCAGGATCGTCCATTCTGCCCACTGAATGAATTCGTACCAGAAGCACCACACAGGAAGCCAAGAAACAGGGAATTCTGGAGTGTGGGGTGGAACAGGAGCTGAGAATGTACAGGCCTGAACAATGTGTTGCCTGTGGTCTGTTCCAGCTGGTGCAAGCGGTAGGACTGAAAATGTAGCAATGGTCCCACCACTCCAATAAGCCCCACTGCGTTCTGGGTTTGGAGTGTAGCCTTAGTCACAATGACTTGCTTTACTGAATTCAGCCAATGATCACTGTTTCCCCACTGTGTCTGATATAATTTATTTGTTTGTTTGCAGAAATGCATATCCTATTGTCAGATGCTGTGTGGTGGTTGCTTGTGAGTAACCAGGCAGGACTCCAACCTGTCTTTTACAGGTTTTATTGTGCAAACTATTTACAGTGCAGATACACAAAGTTCATGTCCTTCCTAGTCACTTGCAGAATCCGGGAGTGGCCCCTTCTGGCTTTTCTCCTAACATAAGAACTTAGACATAGGGACACGGGTGGTGCTGTGGGTTAAACCACAGAGCCTAGGACTTGCCAATCAGAAGGTCGGTGGTTCGAATCCCCGCAAAGGGGTAAGTTCCCGTTGCTCGGTCCCAGCTCCTGCCAACCTAGCAGTTCAAAAGCACGTCAAAGTGCAAGTAGATAACTAGGTACCGCTCTGGTGGGAAGGTAAACTGTGTTTCCGTGCGCTGCTCTGGTTCGCCAGAAGTGACTTAGTCATGCTGGCCACATGACCCGGAAGCTGTACGCCGGCTCCCTTGGCCAATAAAGCGAGATGAGCGCCGCAACCCCAGAGTCGGTCACGACTGGACTTAATGGTCAGGGGTCCCTTTACCTTTAAGAACTTAGACACCCCAAATCTCCGCCTCCCCTCCTTGCGTTTTACCCCTCTGCGCAAGCTGGGCAACGGAAGTGGCCCCTCCTGGCCAGCCAGGCTAGGTGAGGTGCTTGGGCTCTCAGAAGCATCTTCGAGCCCTCTCCTCGCTTGGCTGGTCCCTTCCCTCTCTTCTCCACTGGAGGTGTGGGGAAAGCTTTCCCCACCGCTGGACGAGGAACTGCTCCTCAGAAGCGTAGGAGGCTCCTTGTATCCAAACAGCATCCCTGCCTCCCTCCCCTGTTCTGATGGCAGTCCCGTGGCACCTCAAAGGCTCAAAATTGGTAAGAATGCCTAGAAATAAGACACAAACTAGCAGTTTAGATTTAAATTGTATAATAATACTCCGGGGATTGGAGTAGATGACCCTTGGGGGGTCCCTTCAAACTCTACAATTCTACGACGCTATGATTAATAAAACACAGAATTAAAATAGCCACGTCATTGAACCATGCCCTGCAAAAGCCAAATGTTGGCTTTTATTTGGTTGTGAACTGCCTTAGTATTTATTCTTGAAAAGAAAGGCAGAATATAAAGTGTTTTAATCATCACCATCCACAGATATCCTTTCTTGCCCCTAGGGGGGTACTCTCTATACCACTTCTGAAGTGACAGATTTACAGCCAGACGATGATGCCAGTCCCCAAAGTGTGTGAAAGTGCTGAATTTATGATTTAGATTTGGTTCATGAGACTGTGGTTTCTGCAGTTATAAGCAAGAACCATTCAGGAGCTATCCTCTGGAAAGAAAGTGATATTCAGATATATTGAATATCATTTGGTAAAACGGCTTTTTTCTTTTCTGTTCTTTTCAGTTGGAACTCACTAGAACTCAGTTCTGGCATCCCTCAGGTGGGCGCCATTGCCATTCTAAGAGAATGAGGGATGTGTTTGTGGTGAGTTCTGGCACCTCTTTTTCTAGAAAAATAGCAGTGGGCATATCCTTTCCAGTGAGACAAAAACGATGGGGGAGGGGGGCACTATGGAGAGCTATTGTTGCATAGAGAACAGTCAAGGTGGCAGTGGGAATTCAGTTACTTCATGTAGATGCAGAGTGATGGAGCTTTTAATGCCTGAACATAACAAGCACAATAGTAGGATATAAGGAACAAACTAGGTCATGCACTAGAAATATAGTTACAGACTACTGCTAACAACAACAGGACAGAAGACAGAAGCCAATGGCCTAAATTGCAGCCCATTGTGAAGCACCTGAATTTGAACCCAACCAAAGTGGAACATCCAGAAATGACCCAAAGGCAGAGAATGGAAATTATGGCACCACCACACTCCTTGAATTGGCACAATATTTTGGCTCAGCTGAAACATCAGCACAGTACATAACACTAGGCCTCTTCAGCAGTAAACCTGTATCACATTTTTCTGCAATTCCAGTCACTTAGGCGCACACATCTCTCACTTGATGACCTCAGCAGCGCCACACCCTGAATGTGCAATCACAGGCCAAGTATTGCACATTACTATAAATGAAATGCTATTATTAAGTACAAGTAGTCCCTACATTAAACATGGGCAATTAAGTAATGAAAAATGAAATTGTTCTAGTAGTGAAACAGCTGTTATTTGCTAGTGCCAGAATTTTTATGCCTGGTTTTTACAGCACAATCCTACGAACACCTACTCAAAAGTAAGTCCCGTTGAGTTCAATGGTGCTTATCTCCAGATAAAAGAGACTAGGGCTGTATTGGAGGGGGTACTTGGGTACATAATTAGGTTGTTGTTAAATCAAAGCAACATGAATTTAAGTTCAACTGTATCCTAGCACTAGCCATTTAATCAGGCTGTATCAAAGGGAGAGAATGGAAACAATGCCATCCTATTGGCTCTGCTAAGGGACTAGACGCCTTTGCTTTTCCTGTTGAACTTATCCTTAGAAAAGAATTGTTTCCTGAATGTGCATAGATACTATGCAGCTCTGTAGAATTTGCAGCTCCATAGGCAGCAATATTTTGCCCTTGAAAAGGTCAAGGAACTTACTTTAGGGTGAAAACAGTCATAATATAAATAGAGGATTCAAAGTGCATATACTTCATCTGTGCTGCAAGCCCAGCCGAGCTAGCAGACCGTAGTAGCATGCATAAAAAATGAAACAATAAATGAGAATTCTGAAAAACCAACAGCAATTCCATCAGCATCGCAGGTAAACACATGGGGAAGGAAACCTTTAAGGTAAGCCTAACTTCAGACAGAAATTAAGGCTTAACTATCACTAACTGCAAACGAGGTAACCCAATGACTTACTATAAACATATGCTTACGAATGCATCATGCAAGTACAGTAATCGAGCAGCCATCATTGGGTATATATTCAGTGACAAACCCAGATTTGCCCCTGAGTGCTGTGCAAAAGAGTCTTCTGCCAGCATGCGTTGTTCTCTCTGAAACTTGATAGCCTCAAGTGGATATGCTACTGCTGTTTACTGACATTTGAAGATATCCACTGCACTTTAGTTTTCTTTGCAAGAAACTACATTGTGTCCTTGGTAACCAATAACGCACATGCTTTGAAGATGCCGTAGCAAATCATTTAAGGAAATTAAGAGGAAACACAATTAACACAGGAATAATATAACGGTAATAATGGTGTTATGACCACATACATTAATAAAATCAGGAGATCCATATGGCCTACACCAAAGAAGAAGATATTTTGGATTAAACCCACATTGTTATTGAGCATAAAGAATAAATGAAATGCACTGTGGGAGATAAGCTAGCTCCCAAATAAAGGAAACAGCCTCAAGAGTTTCATCAAAACAGCTATTTTCTATTACTTTAACCTAGATAGTGTTTGGATTACTTAACTGGAGGATGTGCATGTTTAAAATTTCTAGCAACAAGGAGTGAGGCCTGTCAGTAAACACATTTAGTCCTTATGACAGAAGAAAATGAAAATGGGAATGCTTTCTGTGCCATTTGTTTTCATAACGCATGGCCTTGAATGCTATTCAGACATATGAGATGCCCCTCGTCTGCAGCCTACAATGAACCGACTCTGCAAATGTGCTGCGGAAAGTACTTTTTAGCCCATTAGAATTAATAGAGCAATCTCTTCGGTTCAGCAAGTTTGAATTAGAACATTTAGTCCTTATGCACATTTTAAGTTCTGGTCATATTGCAGATTTCTAAATAAGCTTCTTAAGCATTTTCCACTATCTCTGCATTTAGTGTAAGGTCCTTCTAAATAATATTGAAACACATGACTTAATGGCTGCCTGACTGAAAGGGCACAAATCCGATAGTTTTTAGTACCCTCGCGGAGGAGGCAGATAGCTGGAATTTTTTAATGAAAATAGCATGTGTTACCAACAGGAAAATGAGAAGCAAAGAGAAAGGCACTGTATGCAGCAACTGAACATAAATGGATTATCGAAAGTGCTTGAGTTTCTTGAAGCTCAGCAACGTTGGTGAAACACAATTTCCTTCTTAAGGCTCAGCCTAAAGGCAACCATGCAACTGCTTGTGACTATTTCTTCATTATAAAGAAAATTATACAAAATTAAATTTAAAAAAATATGTTTATAGAAAGACCAAATGGCTTCTTAATGATGCGTGCTATGACACATGTACCCCAGTTTTCAGAGCAGTGAGATATTTCAGGGGTACAGAGTCTAACTTGGGTTCAGTTTCCTTTGAATGAGGTTGCTTTTTTGTAGTATGTATGTTTATATACAAACATACAGGTCAAGCATAGGCAGAAGTTACAACTTAAAAAACAACAACCCATCTGTCACTCCAAATCCTTCAAAGTTTGCTGTTCCCAAATCCTTCAAAGTTTGTTTCCCATCTGCTTCAGTATGCAGTCTCTCCTTACGGGCTCAAACTGACACGGAATCAGCAGATAGTAGGGAGAGAGAAGACTTTTGTTCACCATACATCTGCTGCTCATCAGGCTGCTAATTTACCTAATTTCACAAATACATCTAGGTGGAACCTTAAATGCAGCCTTTATTCATTAACACTCTCCATTAGAATCAGCATCTACACAATTGGAAAGGGAACCTACATACAAGGTCATTTAGCCCAACCCAGGCACCAACAGGGGCAGGATAGAAGTTTGATAAATAAATAATTAGCATACTTGCTAAATTTCTGAACTGTATATATGGGAAATAAATTCAGTTGCTAATATACAAACAAAACACATACAATTGGAATTCCGTTTTGTTCAGTTTTTGTTTTAAAAACCAGTGCAGACCTTTATGCCTTACTGAATCAAAACTGAGGAGGGAGAGCTGAAAAACTGCAGAGGGCTGCAGACGTAGAAAACAAAGAGAGAGACCATTTTATGTTGGGGAAAGATGCCGCTCATCTTGGTATACTGAGCAACTCCTGTATAAGCCTGGACTTACTCTTATGTAGAGCTAGGCTCAATCTTGACTCACTATTTGTTTAGAGATTTTAAAAACAATTATTCCACAAGAAGGGGTGGGAGTCTTCTTTTAGAACGCAATTGGAAAGTGTATATGAGCATATATTTAAAATGATAAACAAAAAATAAACACATAATTGAAACTTCAGACTTGTGCTGGAAATGTGCAGTGTCTAATTTCACCATATACAAATTGTCACTTAGGAACTTACATTAGTGACAGCTATTCAAGGTCTTCATTTAGACTTAATGAAGACAAACTATTGAGTTTTAATATACAAAACATTTCTCTCCTCAGCAAATGTTTTTCATCAATTTCCCCCTCATTCTTTTCCTATTGATTCTAACACCACTAAAATTGAAGGACAAATTGCCATGTCACATTGCCAAATATTCCTTTGTTATTTATTAGGTCATCTTTGTTGCACATCTTAGGTATGTTTCCAGTTCCCTAATGTAAGCAGCTACTGACAGAATATCCAAGAATCTGACACACATGACCATAGGCCCAATGTAAACATTGATGGAGATTAGATTCAAGAGGTAAAATCTTTCAACATCTCGATGACTATTGGTTCCTTTTGCGCTCCGAGGCCCCCAAGACACTCCCCCCCCCCACAAATAACTTCACACAGCCACATATTTTAGTTTAAGTTATTGGGCAAATTTTAGGCCACAACTTTATTGATTACAGCAAAGTGAGCGTTATTGGCTTAGGCATTGGCAAAAGACTATAACTGACTCCCCGCCTCTCTGGCTGGTACTCTGAAAGGGTAAACACCAGACGAGGGAGCAACATCAATGAAGACCAATGAAGCTCACCCTGGGGTTCCTGTGGTCCTGGCATCGCCCTAGCCCCTCAAGCGGGCTTTGGATGAGATCCAGGACCCCCAGATTCCTTTACCAGAATACCCTATTTCTGGAGGGGCAGGTGATGGCCACACCTCCCGTCCCCCACATTTCAATAAGCCAATACCTAACCGCCAAACCTTACAAGTGGTGACAATTGCTGAGGGGATAGGCGAAAACCAAGTGGCTATAGCCAATCTGCCAAATGGAAAAAAATTCCTACACAGCCCCTGTTCCAAAACAGGCGACCCAATCCAAAGCAAGGCCAAAGCAGCACTGCCTAACATTAGGGAGGGAGGGAGGGTGTTTGGCAGCGCGAAGCAAGTGCCCCAAATTACGTCACGCTGCCACATTTATAGACCCCGGGAATCACGCCACCTCATGAGATTGGCCCAAACAGCCTGGCATATCCTGGGGCTAAAGCTAAGGCTTAGGCTACACCGCTAACCAAATTAACCCTGTGAGGGTGTCCTAGGAACCCGCACACAACCAGGACCCTCAATAAGGGGGTTCCCATTTCTCTACTGAAACCAGTGAGACATTGTGTGTCCACCAGCTTGAAAAGCTACAGATGAAATGCACCTATCACTGCTCATAGTGTGTTTACTTGCTTGCAGAAACAAACAGCAGCAACTTAGTCACTGGGGGACTTTTATTTTTATGTTTTCACCATTTAACTTTGTTTTAATGTTTCTTCACAAATGGTGGAAAATACTAAATACAGACGAGGAATCATCACAATGCTGTGGTCAACATTATAAATACGGAATTATAAATTTAAAACATTTTCTGGTGTAAAAATAAATAAATCTGGTAGTAAATTATTTATTACTATTTTAAATAGAGGCAAGTCTTAGAATGAAATTCACCCTACTTTGCTTTGCTTCAGAAGGGCTGACAAATTTAAGAACACAAAAGTCTTCACCCACATAGAACAAAACCTGACTCACTGAGAGAAGAATGGCAAACTCTGGATTCCTCACTCTTTCTTCCCTCTCTGGTTTCCCTTGCAGCCTCTATCTTTCCTTTCGCACCTTTCTGCACCTGTGCAATATCTCTTGTAAATTCTCTGGGGCCTCCTTCTGACCTGCTAGCATTCTGCCTTTTATACAGCAGTTGTGATTATCTCTGTAACACTCCACAGCTGCTGCTGTCCTGGCTTGCCATTTCCTGCTTGCCAGTGTTTTTCCTCTGAGTGAACCAGAAGAGGAAAGACATGGGAGGTGGGGGAAACCTCCACATTCTCCCAACACCTGCATTTTCCATCTTTGCTACCTTTCCCACCCCTTGGGGAGGGGGAATCATCCCAATCCCTAAATATCTTTGGAAGAACTGCAGCTCTGATTTCCTTCCACACTATTCACACTGTTAGTGCTGGTGAAAGAGGAGAGGAAACATGGAAGGTAAATCTCCATTTTCACTTGTCCTGTCATTAGCCACTCCTGTGCCACACTCTATAAGTGGCATGGCACCTTCCTGGTCCTTTAGATTCACTAGCAAAAGTGTTCCAAGGTTTTCAGGGCACTTTGATGGCATCTCTCCCTCTGTCTCCTCTCCTTCAAATCGCTTCTCAAATCTCACCTTTTCCGTGCGCAAAACCCCCTAATTGCTATTCCCTACTGTAACACAGCCTGCTTTCGGTCTAAGCGCATGCAACAGAAACAACCACATATTGCTTTTTTTGAATTATTGATGTGTGAGCTTGCATAGCACTAGGAGCGCATGCATCTTCCTATGGAGGGGATGCATGAATTCTATCTTCACACAAGTTAACTTCCCCTTGTTTCTGTTATCTCATGCTAAGAACTCTGCCAGCAAACATTAAAAAGAGACACCTCTTAGTTCACTCAATCTAAGTAAGTTGGAATTTGAAAAGGAAAAGGAAAAGAAAGAAATGAATATGATACAAAGCTTCTGAGCCTTCCAAGTCTGTCAGTGTCAGCTATTATCACGGAAGTACCACATACTCAAGTCACAGAGGACAAATTACAGGAGTACTCCGATATTGTTATAACAGGGTCACTGTTGTACCTGTCAAGATGATTCCATCCATTTATTTGATGGAGGTTGTTTGAAATATTGCACATTAACCCAGACAAATTCAAGTGAAAATTGCCTCTGTTAAATCCTAATAGCAGACATTTTCTGTGCTATTTTTTTTTATCTCAAAAGACAATATTTGCTTTTAACGAGCTACGAATATTTAGGCTTTGGATTACTCAGGTCCAGGTCATTATAGAAAAACATTACTATAATTAGATAAGCAGAGCTCCCTATTTGTTTCTGCAGGAGACAATCCAGGGAACCTGTCAGATTATCTGAAATTAGGGCTGAACTTGATATTTGTGAGCTTTGAGTTTTTGCACTAAAGATTGCTGTTCAGTGAAGTAGAACTTCACTGGAAAAAAAGATGCAGCCAATGTGGGAAATCTTAAATTCCTGTGACTTTTGTGGCAAACGACTTCCCAGAGTGGTGGCAAAGTCCTCTGAAGAACTTTAAAGCATAGACTGCAAATTTAGTGTCTACCAGTACTCACTATAATGCTTGTGAAAGGTCGTGGTAAATATCCCCTCAAAAACCCACAATGCAGGAAAAACTGTTTGCTTTTCCTACACTGTTCCTGCTACACTGAAAATGCTTCCTTAAATATACCCACATTTCACTGAATGCCAAGATTAGGCACCTAGCCTCCCATCAGTTCTGAAAAGAGGAGAGGCACTAACAACTTCTCTCTGTGAGTGAGCATGGTATTGGCTCATACAGGTGGCATTTTCCATTGATGGGGGCATGATGATACCATTTTATGGCCCTGCCTCTTTCATTCATGCAACTATCACAACTGATGTGCATTTTATTCTTGGCTGTCTGGCCTGTAGACAAACATGCCCTGCAAGCTTCATCCTTAAATCAATGAATGCTTAGGATTATACACAGGTCTGAGGTAGAGCAGGTTCCATAAATCAGGCCATAGACTACAGGCCTGCTTGTTGCTGTACTTATTTGCATTCATCAGTTGCTAGTAATAAGTTTATTCTGAAACTTGTATCTTTATTAAGATTAAAATATTTCCAGGGCTGCTTGCTGGCTGTGCAATCATATGCCCTCTCTTTTATAAAACTAATTTTATCAAGTCATGTTTTGTTTTAATCAATTTCTCTCTCAGCAATATTGATGACACTGTAGCACAGAAGCATTTCAACTGTCTCACACCAAACACGGAAAGATGCTGAAGGGAACTGATATATGCACAACCTTCAGGAAAAATAAGCAGTTAGGCATGCAATACCCCAGAGTACACACCACTGTATTAATAAAATATTATTAATAAAAGATTAACATTTACATCACCATCATAATGATAGGTCTCAATGGGGGAGGGGATTTCACAAATCACAAAGTTTATTTTGAAATTTGTGCCAAAGAAATGAAGCTTAATTTTCCATTCAAATATCCCAAGGGGAGAATTTTCTTTGAATATATTTTGCAATTTAAATATCATTAGCATTATATATAAGCATTTGCAGCAACAAACACATAATTGGCAATTCAAACAGCCTGTTTGGTTTCATTTTTTTATACAACATAAATGCAAATGTCATAAAAGCTTCTTGTGCAAGTACAATTTTGGTTAATGTTATGGTACTGGTGCAAAGCTGAACTTAATGGATGTGTGTATATATTTGGATCACACATACATATTACCCTGTTTACATGGGAGCAGCAGTACTGACAATCTTCACATATACAAACATCAGCTGCTATGTGGATAGTCACCTCAAGATAACTCAGGCAAACATTGCCCAAAGGGGACCAGGATAGGAATTCCTCCACGATGCAGAAGGGTAGTAGTTTGAACAGCCAAACATGCTCTAATAACTGGACCAGAATATTTATTCATATGAGGTTGGGAATTCATGCATACAGATGTTGGAAACTGAGTGTATCCCTTCACATGCTGGTTTTCTGTGTTCAACGTGTGGGAGAGAGGGGGAGGGAGAGAGAGAGAGAGAGAGAGAGAGAGAGAGAGAGAGAGAGACCTTGAGAAAATTCTATTTTGCACATGTAGTCTCATGTACTCCAGACATCAGCAGTTTGTATAAGAGCCACACCCATGTTTCCTCTGTGTAATAAAGTGCTTTCAGCCTCACGGGCCTGGATCTTCAGAACCATGAGTAAAAGGAAACTTGTGGAAGGGGTCTTTCCCATCCCATTCCGCTCCTTCGGCCCTCTGCCTTCCCTTCTCCTTTTGAAACCGACTTGAGTTCCATTTAATGCTATTCAAAATGGTTCTCCACCTATGCAGGGATAGTGCTGGCTGAAGGAATGGATAGGAAAGTCTCATTTCCAAAATCTTTTCTTTTGCCCCATAGAAAACTGCACAAGTTTCTAGTCTTGGTGGTTAAATGTACTGAGAAAGTAGACATTTCATCTTCCCGTGTTTGTAAAAACTGTGGTTTATGGAGCAAAAAAGCTCTCATTTCAAATTCACAGGAAAATAAAAGCTCCCCACCCCAATACACAAGGAGGGCTCACAAACTTGAAGATTAGGCTGTGGTAAGGACTGGATGGTGGCAATGTTGATAGTGACATTATATCCAGCATCAAGGCTCCTTTCTAATATCATCATACCAGGCATTGACATGACACACAGGAGCTGACTGTCACAGTGAATTGCATCAGTGAAACTTGCAATGGTGCTCTGAGGCAATATCAAGGTGCATTGAGGTTTCCTGGAGTTCAGTATCTCTTGAATCATCCTCACATTGTGAGTTTGTGACAATCAAGAACTAAAAGCCTTGTGAGCTGAGCAGTGAAACTGAATGTAATGAAATAATCATCATGCCTAACACGTTATAAGGTCAATAAAACAAAACAAGTATGATAAAACGCAGTAAAGTATTTTAAAAGTATTTTACGTATGCTATAGCAAAATGGAATCTCCAGCATGATCCTTAAATATTGTTGTGAGTTGGGGGGGCGGTAGGGGGACGCGGTAGGCTATATGACTCAGTCTATTCCAATTCCTGTATCCAACAGAGATTCCATTGCAGGCAGCCCCCACCCCCCAAGCTGATGGGTATTGCCATTCAAATAGTGTGTGTGTGACACATCTTGTGATCTGTTATGCGGGGTGGGGTTACCTGCCCCCCAATGTATTCAAGTTGGCACTCCTGACAGCAAAGAGAGATAAGACACTCATGAGTACTCTGCAGATGTATTGGGAGGGGAGGAATATTTTGTGCCAATTTATGGAGAATTAACTCATTCCTTAACAAATTTAAGGGCCGTATTTTACCTAGGATTGGCACTCTTCTTAGTAAAATGCATTTTTTTTCCCTGGCATAAAAGATGAGCAGGTGTCCAGCAAAACTATTTTCCATATGTTCCACTGATTTGCTTGGGTTCTTTTGTGCAACTGAATATTTGTGTAATTCATCTATAAGCTTTTCCTAATTGCACAATAATTCTCCTTGATATTTACAACAACAATAAAAAGCCAACGCTGAATCTATGAATATGAATCATGAGCAAAAAACAACAACAAAAAACGGCAGTCAGGACTTGGAAAGAAAAGAACATGCTAAAGCCAGGAGACAGAAGTCACCATGTGGAGTCTAGCAATGCATACTATTTGGAAGCAAAAAGAATGGTCAGAAAGTCAGGCGGTAAAATCCTTGCGCACTAGCAGTAGCGTGAACGGTTGTAGTGATTGACTGCAGTGCAATCAAGTTCTCAATCCTTAGTACGAGAACAGTGTTTGTAGTCATCTTGTTTCATAACAAACCCATCACCACCTAGCAATACACTCTAATGAAGATAAATCTAGCACCTATGTTTCACTGTATCTTTGGAAGATAGCACAGTGTTTTCTGCTATGAACTCCCTCTGACCTTACTTCTGTAGGATTCTGTAGAATTCCTGTGTGGAACCTTTGAGAGAGGCAATTAAGGTTGTAAAGGGTTGTATGGAATCTGATGGATAAGTCATACACAGAGAAAACCCATTGCCTGAAATCAATTATCCATGTGAAAAGAACAATAGTAAACAATGCATCCTATTAGGGTTTGTTTTTTTAAAATTACAATAAGAAGCAGATAAAGGCTACAATCCCAATTTACAGTGGTACCTCGAGTTATAAACACCTCAGGTTACAAACAATTCAGGTTACAAACTCCGCTAACCTGGAAGAGTTACCTCGAGTTGAGAACTTTGCCCCAGGATGAGAACAGAAATAATGGGCCGGTGGTGCAGCGGCAGTAAGAGGCCCCATTAGCGAAAGCACGCCTCTAGTTAAGAACAGTTTCAGGTTAAGAATGGACCTCCAGAACGAATTAAGTTCGTAACTAGAGGTAAAGGTAAAGGTAAAGGGACCCCTGACCATTAGGTCCAGTTGCGGACGACTCTGGGATTGCAGCGCTCATCTCACTTTACTGGCCGAGGGAGCTGGCGTACAGCTTCCGGGTCATGTGGCCAGCATGACTAAGCCGCTTCTGGCGAACCAGAGCAGCGCACGGAAACGCCGTTTACCTTCCTGCCAGAGCGGTACCTATTTATCTACTTGCACTTTGATGTGCTTTCAAACTGCTAGGTTGGCAGGAGCAGGGACCGAGCAACGAGAGCTCACCCCATCATATGGATTCGAACCACCAACCTTCCGATCGGCAAGCCCTAGGCTCTGTGGCTTAACTTACAGCGCCACCTGCAGCAATTCTAAACCAACTGCTGCCACTACTTCACAGTATAAGATTCTACCTCCTCTGTCTTCAGATTGGTTAACTGAGCAGCACAATATAAAGTTTTTTGAAAGAAAGAAAGAAAGAAAGAAAGAAAGAAAGAAAGAAAGAAAGAGAAAACAGGGGCCCAAGAGGGAGCAAGTCTTTCTCAGTAAGAAAAAATGCTGTTGTACCTTGAATTCAGGTACAACAAATGTATGAAGGGGTGGGGATTGAGGCGGCAGGAGGCACCCGCAAAATTACATGCATTAATTTGCATGTCTGAAGAAGGCCTGCATGTGTATATAAACAGGGGTTGTCTTCAGGCATTCAAAAAAATCCCAAAAATGGATAGGGTGGCTCAGGTGGATCCTGCTAGCATGATTTCACTCCCCCACTCCACCCAGGACATTCATTGTACCTGAACTGAAAATCTGAGTGTGGCTTTTGCATGTTTGTTTTAAATATTTATTTCCCCAGGTAATGGAATGGCTTTTCCCAGTCCTCTTTTTAAGAATAATCATAAGTGATTTTTATATGTCTCTGACAGCAAGAGAAACATAAAGTTAATTCTATGGAAACAAAAGATAAGTGTGCCAAGTCTACTTCTATCATAGTATTGCAACAGTGAGCCTTTATAGAATAGAATATTGGTGTTCTAGAAAAGTTTCTTTCTGTCTTTTTAGCAGACTTTTATACTATAGTTGTGCTTGTACTGAGATTGCATGGGCAATATTTAATAACAACAAACAACAACAGTAAATGGAATAATGTGAATAATCTCAATGTATTAAAAGTCTGTGGAACATTGTTTAATTTAGTTCCAAGAACGCTCCAACTTCTTATCATGCCTAACAGTTTTGAATATATAATTTCCTTTGTCCGAGGCAGCTAAAAAACAAAACAATTTAACAAACATTGTTTTTAACAATTGTCTTTAGCACCTTTTGAGGTTATTGCTCTTGGTTTTGAATTGAGAACACACACCCAGTGAATGGAGAGATCAGGACACAGAGATAAGGTGATTCTTCACTCTTGCATATCTATGCAGTTGGGACTGGAGTGTCCAAAAGTATTTGCGCTGTGCTTAATGGTGCCTTTCAAATGTCAAACACAGCACACACCCAACTATGTGGAATAAAATTCCACTAGCCCTAGCAATCACTTAGCATTAATGTTATAGTAGCGCTGGGTCCTGTGCTGCAGAAAATATATACAACTGTAATGGTATTACATGACACGGAAGCAGTGGCATATACAAAGGCAGGATACGAATGGGCTGAGTGCTGTTAAAATGGAGCTTGCTGATTAATTTTCTTCTCCAGCTTTCTTTCTTTTCATGAGGTGACTTTAAATACAGTGGTTATCACAATAATGAAACAGCATCATTAGCGCGCTTCAGGTTAAGTTTAAAATGGAACACTGTGGCTTATTCAATTAACACATTGCTAATGACCAGGATCTATTTTTAAATTGGTTTTATAACAACCCATATCCACCCCTCCTTTTCTTGCCCAATGCAAGGGCAAAAGCAAGATGACATTAAGGAGAGATCAACCATATCAAAATAAATTTTAGGAGTGTATATGCTCTAGTAAGAAACAAAACATTGTTTACATAAAGCTGTTCATTAAAGCTCTTTTAATCAGTAGAGTGCAAGAGTAATCAACCATGTCAAGAGCAAGGCAATACGGAAATATATATATGGGTCAAGAAAACCTGTTGAACACATACTTAGAGCATGATTTTACCCTCCTCTTCTGAAACTAAGAATTGACATGCTGGATCAGAAATAGATTCATTTTCTTCCTAGCTGTGGCCAAGCAGATGCCTCTGGTAAGTTTACAAGCACAGATGCATCAGTTGCAAAAGACCAGCCACCTTCATGCTAGTCCGCCACCACCAATCCCAGAACATGGCCGACTAAGGCTGCAATACTGTACACACTTATTTGGACTTACATCTAAATAGACTTATATAGGACTGCAATGTAAGAGTCAACAAGAAGAGACAAACCCAGAAAGATTCAGGAAGTAATATTCTTAAAGACACATTCACATTGATCCAACCACCTCAAGCCTGATGCCGAGGGGCTGGCCCACCAATGAGGCATGGTGAGGCGACTGCCTCAGGTGGCAGGATGAACAGGGGCAGCAGATCCAGCATCCAAGGAGATCGCTCACTACGGCTGCCACAGTGACAGTGTGCAGCACACTCCTTGGCTGGATCTGTCCCCCCATCCCACCTCTACAACAACCTCTTGGTGAAAGGGACATACTACTAGTCTTCTACCAACCTTGTTCCCAATATCAATATTTATTCTGGCAGGGTGCAGGGGCACCATTTTGTGTTTCATCTCAGGTGCCCTTTAGAGAACTGCAGCTTTATATTAGCATGCAAGGACAGGTATAAGATACTCATGCTGGGAATCAGGGAAGAGGAAAGGTCAAATAGGTAGAATGAGGGCCCTCAGACAAGGTAGCACTGCCCCTGCCTCTTCTGGAGAGCCAGTGTGGTGTAGTGGTTAAGAGCGATAGACTCGTAATCTGGGGAACCGGGTTCGCGTCTCCGCTCCTCCACATGCAGCTGCTGGGTGACCTTGGGCTAGTCACACTTCTTTGAAGTCTGTCAGCCTCACTCACCTCACAGAGTATTTGTTGTGGGGGAGGAAGGGAAAGGAGAATGTTAGCCACTTTGAGACTCCTTCGGGTAGTGATAAAGCAGGATATCAAATCCAAACTCCTCCCCTTCTTCTTCTTCTTCTTCTTCTTCTTCTTCTTCTTCTTCTTCTTCTTCTTCTGCAAGTACCACTGCTGAAGTTCCAGAATGTTTGCCAATGGAATGGGGATATACAGTTTGAACAGGTGTGGCATGAAAGGAATTGGTGCAGAGTGAGGCCTTGCACAGATAATGCTCCCATGTTGAAGGTACCTGTGGAGGGAGGGGCATACTCACCATTGCTTAGCCATGGACACCCCCTGCCTCAGGCAGGCTTAGGACTCTATGAGCACGCCCCATGGCTTACCATCCACTTAAGAAACACCTGACAAAGATGTGCTAGAAGCTCTGTTTTCCTTCTGAGCCATGCTTTCAGGCAAGGTGGGCTGGATAGCTCCCCTTTATAGCTTGCCACTGCAGGAGCTGTCATGGCAGTTTGCTGGATTCCCTCCCCTCAACCTGTCCACCTTGTATGAATGGTGTATAGACTTGAAATTGCTATCAGGCAACTCTCTGAAGCATCTGAGTGGATTCATTGTGGTCTCTAAGGGTCCAGTAGTTAGGAGTTCTGTAGCCCTCTTATCAGCAGCATCTGTGTTTCTTGACATCATCATTATTAGTAGTAGTAATTATTATTATTTTACCAACCCTTGATTTGAGTTTTTATGCATAAAAAGAGAAAACAAAACTGACAGCTACAAAGAACAAAAAAGAGAGAATACCAGCTAACTAAAGTATGCAATTCTATCCCCTGGGTACATCTTCAGAAGTAGTCTATATTGCAATTTATTCATGCACTCCAAATTCCCAAAAATACTGTAAGCAGTTGAAGGATGTTAGCATTGGTGGCATAAACAATGAAGCTCCACCACATAGCATGAAAAACATCTGGAGTTTCAATTCCCCGTTGAGATCACATTTCTAAAATGGCAATATTCCACACATTGCTATACCACATTGCAATGTTCAAGCTATGCAATGTTTTCCATCTTTTGCCAATAGTCTGTCTTGCAGTGACAAATAACTATATTACAAGGTCCTTGGATTTAAGCATCACATTTTCATGTTCAAATATAGAGAATGAAAAGAGTCGTAGGGTACATTGGGGCAGTAGTTGTTAAATAACATTGGGGCCATGAGTGGCCACATTGCTATCTTCTTCAAGGCAGCAGGTAGTATCCCCAGTCTGTTTCTTTGGCCCTTGACGCCAGTCTCCAAATGGAGAAGTCTCCTGGAGGGAAATATACATGATTTATGGTCCACTGTAACACTCTCCCCTTGACCCTCCAGTCTGTGGTGCTGCTGCACTGAGAACCTGGGTGGACAAAGCTGGGTAAAGAGCCATTGCTCCAGAGGACTCAGGGACAAATACCAGATGGGCTCTCTCGTCTTCTATTAAATCATGGATGAGCAAGAACTTATTTTGAACTGTCCTGCCATTTTATAACAGACGAGTCAGGCTGGAGGGTGTTTTGGTGGTAAAGCAACCAGGGTTGTAAGATTCTAAGGGTGGGAGTGAGGAGAAGAAAGGGAAATCATATGGAATCTCCTGGTATTACATATGTGGTGATTGAATTATCTCTGCCTTTGGGTCACTGGTCCATTGAGAGTGATTCTAAGCTCTCTCAGTGTCTTGCAACCTAAAAGTGGGAGGGCGCAGTTAGGTGGAAAGTTTGCCCATTTCCCAATGTTATCCCCTGTTAGAACAGCATTGTAAACTATTTCCAAGATAACCATCAAATGGTTGAAAAAGCTGATCTGCATCTGAGTGGGTGTGCTAGAACCAGCCCAATCTTTCCCTCTAAGCTTGCTTTGCTACCTCTTTTAAAAAAACAACCACTCCACTTTCTACTTCTTTTATGTTTCTTGGGGTCTGCATCTCTGCCCCTGATTTCTGAAGTTCTCAGTTTTGTTCCCAGACAAAACTCACTTTGCTCACTTTGGTTCTTGACTGTTCGCTTTCAGGCCTATTAACAGGTGCCACGGTGACACGCACTGGTTGCTAAGGCATGCAAATTGATCAGAAATAGGTGCTAGGTCACAAAGACACTTTGTCTCCCTGAAGGAAAGAAAAGTAATTTTGTTTGTTTCACTATGCAGCTCCTCAGAGAATAAACATTATTTCAGGTGCAAGCCTCCAGGTTCTATAAACGCATTCTAATAGGTACCTTCCTGTTTCTCTTAGCTTCCAGACAGTACCATTTCACCTGCATTCTAGCAAAGAAGTTCGGAAAGACAACCTGGACAAAATCACAGACATATGTGACATATGTCACATCCTTTTACACTTTTAAATGAAGGCAGAGACAACATCGTAATTGTGTGCATGGTTTGCTGTTATGAGAAGAAGCCTAGCCTCTCCCCCATACTCCTGTGTTCTGCTGGGACATGGCTGAAAGAAGGAGTTCTTGCATAGCTTATGAAGCTGGCTTGTTTCAACAGACCGTAGTTAAGACTAAGCACAGTTTAGGGTTTGAATGACACACCAAATGGCAGATAATCTAGAAAAGAAGTAAAAGCTTCCAATAGTTTCCTTGTAACCATACCAGAAGGGAAACTGCAATTCCATGGGATGGCTAGGCCCAGTCCTATCACAATAAACTGTAGTTTACTGATACATATAAATTCAGCCAAATATATCAGGTTATCAAACAAACAAATGTAGGATTAAAAAGTTACACGTATTCGTGCCAGCTGTCCATGTTTCCTAGAATTATATGCCTTTGTTTTCAATTTTAAAACATATGACTGGGTTTCTTTCATTATTTCAAGGGAAGCAAATATGAATCTACTCCTAACAGTATTTGGGGAACTAAGCAGAACTCTTGGCTATGTAAAACATTTGCTTTTGCTAAGCATATGAATTCTCTTATCATTTTATATAAATGCCCATGGCATAAATCTATTTGCTTTTATATGCAGCTTAGAAACCAAAAGTGTTTCAATGAGTGGAAGATCACACTTTCAAGGACTTTTAAAAAATGCATTTTTCTTTTTTAAAAACCTAACAAAAAGATAAAACACTAGACATCTACCCTTTAGTATTGAATTATTAAGTCTCTATGAATAATTCTTTTTGTCAAAACCTGGTTGCAGACTTTAACATCACATATCGACATGCAGTAAATGGAAATAGCTTATGGTTGAAAATTTTAAAAGGATGCAATTGACTAATTTTTTTTTTATAAATAACACAAACCACTTGTCAGGAATTTCAGCCAGAATATAGATATGGTAGCTGGAAAGGAAATGTCCTTGTTATTAGTCAGCCTTGAAGACTGACATATTCCAGTTACTGATAGCAGTCAATAAAGATAATTTTACTTTTCTATAAATGATAATTAAATGAATACTGATTTGAATCTTTCAGGCTTCTTTTTTTTTTAAAAAAGTTTAATTATTTAACCGTGTTCACTAATATAGCAATTTAAGAAAACACAAGCTTGAGAAGTAAAAGGAAGCTTTATATATGTCAATCAGTTGTCAATGGCAGGTGCTAATCCTATTCACGTGTCAGCAAAAATAAAGATTGTTTTGAATCTTTCCAGATCACAGCACACCCACTTTTTTCCTATTCTGATTTGTGAGTGGAACCTCTTGATTCAAGACTAATTCTGTCAAATGCTCAACCTTGGAGAAGATTCCTGACCTCTTGCTTAAAGTCCTTGTAATCTTCCTATTATTCACTGTCCCTCATTTTGTATCTATTAGAGCCCTTCTTACTGGAATGCCAATTAGAAGGTACTGAAAGATACCAGAGGAGAAATAGAAAATATAATACAGCCTTTATTGTGCCCATGGAATTCACCTGTGGGGTTAATACTAAAGACAGATGTCTCAATTAGGTTTCATGTTGGATGATCAAAAACTTAACATAGTATTAAAACCTGATGCATTTCCTATGCCCAGAATGGATTCCCCATAACCCTCATGTACTGATATCTACTAAAGCTTTATCTGCTATTGTTTTATATAAGAGGTTTTGGACCTGAGCCCAAAATCATTGTTATCACAATGGTTAATATGAATTCAGTGTGTTACAATTTGGATTAGGGAACCCAACTGCTTCATTCCAGTGGCCAACTGACAACCTATTAAAGTAATAATAATAATAATAATAATATTTTTTTTTGCACCTGATTTATTATTATTATTAAAGATTTTCTTGTTTTACAGAAGTAAGTGTAATGTCTCTCATATTTTTTCCATGTAAAATTTTTACAAATCCATTTCATTTGTTGAGACATTAGGGGGAGAAAAGAAAAAAAGAAGGGGTGGAAGGAGGGAAGATGGGCGGGGGTGGGGTGGGGTGGCGATGTTTCTGTTATGCTTAATGTATGTAGGGTTTGGTGTCAGCGTTGCTTGTGCTGTTCACTTGTGTTCCTTTTTATTTATACCCCGCCCTCCCCAGCCAAGGCCGGGCTCAGGGCGGCTAACAAGCAATAATAAAAACAAGTTGAATGAATACAACTTAAAAACAAGATTAAAATACAACAATTATAATATTGAAAGATTAAAATATTAAAATGCAGCCTCATCACAGGAGGAGAAAGGAAAAAGAAAAAAAGGAAGAGGGGGAGGTAATCAAATTGGCTCCAAGCCAAAGGCCAGGCAGAACAACTCTGTCTTACAGGCCCTGCGGAAAGAAATCAGATCCTGCAGGGCCCTGGTCTCATGCGGCAGAGCGTTCCACCAGGCCGGAGCCAGAGTTGAAAAGGCCCTGGCTCTGGTTGAAGCTAATCTAACTTCCTCAGGTCCCGGGACCCTGTTTTTAGAGACAGCATGGAAGATCACCATGTTAGTTTAGAAACAGTCTTAGATGTCATTCAAAGAGTGGGAATGGCCATCAGACCATCCAAATGCAAGTTTAGTTTCCCAGGGTGGCATATTTCAGTATAAAGTAAGGAATGGAGAAATTATCCCAGTGTGGAAAAGAATGGAAGCAAGTAATTGTTGAGTTCCACCTATTACCAAGAAACAGGCTAGTTCTTTCTTAGGCATGGCTAGCAGGTCTTTACTGCAGATTTATTCAGCAACTTGAGGATATAGTGATACCTTTACATGAATTTACAAAGAAGGAGATGTTGGCCATACAGATGTCAGGAAGTTTTTGAGAAATTAAATGATACTGTACTGACTATGCCAGTGTGGTGGAAAAATATGGCACTGCCGAGTGGCGTTTGGTGTTATTAATATGCAGATGACTCACAACTCTATTTCCCCTTTTCATCTCTTGCAGATGAGGTGGCCGATGTGCTATATTGATGCTTAGTAGCAATAGTGGACTAGATGAAAGCCAATCAACTAAACCCAAAGCAGACAAGACTGCTGTTAGTGCGTGCCTCCTCTGACCAGGTGAGTGGCATTCAAGCTTTTCTCGATAGGGATGAATTCCTCTTGAAGGGGCAGGCTCATAGCTTGAGGGTTCTTCCGGATCCTCCTCTGTCACATGAGACACATGTGGTCTTGGCAGCGTGAAGTACCTTCCACCAGCTTCAGCAGGCAGCCACATATTTCCCTCTATGATATGCTAGTTGCAGTGATCTATCCTCTGGTAACCTCTAGACTGGTTCACTGCAATTTGATGTATGCAGGGCTTCCCTTGAAGGCAGCTCAGAAACGGCAGCTGGTGCAAAATGCAGCAGCCAGGCTGCTATTCAGACCAAGTGGCTCTGGCCATCTAACATCAGTATTAGCATAACTGCATCAGCACCTACACATGTCCAGGCCCAATTTGTGGTGTTGGTATTAATTTATAAAGTCTTATTCATCTCAAAACCACAATGCAAGACTTGTACAGCAAGAATATACAGAGACTTAACAGCTGTCACCTGAGGTCCTTCTCCATTTGTCCCCTTGAGATGCCTAGGCTATGGCTTCTCCACACACCTGTAAAATGCTGTCCTGTGTACCAAGTGAAGACTGCCATATTCACTTGGGCATTTGTTGAAATTAGAAATATTGGGAGCATTTTGTAAGTCATCAATACACTGCCCTGTGTTAGGCAACTAACAAGATGAATGAATAAAGAAAGAAAGAAAGAATAAGCTAAGATAAGAACATATACTGTATATATGGGAACAGGAACTTGCCCTTTTAACTGGTCTTTGACAGGGCTTCAGACTATGAGGAATACCAACATAAAACCGCACAAATGGTCATAGAAGTTGAATGAGTTTAATATGTGGAATGAACATATTGCAGGAAAAAAGGGAATGTTGTTTCGGACGCCCTATCAAAAAAGGAACAAGAGAGGTCAAATGACTGAATAAACTAATTCATAATCCCTCACATTCCCTAGTGCCTGTTGCATGCTGAACTTTGGATAAAGATCCATTTAGGAAGAAGGGAGGAAAGGAGGCCTTTGGCGTTACCTGGAGGTAATTTCTTTCGGAGGATATTCCATCAGGTTGGCTATACTGCCATTTAGCCCCCAAGGGAAGAAAATGCAAGGTGTCCAATATGTGGAAACTAGATGGCAGTATAACCTATCTGATTGACTATCCTGAAGGCACGCGACAACCAAATGGGTTAAAGAGTCATAGTTTTATTAATTACAACAGGCAGATAAACAGCAACTTAGAACTGTAAGCAATGGAATTCAAGCCAGCTAGCATAAATTGCCAATTGGCTGAGTAAGGGCAAAAACACCTGGCATGGGCCAAGAGTTCACTGTTACCTGAGTCCTGCCCTTGCTTGCTCTTGAGGAGGAGCTGAGGGACCACCATCAAAGAGGCATTCAGTAGGGTATGTTCAATGGACCGAAGGGTTGTGCAACTGCAACCCACATTGAACTGTGTAGTTTGCCTCATGAACATATGGCTTGAATGGTTAGGTTTTCATTTTAGTTTATTCAGGTTTTTTTTTTAAAAAAAAACTACTACTTTTTTTGCTTGCTCTTTGCAGCGGGTGTTGTATTCTTAGGTAACGGAATAATTTCAATAATGCAATATAAATTGAACATGTTGACACATCCCCATGTGAGTTTATGGCCATTGTTTGAGTCCTTTAAACCTGCTGCATCTGGTAACAAAGTGGCAGTGAATTCAAGAGATATTAATTTTGATTATCTAGCAAGGCATAGCCACATAGCAAAAAATAATAAATTGACTGAACAATGTAATTTTAAACCTGAATGCTCTTATTATAACTACATGGGCCAAACCAATTAATACTTACACTATTAGGGCAAACCAGTGATAGCTGACAAGACATAAGATTACAATAGGCTACCTTCTATATTAATGGGCAATTGCCTATGTAGCAGTTGTAGCTACAGAACATTAGGCTCACTGAGAAGTTTGCTGAAACAAACAGATATTGACAGTGTAAAATGAAATGTAAAATCAAATATAGTCTTGCAATCACTGTCGTCCATGTTAGTGATTGCTTGTGCGCAGACCAATGTATACTCCTTTGTGTAGAGCTGTCCCCTCTGCTGAAGTTAAATGGGAAGATTGTTTGCATGGCAGTAGCTGTAGATGGCAGTGAGTAACTGTAAATGAATGTGAATGAAGTGAAGGCGTTTCAAATATTGGATGTGCTGTTTCAACTAATCCATCCAAAAGTATTTAACCAACAGAGTTTTCAACCCATTATAGTTTCCACCAGCCCACACCACGGATGACGAAGCCTATCCCAGGAGTTGAAAAGTCTGTGTGCCTTGTAAATCAAGCACTGTACTTTGATTGCCAGTGTGTCCTGCAGCTGTGTCAAAAGGCTGTTGTTTTTCCCCCTAGGAATGCTTCCTGTCTTTCTCAATTCATATGACATCCATATGTCCAGGTTCAAAAACAAGCTTTGCCCATTCATATTTATTATTTGTATAGCAGTCCCCATAAAGAAAAGCTTGCTGGGTTCAAAGGGTAGTCTAGAATAGGCACTTTAATTTTTTTAAAAAGTGACTGATAACTCAGTTGAATATTCCTCTTTAAGAAACTGGACTGAATGAGAAAAATCAGAATATCAATACAAATAAATATTCTGTACACCAACTCCACCATTAAAAAAACCAACCCTATATTAAATCACCACCTACTTTGAAGTGCCACATTGAAATGTTTCTGCAGTTGACCTGCTGAACTATGAGCTCTTCAGAGTTAGTTTGGGAATGGGGACAGTATATTCTGCTGAGGTCTAATCTTAGGACTTGTCACAAGGAAGGAAACCACTGCCTGATCTTTGTATGACCTTGGAGTCTGCAGGGCAAACCACAGAGTATATGTAGCTATTACAGCAGAGAAATACAAGAGATGAATACCCTGTGAAGAAATGCAGATTGTATATACACAATGCATTTCCAATAGCTTTAGAATGCATTCCTCATTCTGTAGTTACAATTTTGTTTGTTTATGTTTCTTGGTGGCAATGCTAACTGCAAGTCGGGGTATAATATTGATATGCATCTGACATTTAGAGAGAGTGCTGTCTTTTACAGATGTTTTATGGGTTATGACACAATCAATAAGGTTTTTCAGAAACATTTCTCATTTATAGCTATTGATCCAATGCTATTTATAACTCAGGATATTTTTAAACATTTTAGCGATCGTAAATAGAGAGTGTTGCATAATCTGTATCTCACAATTTGTCATCTGCAAGGCATTATCTTAGCATTAGACTGAGGCTAGTATAAAGTTCAACATGGAATCCGTAGTCAAATTCAAACAGGCAGAATTACTCTGTGTCTGGAATTAAAGAAAGAGCTTTGCTGACTCCTACTGGGAAGCAATTTTTGACAGTTTAACTTTCATTGTGCAATAAGTAATATTTTTGTAAAGATATACTGTCTAAATTGTCAACAGTGTACAATGTCTCAAATTTATTGGATTCTATATTAGTGGCTCCTGTGCATGCTCAAAACATACAGTTTAGGTAAAACTCTGCTCCTCTGGGAGCACAGTAATCTGTGCTTTAAAAGGACTAGCTCCACGATGCCTGAGGAATTCAGTATTTGAAAATGATAGTACAAATACTGGAAATAATGCCTAGACTGGAACTAAGTTGTTCACCAGGTCTGCACTTCCCAAATGTTCCAGTGCAGATCTCAGCTCACAAAAAAATGTCAAAATAGGTTTTTAAATGTGTATTTTGAGAGAAAATATATGTAGAAATGTGATCTTTGATAGAAAATGAATTTAGAAAGTATGGAGTAAGGTAGTTGAACTATTATAGCTTCTGCCTACTGAAATAAAAACTTGCACTATGGTCACAAAATTCTGCCAAATTAATTAATTTAGGAATGAGGGGCAATCCTTCTTCCTTCTCAGAAATAAGGATATGCAGAATTCTGCTGAGAAATTACCAATTCTTACCAAAATTATTTTTAATTACCAATTCTTACCAAAATTATTTTTAATTCCTTCAAAATTCCTTAAAATGTGTTCCTGGGCAAGAACCTCAGGAGTTTACATTAGAAAAAAAAACCTTAATACATATAATTAGTTACTTCATCCTTAAACATGCATTTTTTAAAAAGTGAAAAACACCAGATAAGAACCTCACCATGAGCTCATCATCATAATTTTATTTATGAAATGACCAAAATTAAAAAGCACTGTTCACAAGCTCAATGTCTAAAAGTAGAGCTCTCTCTCTCTCTCTCTCTCTCTCTCTCTCACACACACACACACACACACACACACAAACATTCTTATGTTAAAGTTTGCACATTAAATAAGGGCAACTGCTCTGTCAAATAGCCAAGCCAACTGCATAATGACTGGTTTCAAATTTTCCTGCTTTTTCTAGGAGTTCTGAATAGTAATAACAGTTCAGACAGAACTCTGCAGAAGTCTCTAAGAACTGTTTTGTTGTGTGTGGGTTTTTTTAAAGGCTCCGAGTAACTGTGCAGTCCCAAATGGTGCAGCTCAATGAAACACCTAAGAATTTGGAGAAAAGGAACTGTGCGGTTCTCAAGCTGCTCTCGCCTAAGATCAGGGAAGCACTGCCATCGGTCTGACCTACATATTGGGCTGAGTCATTTTGTATACCATTTGCAAGCCCCTTATATGCTAACCCTACATATTGCACCTCACCCTCTCAGTAAGTGGCAGTGAAACTCGGCACCAGGAAACCAAGCACACAATGGCACCTTGCCTGTCCTGTCCCACCAACAGCTGCTGCAGTGATCCTCTTCAGTAGGAAGAACAGAAAGCTCCATGTTGGCAGAGTAACACTGGACTCATTGAACAAGTGGAGGCCAGCAGATGCTGGCAGTGCTGAACACCTGTGCTCAACTTAATACCCTCCACCCCCACCCAATTCCTGAGTTTGGACCACATTCTTAAAGATGGATGTGCTTTTTGAGAATAATAAAATCATAGACACAAACACACACATTTTTAAAATCTGTTTTACACTGAGATGACACTCCAGAACAAATTATATAGTTCTGAGTAATTTCGAGTCTGCTAGAATTATGCATCAATTAAAATAAAGACAACAGCTTCAGAGCAATATGCCGGAGTAATTAAGAACTGGAATGTAACCAAAGTTACATTTAAAAAGTTACTTTGACATTACTGAGTGAATGGTGCGTAGGTGATTATCACTATAGGCAGACAGCTATAGTTATACCTGTAGAGTGTGTGTGTGTGTGTGTGTGTGTGTGTGTGTGTATTTGTGTATGTGTGTGCTTGTATGCACATACACAGAGTTTATGGAACAGTCAGGTGGTAAGAATATTTTCCACCTCTGCACAGACCCCACAAAGGAAACATCTTTGTTTATTGTTAACAGAATCTGGGTTTCAGATAAATTGGAATACAGTGGTACCTCAGGTTAAGTACTTAATTCGTTCCGGAGGTCCGTACTTAACCTGAAACTGTTCTTAACCTGAAGCACCACTTTAGCTAATGGGGCCTCCTGCTGCTGCCACTCCGCCGGAGCATGATTTCTGTTTTTATCCTGAAGCAAAGTTCTTAACCTGAAGCGCTATTTCTGGGTTAACAGAGTCTGTAACCTGAAGCATATGTAACCTGAAGCGTATGTAACCTGAGGTACCACTGTAAAGCATTATTTAAGATGGTTAAACAATAATAGAATAGGATTTATATAGATTCTCCAAAGGGAAAATATGCCTCAGTTTCCCCCATCTTGCTCATGCTGCCCCAACAACCACAGTGCATAATTGTGTGTCTAATTTCTTTACTTCTGAGCTTTGCCCCTTATACAAACTTACTAATGTGATATATATCACATAGCTGCAAATTATTTTCCAAAGCAACTACTCTATTCCGAACTTAAAAATTGTAAGCTTATTGCTGGTGGTCAACAAAAGAGGTTCAAAGACTGTCTCTAGGCAAATTTTTAAAAATGTAGTATAAACACCAACAACTGGGAAACACTGGCCTGTGAGCGCTTCAATTGGAGAACAGCCTTTACCAAAGGTGTCATGGGTTTTGAAGACACTCGAACTCAGGACGAAAGGGAGAAACACACTAAGAGGAAGGCACGCTTGACAAAACTCATCATGATAAACTCCCACCTGGAAACCTATGTCCCCACTGTGGAAGGATGTGTGGATCCAGAATTGGCCTCCACAGTCACTTACGGACTCACTTTTAAAACCATGTTTATGGAAGACAATCTTACTCGGCTACAAGTGATCGCCAAAGAAGAAGAAGGAGGAGGAGGAGGAGGAGGAGGAACACTACAGCCATGCTGTCAGTCTGATTATATGAGAATTTTTTGCCCAACTGGCATCTCATTTATGAGAAATTTAGAAACGCAGTATCCCCCCCAGTAAATCTTTAAATGCAGTCCCCTGAGAATTTTTTTAAACATGTACAGGAATGTTTACTCCCTCTCCTCAAATGTACTGAAACAGACACTAAAAATCTTATTGTTCCTATAGAAAATTGAATACTGCTGAAGAAAGCCTTCCACAATGAATTTTAAAATTGTACTTTCTGTTATGAACATCTATTCTTAGCGCTATTGTATTTTACTAAAAATAGGACTCTGAGTGTCTTACCATTGGTGCTCTCCAAGGCACTGTTTGATTAATGCTAACACTCCTGAAGCCTGGATGGTATAAGAACGTTCTTAGGGGTTTGTTATACTGCTTTTATGAGAACAAAACATGCATAGTATAAAGTTCATATTACAAAATGTGTTTTGTCTTGGTGTTAGACATAGGAAACATTTTTTAAAAAACACACACAAACAAAACAAAAATGATTTTGCAACCTTCTTTTGTGAAATGGCTTTGAGATGTACCCTAACCTAATGACATTGCTCCACTTGTCAGAAAACTAATCAAGACTATCTCAGGCCAAAGAGATAGGGATCATTCATTCATTTATATTTCTAACATCTAAATGTTATACTGCTCTCTCAAAGACTCTATTCATAAAGAAGATGATGCTTCTTCGGTAGTCTTACTGAACTATATTGGAACTCAGTCTTTTGCTATCAGGCAAGCAAATCAGTACTTGTGTCCTCTGTCAAATACTCTAAAAATCACCCTTCAAGCTTACAAAGCTGTCCACTGCAAAAGTCTTAAATGATTTGGATGATGGAAAAGTTCTCATTCAGCTATGGTTTAGGGCTGGACTATTGTGCTGTGGAAGGCATGTAACTGCTACTGACACATATCTACTTGTGCTTCTCCATGATAACTTTTAAGCTGCGCACAAATGTTTTATTGTGGAATCACTGTGCACTATATATATAAGTGTGTGTGTAGTCCACTCACAAAAGTGCTTCTTGAGAAACTGGTTCCATTCATGGTGTGTAGGGAGCTCATTGCAGAATGATTACCTCACAATGTGTCCATTTGAAAATGTAGGCAGTCCCGACAATGGGGTGGTGTACCTGACTGCTCTACTTTAAACTGAAGTGGAATAGTAATTCTTTAATTTTAAAATTCAAATAACATTTTGTAGCCAAGTGGATAGTTCTCATATATTATTGTTGTTTAGTCGTTTAGTTGTATCCGACTCTTCATGACCCCATGGACCAGAGCACGCCAGGCACTCCTGTCTTCCACTGCCTCCCACAGTTTGGTCAGACTCATGCTAGTAGCTTCGAGAACACTGTCCAACCATCTCGTCCTCTGTCGTCCCCTTCTCCTTGTGCCCTCCATCTTTCCCAACATCAGGGTCTTTTCCAGGGAGTCTTCTCTTCTCATGAGGTGGCCAAAGTATTGGAGCCTCAGCTTCAGGATCTGTCCTTCCAGTGAGCACTCAGGGCTGATTTCCTTAAGAATGGATGCGTTTGATCTTCTTGCAGTCCATGGGACTCTCAAGTCTCCTCCAGCACCATAATTCAAAAGCATCAATTCTTCGGCGATCAGCCTTCGTTATGGTCCAGCTCTCACTTCCATACATCACTACTGGGAAAATGATATTGTAGGTTGGTGTATACCAAGACTGAAATAACCACTTCCTCCACCATTCACCTGCTGCATGTGCAGAGAGAAATAGGCAGGGGAAGCCCAATCAAGGGCAGAGTTTTCACATAGATATCAAGCAGCCCCTACCCACCATTGTGGGTGGCAGGGTGCAGAATCTATTTAGATTGAGAGCAGCATGCTGGTGACAAGCACGAATGATTCCTTACTGAGACTAGCGGCATAGAATATGTACACAGCCTTAGTCAACAAGACGTGTTACCTCAATGTTATTAATATTGCAATGTGTTTCCGTGATCCATTCATGTGCAGGATGTGACTATGCATGGTGTCACATAAGAAGTGAGTCAAGCAACACCCCCATAACATGTAGATTATGCAGCTAATGGTTAGAAAGGAGCTCACAATACCTTTCTCCCCAGAGAAATGCAACAACTGAAACTATGACACACTTCTTCCATTTACCGCTATTGAGAAGGGGAAGAACATTAGTTTCCAACCCTCAGATAGGTGGCAAAGTAACAGGCAAATGTTGACCAGACACATAGCCACCTACAAACACTCTGGTTGTAAGTCTGCGACTATTATGGTCCCTGAAATGCAGTTTATCAAGTATTTGTAACAGGGCGTTTGCCCAAATGGTGTAACTAACCCCCCCATCCCTCCCCCAACAAACACACACCGTTGATGCTTAGCAATAATACTGTCAAAGGAAGCAAGACTCTCTGTGACACTCCTGCAACTGCATGGTCAGGGAATGCACAAATGTGCATGTAAACTGCAACACTTTTATTTACAAACTAAATGCCAGATGTTGATAATGCATTATAGAAATATAATGAGCAAAATGCCGTCCTTATATTGTCCTGCTTTCTTTCAAGATATTCATAAAAGTAAAACCACCAGAGTCAGTCTTTTCATTTCCATTCCCATAGTGAAAGAAGTCCATACTGTTTAAATTACAAGGAGATGTAAAGCGCATTCAAAATGGCACCTTCCTTGATTGCATATATTTAGGTGTAAGCATTATACACACCACCTTAGAAACATGCAGGAAATTCAAGCAAGCAACAGATATTTTTATTCTGATGATTAAAGATGTAATTAGCCACAACTTAAGCTAGAGAAGCAGTTGATAAATGTATTAATTAATAGGTTCGATAACCCATTTTTGTTAATGATTATCCTCAAAGTGCTTTATTTTTCAGTGTTACAATCTCAGGCCTGTTGGGGACCTCCTCAACCATAATTCCTTTGATTTGGCACCGCTGAAAGCAAAGTGGAACAAACAGAAATATTATTTATATACTTAATTTTACATTAATAAAATGGGAAATGGAATTGATAGGCTTTAGAACAGGCGTAGGCAAAATCGGCCCTCCAGATGTTTTGGGACTACAATTCCCATCATCCCTGACCACTGGTCCTGTTAGCTAGGGATCATAGGAGTTGTAGTCCCAAAACATCTGGAGGGCTGAGTTTGCCTTTGCCTGCTTTAGGAGCTGTCCCAACCTCTTCCTGCAAGAGCAGCATATTAGGATGGTGGCAGTAACCACAACTGCAAGGAAGCTGCTTCCTTCTGGTCCAGTACAAAGGAGGCAGAGCCTTTTGGATCCAAAGGGAAGGAATGCTTGCAACTTTTATAGATTTCACTTTGTGGGCCAGTTCATAATCAGACGGAGTAGGAAAATTTGGCTCTCAGGCAAGAGACTTAATTTTTAGAATTATTACACGAGGAAAAAATAGAACTAACCTATAATAATACTGATAACACAAGTGTAGATTTAAGATCCCTTTCATATTAATGGTTGTTATATCTGCATTTAGACAAACACAAGTATTTTTCATTCTTTTTGAATATGTTTTATTGGAATTTAAAGAGCTAAACATCATGCAGCACAGAAGCAAAAAAGAAAAAAAAGGCCGAATTAGGTTTTCTTTTCTTTTTTATTTTGCTAAAAAATATAACTTGCCACAAGACGAGAAGATAGAGTGTGACACTAATGATATTCATGTGGGTAGAGTCAATGCATCATGTTGTCATAAATCTGCCGTTTTCATTTCTCACTCCTACAGACATAAAATAGCAGCATTCAGTGCTGTAAAAGGACAGAATAATGGTGGAACTGGCATTCAATCGGCAAAACAGAAGATTGCTTACAATTCAATAGGGTTTCCCTAAAAGCAGTAATATCCATTACACTGTTAATAGATTTAAGAGAGAGAGAGAGAGAAGAGGGAGAAACATGAACTGTGTATTGTCAAAACCATATTGGGCAAAATGACTTCTATCCTGCATTTACTGCAATCTGTTAACAGTTCTTTGAAAATAAATCATAGTATGATTCACAAAAGCTTAGTATTATCTTAACCGATTCAAGAAGGGTATTAATAATCTTATTTTTGAAACTTAAATCCCACATTTTATACCAAAAGGTTCCTTGAACCAGCTCAGAAAAATAAATTTAAAACACTGAAACAATATTATAACCATTATTAAAACAGGGCAGCAAAACAGTAAATATTTAACTCATCTCAAAAGCCTGTGTGCTGTTTGTGTGTGTAAATCATTCCAACAGTCCCAAAATGCTGGGCCTGAAAGGCCTTCCTAGGGCATGTGTTTCATTATTTATGGGGTCAGCATAGTAAAGCTTTTGGCTATCATAGTTTCAAAGCATCACAAGGTGAATAGATGACCCATACAAGAGATATAAGATAAATAAAATAAATAAATAATTTCCCAAGAAGCCTAACGTGATAAACCGAATTTTATGTACCGGTACTTACCCAAAAATTTCCATAGTATTCCAACAAACATTGCTTATTATGATGAACTGTCCAAATTTTAAAAATTAATATTATTGGAGGAAGGATATCTTATAATTGCTAGTTCATAATTGACTGCTGTTTGTGGTTTAATGGACATATATTTCCCCCCCACTTCTACCTGAGTTTTAATACGCAGTCAAATCTATGGCCTTCTCTAACAAGCTGATTTATTTAACATAGTCTATGTATATGAAATTAATATTCAGAACTAGATTCTGTAGTTGGGATGGTTTATTCTGACCTAATGGTTCAGAAATAAATAATTTGGATTTATAAATATTGTAAAATTTTATATCACACTTTGGTCAAGGTTCACCTTTTCTAATTTCAGGCTAGCTCTTATGAAACTTGGGTCCACCTGCTTTACTTGACTGCTTTTTTGTGTGATTTTAGTGCTGTATTACATTCTTATGAGCTAGGATCTCAACAAATAAAATTATTTTGTTTGTAAATTTCAGACTCTATTACTGAGCAACCCAAAACAGAGATTTTCCAAGATCCATATTTTAAATGCTAACCCATTATAATTAATTTACAGTGGTGCCCCGCAAGATGAATGCCTCGCAAGACGGAAAACCCGCTAGACGAAAGGGTTTTCCGTTTTTGAGTTGCTTCGCAGGACGAATTTCCCTATGGGCTTGCTTCGCAAGACGAAAATGTCTTGCGAGTCTAGAGATTTTTTTTCCGCTTCCCCCCCCCCCCTTTATCTAATCTGCTAAGCCTTTAATAGCCTTTAATAGCCTTTTAGCAGCTAATCCCCTAAGCCTTTAAGCCTTTAATAGCCGCTAAACCGCTAATAGCGCTAATCCGTTAAGCCGCTAATAGGGTTGCTTCGCAAGACGAAAAAACCGCTAGACGAAGACTCTCGCGGAACGGATTAATTTCGTCTTGCGAGGCACCACTGTATTTGGGGAGGATACACAACTTTGTGGGTTGTATTTCATTCTCTCTCCTAATGGCTTTCAGCCAACCTGAATACCGTATCACTATTTTTGTTACAACTCAACTGAATTTCCAGGTCCTCCGATTCATGTTGCTAATGTCTGCCATTTTCAGGACAGTATGTACACTGTTCTGAAGGACAGGGCAATAGCTGAGTTCAGATGTAACACTAAGTCAAACCATGACTAAATGTGAATGAGGAAGCATGAGTGTACACAGAGCAAAAACTGTGGTCTGCTGGCTTCTCCCCTCAGTCTTTATGCTGAGCTAAGCCGTGTATTGCTGTCTATAAATCTATGGTTTCTCTCCCCAAAACAAATAATGAGCAATGAGATAAAAACAAAACTTGGCTATAGCTTTTATACCACAAGGAAATTAAAGTAATTAGAAACACATTTCAAAGCATTTGTAAAAAAAATCTGGTCTAAATTCATGCTGGACGCTTCTAGGCAGATTCTCAATAAAGTTATGTGCTAAGTGACCACAGGCCATGCCATCTACCTCCCAGGAAGAACATAATGACAAGAGGGAAACCAACCTGACCCCAACCACTGGTCACAGAAGGAGCGGCTGCAGGTTTTTAAACTTCCACACCGCAGTGTTGCTAGTTGGTTATCTAATTGCTTGGCTCTATATACTTTGGTCACATAGGGTTTTCATTTCAGGTGCGGGAGTAATGAGGCCAGATCCATAGCTGAGTAGTAAGTGGGGGTTCCTTGGAGTGCCAGTTTATGGCACAGCTTAAAGGCTTTCCCACTCGCCAGGTTGCACAATAGGCCCATGACATCATTCTGCACCACGATGAGCCCATGATCTTTGCCTCCTCATCAAAAGTATCCAATGCATATTGACCAGGACAATGGTACTGGCTAGCAGATGGGCTAGGCCATGGGTAGACAAACTAAGGCCCGGGGGCTGGATCTGGCCCAATCGCCTTCCAAATCTGGCCTGCGGGTGGTCCAGGAATCAGCGTGTTTTTACATGAGTAGAATGTGTGTTTTTATTTAAAATAAATCTCTGGGTTATTTGTGGAGCCTGCCTGGTGTTTTTACATGAGTAGAATGTGTGCTTTTATTTAAAATAAATCTCTGGGTTATTTGTGGGCCATAGGAATTTGTTCATTTCCCCCCCCAAAAAAAATATAGTCTGGCCCCCCACAAGGTCTGAGGGACAGTGGACCAACCCCCTGCTGAAAAAGTTTGCTGACCCCTGGGTTAGGCAATGACCTGTTCCTGGTTTCACACCAAACTCTTTGAGCTGTAAGAGTAGTCCTCATAAACCCACATCAGCCTACGTGCATTAAGTGCTCCCAGGCACCGCCCCCTGCTCTGTGCTGCTGGCAGCTTGGCAAAATCACTCAAATGAACAGCAGAGTATAAATCTTCAAAATAAATAATTGATAAATATGCCCAGGGAGCCCACAAATAGGGCATGAAAACAGTAGCCTTCCACCTTGACTTCTCTCTCATCAGCTGAGGTTCTTCTGCTGAGAGACTGTGACCCATTTACTGTAAGACCCGTAGAATCAGTTCATGTTCCTAATCTCTGAATTCAAGTTTATTCTTCCCATGGGTCTTTTCCTCCCAGGTTTTCCTTAGTGTGTCTTTATTTTGGAGTGAGGTTAATAAATTCTGCTTTCCATTGGAAACAGTTAATGCCACATAAGCAAGCACCCCCCCAAGTTTGCTGTAATTACCAGTGATTGGTACTGATATGCAATAAACCCAACCTAAATCTCATGGCTTAGACTTCAGGGGTGCCCAAACTTTTTTCAAAGAGGGCCGGATTTGATGAAGTGAACATGCATGAGGGCCGAACAAAGTTGTTGACCTTTTTCTAGGACTGTAGTTGTTGAGCTTTTTTGTGGATTTTACCCCAGGAAATATACTGCCACAGGGACTGGATTAAACCGACTGGGGGGCCGTATTAGGTCCCCAAAATAGACTTTGGACATGCCTGGCTTAGATAGTCACCAGTTATAAAAGGAACACCCAGCTGTTTCAAAATTATCCGATGTGACTCAAAATCCCATGCATTTCTAGGGGCACTCTGACTTTTAATATGGCACAGCCAGAGTACAATAGCAGTAAAGATGGGGAAAAAAACCCCACCTCTTAAACTGTGCAACCCTATGCAAATCTACCCAAAATTAAGCTCAATGGGGCTTCCACCTTAGTGGGTCTTAGTCAACCATTCAAATTAATGGACCTAATTTAGTCATGTTCAGTAGTTTGAATGGGACTACTCTGAGTAAGACTTAGTTGACTATCACCTATGTTTAGGGCTGCAGCCTCAGTGTATCAGAAATAATGAATTATGCATTCTGGACTTACATTTCCAGATCTGGAAAGCTGAAGGAGTTTTAATAAGTATAAATTTAATAGGAACTCTTCTGCTAGAAGCTACATTTGGAAATTATAACAAAAGAAACACCTAGGATGTACATTATAAATGCTTCATTGCAGATTATAATAAAAGATGAAAAGGCTTTTGTAAAGGGCGGACTTTGTAAGATAATCCATAACCTTTACAAAATGATGGTGCTTGTCAAAAGAGCAAAACGTACTTCCAATCAGTTCCAAACTCCTATCTTGACCAAAAAAGAAGAGGGGGAAAAAGTTCAGCAGTAGAAATACTCCTTTGGGGAAAAATATTAAAAAAGCAACCCTGCTTTAGTAGAGCAGCTGAATTACAAAGGAACAATGCACTGGGATTGCTCAGCTGACAAAATGAATGATAGACCTCAGAATATAACACTGCCACCTCTATTATAACAGAGGGCAAAGCCACTTCAGTTCCAGCTAAAATGCCTTGGGAAATGGAGTTCCCAATTTCTTCTCTTAAGTTATTCTATACACATGAATTTGACCATTTTACATTGCAACCTGCACAACAGCCTACCTTTCATTTCAATCTATACATTGTTAAAATAAATGGACTTTATTAACATGACATCCAGTATAAGCACTGCTAATCTATTGCTGTTCTCCCTCGCTGAGGAGGAAGCTATTGTAGCACCAGTGTATCAAACAAGGAAGACGCTACTTAGCAGGGTGAAAGCTGTTGTGTTTTGGTATGTTCTTCAAAGTTTTGTTCCCCTGTTTTTCCGCCTCCCTTGCAGGGCACTTTAGAGATGTGCTTTCCCCTCTGTTTTTAAGAGCAAGTGAGGGCAAATCTGTCCTTCAGTTTCTCATTTTCCCAAACTTAAGTTCCTGACATTTTCACATTTGTTTGTGTGTTTCTTCAAGAAAATACTATGTATGAAAATTTGTATTTCAGCGTGAATTTCTCCTAACATACACACTTCATATGCAATTTCAGTGAAAGACCTAAATGTTCATACCCTCCGTCATTTCTCTGATGAAAATAGGGATGTCCTAAGGAAAAGCGGGACATAGAATCATAGACTTGTAGAGTTGGAAGGGAACCCCAATGGTCATTTAGCCCAATCCCCTTCAATGCAGGGACATTCTGGGATCCAATCAGAAACCGAGATGGCTTCTGCAAACCTGGGACTGTCCCTGGAAAATAGGGACACTTGAAGGGGCTGCACTTTTGGGGCCCCAAAGCTTGAACTGTTAGGGAGGCAACCAGCAAAGAGGTCTGGGTAACCACTGTTATCTTTTTCAGTGCAATTGTTCCATGACAGATCACATTTTTAAAAAAATAAAAAAATAGCTACTACATTTCAGATTTTGATTAAAATTGCTGTACTGGATTATCCCACATGTCAAAGTCACCGGTGTGAACAAAAAAATTCTTTTAATTTTTTGAGTTACAGTGGTGCCTCGCAAGACGAAATTAATCCGTTCCGCGAGAGTCTTCGTCTAGCGGTTTTTTCGTCTTGCGAAGCAAGCCCATTGACGGATTAGCGCTATTAGCGCTATTAGCGGTTTAGCGGCTATTAAAGGCTTAAAGGCTTAGGGATTAGCTGCTAAAAGGCTATTAAAGGCTATTAAAGGCTTAGCAGATTAGATAAAGGGGGAAAAGCGAAAAAAATCTCAAGACTCGCAAGGTATTTTCGTCTTGCGAAGCAAGCCCATAGGGGAATTCGTCCTGCGAAGCAACTTCAAAACGGAAAACCCTTTCGTCTAGCGGTTTTTCCGTCTTGCGAGGCATTCGTCTTGCGGGGCACCACTGTATAATAATAATAATAATAATAATAATTTTTATTTATACCCCGCCCTCCCCAGCCAAGGCCGGGCTCAGGGCGGCTAACAAGCAATAATAAAAACAAGTTGAATGAATACAACTTAAAAACAAGATTAAAATACAACATTAAAATATTGAAACATTAAAATATTAAAATGCAGCCTCATCACAGGAGGAGAAAGGAAAAAGGAAAAAGAAAGAGGGGGAGGGAATCAAATTGGCTACAAGCCAAAGGCCAGGCGGAACAATTCTGTCTTACAGGGACATAAGTTACAGGGACATAACAGAGTTATGGGAGGGGTGAAATTTAGGCATAATTAGGGGAATGATATATACATGCATGATGCATTTTTTAAACTATGTGGACTAAAGCAACTTCTGGAACCCCTCCGGGATTAGAGGCCCTGAAGCTTAAGATTCATTAATTTCACACTAGATCCGTCCCTCATGCAACTTTGCCTAACATGCACATTTTTGCAAAGCACGTTGTCCACCATATATAGTTCATATTTCATCTTATTTTCACTAATATATGCCTTGTTCTGACCACTTTACACTAGTAGGAGCATTTTTGCACGCATTATTTGGCCTGAGAACTTTATTGCAAAATTCAGGTGCGTGTGAATTTCAAAGAATGGTTGTGCTTCGGTGCACCTCTTGTTTCAGAAAGTGTGAATTAGGTAGGTTGCCTTGAAATACGAAATGAAACAATTTCCTCTTCCATACTGAGGTTGAACATACTGCATTGTTTTGAAGCACCAAAGCATAGTATATGTGTTTCTCTACCCATCACACATTTCTCTAGTGCTCTGCAGCCACCTCAGCCACCACACTTCCTGATCTGAAGAAAACAACAACCACCATGGGAGGACTGGTCACCAAGATTGGTGTTCTTGCTGGTTTTGTTTTTAAGCAAAGTCCTCATTCATTCATTCATTCATTCAAATCCACGCTCATTATTTTGGAAGTAAAAAGAGGTCATTTAAATATATCAGATGCATTGTAGGCAACCCTCCCTGCTTCCCCCACTTACAGGAAAGCTCAGCCAACAATGTCATTGAGATTCAGAAAAGAAGAGTGTGCACCCAGAAAGACTGCAAAGTGCAGACCACCAGAGATGTACCGTGAAATAAAGGACACTAACATCATCCAGGCACCTCATAAGTAGGCTAAGTACAACAACCTCCTCTTCTCCACATCATTCGGGGAACATCAAAACATGCTCCTGCCTCCATGGTAATTTTTGAATGCACTTTCTTGCTATTATCTAACCTTTACATCCCCTCTTCACATAATTAAGAAAGCATGCCTTGGGTATTATGACAAATACCAGACACTATGGAAAAGCAAAACATTTCATATCAGCAATTCATTTTTTTGACCCTTTTGCACCATCTAAATGTTTGTATAGTTTATATTGCCATTAGAAAAGTCAGAGAGAAAGAAGCGAACTCTATTTGCTGTAAATATATACATGAATGACAAATCCACTGCAGCTTTCAAAAAGGGTGGAGCTCATCATCTTGGATCCAGAGCATGCCTTTTCTCATTAGCTATTCTGAATTAGTAAGAAAAAGTCCTAAATTCAATTACTCTTGCTGGCAGGCCAATTCGTTTTTAACAACTGCACTCTTTATGAGACACCTTGTACTGCAGTCATGGGGCTTTATTCATTTGAATCATATGGTTAGATGTAATTATAGCTGTCAATTCCTCTGTACTTTCAATAACACTGAAACTACCTTGCATTGCGAAGAAGATTCCATTAATGGGATTGATTCTGTCTTAATTGGCCAGGCCTGTGTATGTTAGAGTGCTTTTGCAATTCTAGCATCAGTTTGTTAGGCTGTCTCCCTCCCCACTTGCCACCTTCCTTTGAGACACTGGCCACTAAAACTGCAAGCTAATGAGAGGAGAGAATTATCACCATCAACATAATCATCATAGAGTTGCCTCCTCCCCATTCAGTTTAATTAAATATTTCTCCACACATTACAGCAGTTTCAGGTCAATATCATAGCCATGAGTTATTAATTAAGGATATCAATAAACAGTGTGTGAGAAAACATTTGTTCATGTACGGTAGCATATGAGGTTCTAAAAGCACAAGCTATGCAAAGGCTTATGTTGCATTGTTAGTTCATCACTAGGCTTCAGTATACAAGGTGAGCCATGGGTCAAAGAGATAAAGCCTTAGATATGCCAAGATGAATCACAAGTTTGCAGGACTAGAAGACCTTTGATACTTCTATTTTTGGTTCAAGGTGTGATCTGTGAACTAAGGTAAAGGGGACTGGTTCATCTAAGGTAATCGCTTAAAAAAGGCAAAGGTAAAGGACCCCTGACAGTTAAGTCCAGCCATGAGTGACTCTGGGGTTGCGGCGCTCATCTCGCTTTACTGGCCAAGGGAGCTGACATTTGTCCACAGACAGCTTTTCCAGGTCATGTGGCCAGCATTCTGGTGAAACCAGAGCAGCTCACGGAAACGCTGTTTACCTTCCCACCGGAGCGGTACCTATTTATTTAATTGCACTTTGACTTACACATAATTCTGGTCACTTTCAACGTGAAACATTTCATTTTACAAATTTACTATTAACTCAGTTTATAGAAATTGGACAGACTGAAGTTTATTGGAATACAATTTACTTGAGGAGGTTTTCTGAATTGACTTTCAAACTTCTTTCATTGAATCTGTGATTCATCAGTAATGACTTTATTTCTCACCTCTAGAGAGATAAGTTTATTTATTATTGTTGTTGTTGTTTTTAAATCTGCTTCCTAGGAAACTCACCTGGCAGCCATCTTCAAAACTACATTATAAATAAAACAGACAGATGGTTCCCCACTCCAACCTGCTGGCTATCAAATTCCTATGTCATCAGCCTCCTAGAGATGGTTAGCATTAGAGAGAAATATCCATCAATCTTAAAGAAAAGAATGCCTATCAAGAGCACATGGTTTACTAAGCAGGACCAGGGCACTGCCTAGTCTACAGTTCTTCAGGATTGTCATTGGGTGCGTGGCTGGGGGAGAAATCTGCACACCCTTCTCTTAGGGTTGTTACAGATGTGGACAATTTAGCAGCACCCAATTCTTACTGCTCTACTTTAAACTGAAGTAGAACAGTAATTCTGTAATTTTAAAAATCAAATAACATTTTGTAGCCAAGTGGATAGTTCTCATATGTTGTTGTTTAGTCGTTTAGTCGTGTCCGACTCTTCATGACCCCATGGACCAGAGCACGCCAGGCACTCCTGTCTTCCACTGCGTCCTGCAGTTTGGTCAAACTCATGCTGGTAGCTTTGAGAACACTGTCCAACCATCTCGTCCTCTGTCGTCCCCTTCTCCTTGTGCCCTCAGCCTTTTCCAACATCAGGGTCTTTTCCAGGGAGTCTTCTCTTCTCATGAGGTGGCCAAAATATTCAGGGTCTGTCCTTCCAGTGAGCACTCATCATCATCATTTTTATTCGACCGTCAGTCAGAAAAAAGTACATTTTGTCAATACACAGTTAAAAACATCCAGGAAGATTTTAAAACTTAGCCAACACTAAAATGGGCTAAACAAATAGCCCCATATCAATACAGTCAATTATAGTCTTGCGACGCTTAAAAGCTAAGAAGAGAAATTTGGCCACCAAGGAAGGTATAGCTCTAGTGGTGTTATTCAGCAAGTGTATAACCTGGTTTTCTCCAGGTAGGAAGCTGAATTGACATAAGAGTGGGTCTATAAAATTTTGTCTAAGCTCTGCATAGGAAGGGCAAGTCAAGAGAATGTGTTCGGTGGACTCAACCACACCCATGGCACAATGACAGGTTCTCTGGGCGTATGGTACTTCCCTGTACCTTCCCCACAATATCGCAGAGTCAAGGACATTGAATCTAGCCGCTGTAAGAAGTCTACGGTATTCCACATAGTGGATTTCTGCAAGGTAGGGGGCTGGTATGGTCCGATAAATCTGGTCCCCTAGGAACATCCCTGGTTTTACCTGGGCTATGTCCTCTTGTCTGGCAATGTCACTCAGTCTCCGGGAGATCACAGCTCTAGCTTGATTGTACGTCATGGACTCAAAGTAAAGGAGAGACAATCCACAGGATTGAACCTCATTAATGACCTCCCTTTCCCACGATGATTGGAAATCGTCCCTCAATATCAAGGGGGCAGTACCCACTGGTTTAAAACAAAGCTTGAGCCATAGCCAGAGCTTCGTCTTCAAGGCCACATACCATAGAGCTTGCCAGCCGACCTCTAATCTCATAACCGCACCCGCTACCGAGGGGGGAATCCTAAGGATGGCTCTAAGGAATCGCGTTTGGATAGAATCCAGTTTCAAAAAATCCCTACGGGAGCCTAAAGAGATGCCCACCAAAAGAAGGGGAGGACTTTCATTTGAAAGAGTCTCAAAGCTATCTTGATTGATTGAGCCTGATTCTTAGCATATAGAGATCTAATCTGGATGGCTGCTTTAGATGCGTTAGTTGAGCACTCAAGTTCTCATATACCCACACCCAATTGTTATGAGTGGGGGAAGGGCTCACTGGAACCATAGAGTGATGGGAAAGGGTTAAATACTCCCTTCCCCCTCATTGCATTCATGGTCATGCAACCACCCCCCTCTTGCTGTAATTTAAGGGGAAAGAGAAATAGACATAAAACCCATGCTATTTTAAAAGGGAAAGGATGAAGTGTTGATTCATAGAAAGGAGTGAAGGACCACAGAGAAGGAAATGGCTAGAACAATCCATACAACCAGACTAGATCAGAAAATTTATGGAACAGATGTGGGAAATTGTGCAGCTGCTCCATGGTGTTAAAAAAAGGTAGATTTTCTGGAAAAGAGCAGTAGCGGAACGGGTGTAACATGGCAGGAGTATGTTGTTGCTGCTGCTTTTGTTATTAGTTGATTTACACAAATGTCTCAAGGCGACTTACCAATAATAGTAAAATGCAATATATGAAAAACAAAATAATTAAAAGCAAAGCCCAAGACATTCATCAGATTGTAAAAAAAGCCCCCGATCCCCTCATGTAAGTCTAACCACCACAGACAGCTCCTAAAGAAGATCAGCTGATTTGTGCTGACAGGGAGAGCCATGGGGAGCAAGCCTTCAAAGAGGCATGTTTCATTAGCGTGAAGTGGTTTGCACTGAAATGGCTTGCTAAAACAGGAAAAAACCCCACACTCACAATGGAAAATAGCTCAATTTTAGCATGCAGTTTCAAGACCAACTGCTTCACTCTAATGGGACAAGTGGCTCTGAAGGCATGCTCCCACTGTCAATCAACTGATTGGCACTGGGAGTGCATCCTCAAAGGAGCTCACTGAAAGCACTCAACAGCTAATGGGTTGTTGCAGCAATTGCCTTTGAACTTTGACACCAAGCAATTGACAGGTAGGTGATCCCACCCACCTGTCATAGGTGGCCGACAGAGGATGGACATAGGGATTTGACTTCTACTTCTTCAGGGAAACTTGGAAAATCGAAGAGGTATATCTAATATCTAATCAGGAATGCAGGGACAAGGCTGGACGATGGAGAAATGAGATCCAGCGCAAGAAGCCATCACAACCACTTAGTATGGTTGAAATACTAATACAGTGGTGCCCCGCAAGACGAATGCCTCGCAAGACGAAAAACTCGCTAGATGAAAGAGTTTTCCGTTTTTTGAGTCGTTCCACAAGACGAATTTCCCTATGGGCTTGCTTCGCAAGACGAAATGTCTTGCGAGTTCTTGCGAGTTTGTTTCCTTTTTCTTTAAGCCGCTAAGCCGTTAATAGCCGCTAAGCCGCTAATAGCCGTGCTTCGCAAGACGAAAAAACCGCAAGACGAAGAGACTCGCGGAACGGATTAATTTCATCTTGCGAGGCACCACTGTATGTCATGATATGACTTAATCTCTTATTTCACATTTTCCTTAATATCCCTTTGAAAGGAAACACTGGGAAATTTCAGATGAATTAGGTATGCTTGATTTCTTATAGTTTCCATTTTATTAACGTTTTCAAGAAGTTCAGACAGGTCAGGCAAATAATTTTGCCTTACAAAAATGGATGATTTGACCTTAGCAGGTGCTTCTTATCCAAGTGTTGCATTATACTTTCTTTAATTGTAGTCTCACCCCTCCCTCTCTTTCTTATTGGAACAACACATTGTCATATTTCAATTCTACAGAATAGGTGCTCGTCTCTGGATATACTCATAAATAATGTTTGAGTTATTCTTAGCTTCAACATAAGCAATTAGAAGCACTGCTGCAAATACCCTGTTGCTTTCCTCTAAATAGCAAGCACACAAGAACCCTAAGCAGGCACTTGCATAGAAGAGGAAATGGATGGATAGACTTACCCAGGGCTGACCATCACATTCCCAGTCATTCTGCACAAGGGGGAAGGTGACCCCTTGTAGTGGGGAGCATGCTGTATACATGTAGACTCCTTGCAGAATTTTTCAGGGTTTGCAAGATGCATGGGGAGCCTACATGAGTAGAGCAGGCTCCTCATTGGAAAATGCAGTTGCTTTCCAAAACCTATTCAATCTATCTGATAGCAGTAGTCACAAGAACTATTGCTACCGTCTGGTTTGAATAATGGAAGTATGCTTTTCATGTGATCATTGCAATTATCAGAACCCAGCCTTACAAATATTCTGCTGTGCAGCAGCAATTGAAAACATAAACTTGAATCCTAAAATATCATAACTGAAGGAAGCTTGTGCACATTATTCTAACTTGTTGCCCTCTACTCCTGAAAATATACTCTGCATCGGGGCCATCCTGAACAATAAGGGTGTGGCTTCTGAAATTAAGAAAATACCCTCCAAGTGCCACTATTTCAGTGGGATGGACACATTCCCTACAGCTGCTACACTTTCTGCCTTGCTCCATCCAAAATACTAGGCTTTGGGAAGAAGGAGGGCGGACTCTAGGACCCTGTCAGATCCCTCACGCCTCCTGTATGAAGCCGTCTGTCTGAAACTCTGTCTGAAGAGTTCAAAATGCAGCTATTGTTTCCAGTTGGTGGAGGGAAAGCAAGTGGCAGAGGCAGGGCCAAGTGGGCAGCATGGTTTGCGTGCCTGGCGATGAAGGCTGACAGGGTGTTCCCCTTCCACGATGTCCGCTGGGATCCAATCAAGGCCGTTGACAGACTTTTAGGGAACTGCCCATGTGGAATTTCCTCCTCACAATATCCAAGAAGGCGACCGGGGGGCACACAGCGCCCATCAACACCCCCACCCTGAGCGTTCTTCTCAGTCAGGGAGCAGACAGTAAAGGCAGACAGTGTGGCAGATGGGAAAGCTATCGGGGTGGAAAAGACCACATGAGGAAGGATAGAAGCAGAGGGAGAAAAGAAAGAGAGGGAAGATGAGACCTCCATTGGCTGAGGAGACCACCTTGGGCAAGCTGCACACAGCCCCAACTTGCCTCACAGGGTCCATAGATCATAGAACTGTAGAATTGGAAGGGCCCCCAAGGGTCATCTAATCTAACCCCCAAAGACACGCATCCTGATTTTCATCAACAAAATGCTGGAGGGTATGTAAGAAGACAGGAAACGTTCCTAACATGAACCGCCTTAAGTTACCTTCTCTTAGGATCCAAACCAAAGTTTGTCATATACTATTCAACAGGAAGGAAAGTCATATGTATAAAACTTTTTACATGGAAACTTCTCATTTGAATGCATTATAATTCTCCCTTGAATAATTGGTTAATCATTAGCACACTCTGAATGTTTTAAAAACCGGCACCAGGGGCTAGTTTCTCCAACTAGGCTGGTGTATTCTGCAGAAAATAAGGAGCAGCTTTCCAGGAAGACAGTGGTTCATTAAGCATGATTTATTCATTTTCAGGTGTGATAAACTGAACTTTGTCATGAATCAGGCTTTGTGTTCATTGATACTCTTTCAGTAACCTTTAACAGGACTGCCATATGTTGGCATCAATCATTATTTCTGAATAAGTTAAAAAAAATCCTCTTAGTGCATTTCCCACATTAGAGACTGAAAGAACACTTTTGAGGTAATGATATTTTGTATGTTTTGAGTACAGTGGTACCTCAGGTTACATATGCTTCAGGTTACATACGCTTCAGGTTACAGACTCTGCTAACCCAGAAATAGTACCTTGGGTTAAGAAGTTTGCTTCAGGATGAGAACAGAAATCGTGCTCCAGTGGCACGGCGGCAGCAGGAGGCCCCATTAGCTTCAGGTTTAGAACAGTTTCAGGTTAAGAATGGACCTCCAGAATGAATTAAGTACTTAACCTGAGGTACCACTGTACTTTGTCCTAGGCGAGGGAGAAAGAGGCAATATAGGAAGGATAATGATTAAGGTGGCGGCATATTTTTTCTTACTTTTTATCTCTGAAATGTTCTTAAACATTTAGGGGAAAATTACTAAAATACATGAGGTACTGAGGTAGGATTATTCAGATGCATGTTAATATAATATTTATACACTTGTTACAGGAGATTTTGCAGTCAGTGATCATACAAAGTTTCCTCTGGACCAGTAAATGGTGCTAGATCTGAAAATGTGACAACTTCCCTAATTAGCCTGTAACAATACCCCACTATTCGAATCCACATATTTTGTGTCAGGCCTTTTCCCCGCCCCCCACAGTAGACTTTACCCTTCACTTTGCCATTTGTTGTATTGTCATTGTACTGATGTATATTCATATCATGGCACATTTAATTTATCCATGTGTTTCAGTCTTTGATAGCATTTTTTCTAAATGCTTTTCTTTCTTTTTTTCACTTGTCGCTATTATGTTCTATAGCAGGGGTGGCCAGCTCCCAAGAGACTCACAGAATTAAAAACTGGCAGTGATCTACCCCCTTTTTTGGAGTTCAGGTCAAGGTGCCAAAGTTGTTGAGCTTTTTTTAGGTTGGAGGAAGGAAAGCACCAATTTTTGGGAGTTCAAGGCTAAACTGTGGCCCATTGTAGGGAGAAAGGGGAACAGCCACTCACCAACAGCCTCGCTGAGTAAACTCCGTTTTCCGTTCTGCAGATCGTATAACAATGGAGGGCAGGGTGAGGGGGCGGGGGCAGATTCTAAGGAAAGGAACCCAGCGATCGACCACGATCTACCAAAACCTCCTGGGGATCTACCAGTAGATCGTGATCGATCTGTTGGACATCCCTGTTCTATAGCTTATTAGTAATAGTATTTGTCTTCCACTTTTATACGTATGCTATTTGAACTACACATACATAAAATAAATATGCTATGGTCCTATACAACAGGGAGGGCTGCCCTTTCTTTTGAGCTGTGGGATGCATTCACCTTTGGCCAACCTCTGGGTGCAACCCAGCCCAGCAATCTACTTCACCTTCTCTCATGCACACCCACCCACCCAGGTAAACACACTCCCAGGCACCCAGTCCCCTCTTTATCTGATCAATGCAGATCAACTGTGAGGGGAGGGTTATCACCCCACCCTGTTCATCAAATGATCAGTCTGATGACTGAGTAGGGGAAACATTTATCTCCATTGGGACACTGCCCATTCACACATTCTACTGTATATATACTTTAAAAAAATGTTTTGACACTGCCACCAAAGTCAGTGGGGGCCTTTGGAGCCTGGAAAATTTCCACAAACGCAGGGTTAGCCATGGCTACTATTTGCACTTGGGTAGGTGGGGGAGTAAGCCCCATTGAACACAATGAGATTCATTTCAGGGGAAGACTTGTATATGATTGCAATGCAAAATTATTAGGAACTATCTATATCTGTGGTAGTCAACATTGTGCTCCTCAGGTGTCAGGCTATAACTCCTATCAGTCCTAGTCGGCTTGGCTACTGAACAGGAATGACAGGAGTTGTAATGCGACCTGTGGACTGGCTACTCCAGTTCTTTATAGCCTAACACAACCAAGAAACAGGATGCTGGATTGAACTAAGTAATTAGGAGCAGAATGTTATACCATTGCATTTTTCATTAATTTTATGAAAACATGATTTGAGGAGAGAGGTCTCCAATAATGGTGACTCAGCAAGGATTGTTAAAACTAGTATCATATCACCCTATTTTTAGGAGCACTGTGTACTACCACTACAGCAAATTCTCTCTGCACAAACAACCCACAGTCTGCTATGTACACATGAACATTTCAAGACTTTAAAAATACATTGCATGGATAATAAAGCTTACCAATCCATTTGTAAGCTTTGACAATTATCAACCTGATAGTGTAAATTAGTGTCCTAAGTGAAGCATAGAAGAAATAATTAGCTGTAGGTCATACACAATGACAACTCATTGGCATTCAGATGTATCATTGTGTTATTTTCAGCGGAGCATGCTCTCAGAGCGCTCTCTCATTAGGATGGATGTCGATGGTGGCTAGAAGGATGTGGCAGATGACTCACTGAATGAAAACCCATTTTAAGAAGGGGAATTTGTTGCATCCCTGTTATTTTGTGCACGAATTATACAAGCATGGATTTGGATAAAGCTTCTTCCCAATTGCAGGACCACCTCCTCGCTAATACTTTTTTTAGTTTATAATGTGTGGAAATAGGAGAGCTGTTCAGAAGCTTGTCTCCATGCATATACGAAATGTGTGTGGCAGGAGAGGCAGCCCTGCTCCTGATACTGCAAACTAAGCACATACACAATTCAGCATGATGTCTGGAAAGGGGGTGGGTGGGTCTAGGCACATACAGCTGTGCTTATGATTGGGCACTCTGCACAGTTTCCAGGTTGATGCATGGAGGCAAGCATCTGAGCTGCGCTATGATGGTGTTATGTACTGAGCTGAATCCTAGAACAATAGGATCCAGAATGCAGCAGTCTGATTGGTCTGCAGGAACCACCCAATCCAGCTCCAGGTGGAAGTGAATCAAGGACCTGATTGGCCTGCAGGAGCAGCCAATCAGGCTCCTGGATGAAGTGAATCAGCAACCTGATTGGCCTACAGGAGCTGCCCGGAATTAGCCAGTCACGTGGGGCCCATTGTGTAAATAACGTATATATAGCTAGATGTTTTGGGGAAAGCTTCATTCATTGTTACTATGAGTTGAATAAAGAGCATGAAATTCACACTCGACTCTGAGTATATTTCAGTAAGGTAAACAGTGTGTATACAGGATGATATCCAATGTGACTTGCTAGAAAATGAGAGGGCAGAACACAAAGGACTGCCCGACTAGATTAGCATACAAGGAAGTTCTGCTTTGCATAAAGTCTATAATGTTGCAGGACAAGCCACATGAAAACAAGGGAACTTTCAGAAGTAGATTATGCTGTGGCATGAAGGTCTAACAGTTTAAAGAGCAGAATTTATGGCATCCAGATAAAGATTTGGATTTGTTTAAAGGAGGGATTTTTTAAAAAAACCTATCAGGAATATCAGACTTTGCTCCCACACTTTTTATAGTTGGGAATAAGAGGGAATTTCAGCAGGTGCATGACAGATTGCTGGCCATAATGCTTTTATTTAAATGTGTTGTGTATTTTCATCGGAAATAATTATACCCTTCTGAAGAAATATTGGGGATATCCCTTTAAGCTAACTCTGCCAGCAAGGGTTTTGAACCATTGATTGCAAACACTGCTCTTTTCTACCTGCTAGGGGCCAGATAGGGGATCATGGCAACATGGTTTGAAGGTGTGCTAGCTGAATTATCTTAAGGTATTTGCAAATAGATTTTGCAAGTATCATGAAGGATGAATGTTTAATCATCATGATATTTCACTTAGATGCATGGTTATGACAACTTTATATGTTATGTATTATAGAATTGTAGAGTTGGAAGGGACCACTGAGAAAGATCAGGGTCCAATTGCATTTGGGGTTTGTCACAGTTTGCTATATTTTTTGGTTTGTTATACTTTGTGATATTTATAAACATATTTGTTTAGGTTGCTGACATTTTTGTCCTCTACAATATCTTATGAGAGACATTTGTTCAGTTGGTTGGTATTTTGCTAATGCAGTATATACACTGTGTTTGCATCATTCTGCTTTGTATATAAATAGATACATACTGTTCGCTTCTAATTGTAATCAGATTCTATTAAAGTATTATGTATATTTCATATGCATTTACATTTGTTTGCAATGGTTTTTTTATCTCAATATTTTCATCAAGTATATAAGATAAATAGCCTTTATTTATTAAGAACACACAGAGCCTTTCTGAAAGCTTAAGAAGAGTATAACTTTATGAATGTTATTTACAATATTTCTTATAATAGCAGATAAACAGGTGACAGGGACATGAAGAAGGTTTACAGGTACAGTCACAGAAGCCTGAGTCCATTAATTTGGGCAGGCAAATGAATGGGACAGGGTGGAACAATTGGTTAGGATTGGATAGGAAATGTATTTTTAGAAAACACATTTTTAATATGTTTAACAGTGCTATCCTATTCAGAAATAAGTCCAATTGCATGCAAATAGGATTTCAGCAGAAAAGTGTTTCCCCATCCAGTAAAGAACTTTGCAATTTGTTTTCTAAAATATATTTTAGCTCATCTGCTCCAGATGTGCATATACTGTACATGTGCTGCTCTCATTTAATGTAATCCACATCGCCCATGTATTATGAATGATTACCTCTTACAGTTCATGGCAATGACCTCACAGAGCCATCTCAGGTAGCAGTGGCTTGTTTTAATTTATAGATTCTGATGTTACTGGTTCGTGGATTAAGAAATATTCTGCCCATTTGTACCAAAGAGGCTGGAACAACTTGACATATGCTTCTGTTGCTTGAAGGCAAGGTTAATGGAATCTCTGCAGGAGTCTGAATGTTAATATGATTTTTACGATCATCATTGTATTAATATCCTTATTTTAACAGATTAATTAAACATTGTGCACCACTGACTTTCTGCTCTTGCTGTTGTGATAAAAGATTGCCTAATGAATTTTCTTGTAGGCATCTTTTTAATTATTGTAAGTGCTTCCCCTTCGTAGAACAATACATAGGGGAAATATTTTTTGGATTCTTTTCATGTAATTTAGAACACAGAGTGATTCTCAATTTAGCATTAAAGGTGACTGCTCATGCTGTTTTTCTTTTTCCAACAAGAGTGCTCTCTTTCAGACAAATCATGGAAGGTCTGGGTGTATATCTTGGAGTGGTAATTGAAGTGACACGAGCATGCTTTGGACCAGTAACCTCTTTTACCCCCAATGATAGAGAAGAGTAGGGTGGGGAATAACTTGGAAGAAATGTTTCCCTAAATTGTAGACATCTTAAAAGGACAAATGGTTGCACGTTTGAAAGGAAAATGGAGCCTAATATGCTTCTATTAGTAATTGGGACATATCAGACATAAAAAAGATATTCTTGATCTTAAGAGGGGGTTTTTAGAGAGAGAAAATGTGGGTTACTTATGTTCCCAATGATTTGCAGTACAGGTAACTCACATCTAGCACTTAATTTAATTTACATGAATGCAACTTTTCGTGCGTCGGTGAGTGGGTGGGGGAAATAAATAGGGAGTGGAGGAAACTCACTCTCATTTTATTTATTTTACCCTACGCAAAGCTGCAATCGTGCACTAACTTGTCTTAAGGAAGGTGCATCTCTAACATCTTCTGGTCTTTTATGGCATTTACTAATGCAAGGTTCTGTTCATGATGAGCCACAGGTGAGAAGTACTGCAGACGGCCAAACTATCATGCAATAATTGCAACTACAACAAAAAAATATGGTTGCATAAATCACTCCTTATTTATTCAGTATGAATGATATAGAGATTTTGTTGCCTTCAGCAGCAATGTAAAACTAAAGAATCATCATTATAATCATAAAAAATGTTTGAAGAATTACTTTATGGGTTTCAAAAATAATTGAGAATGCAAGACAAAAACCACATATATATACAGTATATGGTGAGTAACTTGTTTATGAAAACTAATTATCACCTAGATATCTGAGGAAGCCCCGTGGGATTGTTGTGGGTTTTTTGTGTGTCAGGCAGATTGAAACAAAGAAACAAAATAAATTGGGAGGTTTGGTATTATATTAAAATTTAAATTATTCAATAAGCAAAATAAGTTTCTGTAGAAACAAATATACTGCATGATAATTCTGGGTGTCCCTTCTCCCTTTGAATAAATTCTAAATATTGATGGCACAATATTGCTTTATATAGGATATTTTTCCAGCAGGGAATTGCACTTTGAAACAAGCTTTGCATTTGAGTTACACTGTTTTTGGTGTTTATGTTCCAGCCTATTAAATTTGGCTCTATTTAAACGTATAGTAATATTTCAGATTATGTCCCATTGGGATTCCCTAGAATCATTTCAGGACAACTCTCTTGATTCATATATCAGTTATGTGGCAAGATTTCTACAAGAACACATTAAGAGGCAAGGTCATTAAGAGGACATAAAGAAGTTTCTTAAGTGTAGAAGATTTGTGAATAAAAAGGCTAACTTTGGATGGTACACAATGCATTGGGAGCAAAGGAAGATATGTGTAAATACCCATGGCTCTTCATTCAATGTCCTGAAAGAAATGAGCTTTCCTGCAGCAATAGAGACAAGGTCTAGGTATGTGGGGTGGTTGCACATCTTCACAGGTAAAATGTCATACCGTATTTTTCGCTCTATTAGATGCACCAGACCATAAGACGCACCTAGTTTTTAGGGGAGGAAAACAAGAAATAAGAAAGCAACACAAAGCCTCCTGAGCTAAGAGAGAGCGCTCCTCCCTCTTTGCTCAGGAGGCTTTGCGGGGCTATCCCTGAAGCCAGGAGAGCAAGCGGGATTGGTGCGCACCGATCCCTCTTGCCCTCCTGGCTTCAGCGAAAGCAAGCCTCCTGGCTTTCCCCCCACCTCCTGCAAGAGCCACACACTCTTTAAAGGGAGCACGGCTCTTGCGGGCTTTTCTGGGAGGTGGGGGAAGGGTCAGCCCTGCAGAGGCTTCGTGCGAAGCTAGAACAGCTAGAGGGAGCTCTGCGCAGCGCTCCCTCTTGCTGTTCTGGCTTCTGGGATAGCCCACTAAGCCTCCGCAGGGGAGCGGGATGAAGGCTCCCTGCTCCCCTGTGGAGGCTTCGCGCAGCTAATTCCTGCTTGAGGAGTTTAACAACAAGTCTCCACAACTAGAACCCATGAAGCCAAATGTGACCTATATGACATTGTAAAGTGGCCTTTCTGGTGAATGACATCACTGTGTTTCAGTAGGAAAAGCTGAAGTATCAAATTCCTGATGGTTCACAATATTTGGTTGGGAAAAATTCATAGGTGAATTTTTGCAAAAGTGACAAGGACCAGAAATCGATTGATTTGTCCATCCCTACAGGAAATATGAACAGAGGCTAAAAAGGTGAAAAACTTTTGGGAAATGATATATAACGAGATGAAAAAAGTATTGAAATATACATTTATTAAAAAACCTGAAGCATTTTTATTAGGCATTGGAGGGGAGGATATAAATAGAAATGAGTGTAAGTTGTTTTTGTACGCAATGACGGTAGCAAGAATATTACTGGTACAAAATTGGAAGCAAGAAGAACTACAAACGAAAGAAGATTGGAGGATGAAATTGATGGACTATGCAGAATTAGATAAACTAACGGGAAGAATTCGAAACCGGAGGGACCAGAGATTCACAGAAGATAGGCGTAAATTTACGGACTATATGAAAAGTAATTGTGATGACCAGATTACATTTGTAGGTTTGCAGGAAGTTTTGTGAGGAGAATAATTTGTATTATTGCACTATTGAACAAAAAGGATAATATTAGTTAAGATAATTAAAGGCAATATGAAATGCAGAAGAAATTATAAAATGGAAGATCTACAGAGGCGCTGATGGAAGTCCAAAAAGATTGTATAAGAGGTGAAATTTGGTGGAATGTTTGTTAAACAATATGTTTTAAAATGAATAAAAATTATTAAAAAAAGGAAATATGAACAGAGGCAACCAAATCCCCAGGTAACAGGAAAGACACCTAGGCACTTCTCCACCAAAGTAATTTAAAGAAAATAATGAGGAGATGCAAGGAGTTTTGGCAGGTACCAAGGAGGGATGCCATGGTGTCCAAGGGCACTTTGTTGGGAATCTCTAGCCATCCTAGAAATGTCCGGTAGAGCATGAGCACTTTAGGACCTCTATCAAAGTCTGGTCAGATCTCAGGCTATTCAAAACCCAGGTAGGTTTCTCTCCCCGCCCCCCATACATACAATATAATATAATATAATAAATGTTGATATTAGCTTTTATGTAACAGATAAAAGTCTAGAACTGCACATCATCAGCTTACAATTCCCATTCTATGTTAAGGTTATATTGCTTATACAACTGTATTGGATTAAAAACCAAAGTATAGCAATGTTATTGTTTTCTGCCACAAATGTATGTTTGCAGGAAGAGTTTAAATCAACTGATTGGGGTAATCTTCAGGAGATAAATCTTATTATAATGACTTGCAAAAATAATTCTAAAAAAGAAGAGCAAACAAACCACATTGTTGTGAAATGCAAATACAACAATTTGCATCGTTGAATACATATGAACTCTAATAGCACAAGATATTGCTGGATGTCTTTGGCACTTTGGAAACGCTTCTCTCTCTCTCTCTCTTTGACAGATACAAACCAAGATGCAGATAGATACTGTAAAAGGGCTGTCTATTTTACAACTTGCAGTAAAAATTTAATTGTACATTTGAAGCTTTTCACCACTCCACATGAATACTTCGTTTGCCTGAAATGCACCCAGGTACAGGCTGCTGGAAGATGGAATTATAAAGTACTAAACACTTAGAGGGGTCAGTAATGCTGCCTGCTATTCTTCCTTTTGAATAGTGGCTAAGATTCAGGCAACTATGGCTGAAACCCTGGTTTTTCTTTAGGTAGCAATGACCCTTCTCTTCCCAGCTCAGACTTGACTCCCAATATTAAATATCACTTTTCCCCAGGCCTGTCCCACAGGCAAATGGTGGGCGATTCATGATGGCTTATTTATTTTGCAGTGGGATAAAGTTCAAACTTGTAGTTTTATCACATCTTTCCAAGAGGTGAAATGTGGAAAAACAGAAAGTTATCACATTAAAGAAATTGCTAGTTTTCAATTGACTTTGATTATAAATGTTGCAAATTGTAATGCTAGGAATGACATAGCAAAGGCAATTAAATCATGTCCTCAGAAGACCCTTAGAGTTAAAAAAAACACACAAAAAACCCCACAAAAACTTAAGGAGGTAGCAAGAATTAGAATTGTCCTTCTTACTAGAGTAAATACATGGACAATACAGTTGTGTTATCAGAAGAGGTTCAGATTTATTAGGCGTTGGGGTATGTTCTGGGAGAAGCCTGGGCTTAACCAAAGGGGAAGGATCCACTTGAAAAACTAGAACTAACAAACTGATGGCACTGAAAATCAAAAAGATGGCAGAACAGCTTTTTAAATGGTTGTTGGGGTAAAGTCAACAGGAGCTAAGGAACATCCAGTTCAGGATAAATCACCAACCTGGGATGAAGATGACAATGTTTATGATCATCCAAATGGAGGAGTACAACAAGGCATTCAATATGCAGGGTAAAATGCACATGTCAAATGCATTTGGAGAGACACCATGGACAGGTGTCTGTATAATAGGGGTGGAGAACCTCCAGCCAAGGAGCAAAATATACCAATCAGGTCTATCCAGCCCTTGAGAGTCTTCCCAGGCCATGTCCCTTCCCCAAAACAAACTCCTTCTTGGTTCTGCTTCACACTCTCTTCAAGAGCTTTTAATTGGTTTGAAACTTTCATTGAACATTGATAATGCATTTTGCTTGAGTGATGGAGGGTGGAGAGATGGGATGTGTGTGTAGAAACCACATTGTTAAGGTGAGCAGGGTCAAGGGGACACACACGTCATTCAGTGGACTAGTCAGGGTAGAGTCACCAATGACAAGTAGACAGTGGGAGAAGAATCCTTACAGCTTACACCAGAAGTTCAGTGTTCTATACTGAAGGGATGTTGGCCTGTTCCCAATATAGTTTCACTCCTTGCAGATCTCTGTATGTTAATAAAATTGTTGCTAATTTATCCCTGACATGGTCTTGTATCTTTGCTCCTAATGGGTGGGAAATGAAGAAAAACCAGAGGCTATGTTTTTGGTCTGCCAAGTTGTGCTACTGGAATATATGGAAAGACCCCATGTGTATTGCGATGTTGCATGGCTGACCATAATATTCTCAAACTTGGGATTCCTAATTAAATATAAAATAAGATGCACCCCTCTGAGATGAAATTAGTAAAACTAAATAGTAAAGTTTTGAAAAGAGGATAGTAGCCATTGATAGCTTTATCCTCCATGAATATATTTAATCCTCTTTTAAAGCCATCCAAGTTGGTGGGAATCACTACTTCTAGTTTGATAAAACATCACAGTTTAACTATGTGCCACATGAAGTTCTTTCTTTTGCCTGCCATGAATCTTCCAGTGCTCAGCTTCATTGATTCTGGCATTAGGAGGGGAAGAGAAAAAAAATATGTCCCCTTTCTCTACACCATGAATGACCATGAATGTGTGCTCTTATGTTTGACCTTGGTAGGCACAATGTGACAGATGCAGAGCAGATCCAAAGTAAGCTCAGTTTAAATGGTAGTAATCAGATGTGGAAATACAGGAGAACCAGGCCACAGTGTCTCTGCAAAAGTGTCTATCTTGTAGAAGTAGATTTACTGGAAAAAAGAAAAGTAGTGGAGAGTGGGGTGGATGGAGAGAAACCAAGGATTTTTAATGTTCAATTAACCTTTCCTCAGTACCTGAGGAAATAGCAAAAACAAACAAGAAAGCAATCAACCTGGAAGCTCATAGAGACAAATGAGATAATTTGAAGCAAATGATGTCCAACAACCTACTTTGCCTTTTAAAAAAAACATTGTTATTAGCTTAGAGGGTAGTCAAATTCAATTGACATAACAGATCTCTACTTCATTAAGATACAGCAAAGAATACACCCAATTCCCTCATTAAAACTGGGAAAAAAATTGTACTAACACATACAAAAAGGCAGTAGATTTATTCCCGTGGCTTGGCCCAGCTCAGATTGTAACACATCAAGCCAAATGCATCTATCATACAAATGCATGGCAGCCTAGCAGATGCTTCACAAACCTCCTGATTTAGTTCTCCTCATAGAGTCTGCTGTTTCCATGTGTATATTTACACTTGGTGCACATAGGCATTTTTTACTCTGGTGTGCATACTAAATAACAACATGCAAAATGTGAACCAGCTTTCATCCTAGAAACATATTATACAGGTAGGATAAGCATAGCATGCCCCATTGGTGGAAGCCTTGCACAAGGCCTTTCTCTTGAGCAATGGGGCTTCCTACCCTCTTTTCCTCCCATGTGACTCCCAAAACTGGCTCTGAGGGGATCAGGAGAACACCATGTAGGGGGATTTCCAGCAAGGGTGATTATCCCATGCAAAACAGAATCAAAGCAAGTGCATAAATAGAGATTTGCTTTGCCCTGTGTTTGTAGTGCCATTCTCACATTAAGGGCTGTACTGTCAGAATAATCTTAGAGTAACTGCATTCATTTGTATGCATTTCCCACTAGAAATGCTTAAACATAATGGTTGGAGCCATGACTGCAATTCGCTTACAAAAACGACAGGCTCTGTCCTGTGGAGAAATGGCCACTTTTGCATTTTTTTAAAACATGGGTTAAACATGCACCATTGAAGTTTTTTGCATGTACAGTGGTACCTCTGGTTACAAACGCTTCTGGTTACGAATGTTTCAGGTTACGAGCTCTGCTAACCCAGAAGTAGCTACTCCTGGTTGCAAACTTTGCCCAGGATGTGAATGAAAATCGCGCCTATTAGCGAAAGCGTGCCTCAGGATAAGAACGGTTTCAGCTTAAGAACGGACCTCTGTAATGAATTAAGTTCGTAACCAGAGGTACCACTGTATGGGGATAGGAATGGGAAAGTGGAGCTGAAAGCCTCCCCCCAAGATTGGGATGGGAAGTGAAAAGTTATTGTATGAGGGGTGAACTTGAACTTACAATCAAATAGTGTGGCCAAGCATCTGTTTATTATTATTTTTCTTGTTAAAAAGAACAACAACCATTTCAAAATGTCAAGCAGCTAAATCTTAAGCTCTCCCAGCTGCCCTGGGCTATGAAAATATCTGAATAAATAAACCCATATTTGAGACACACATTACATCATTGCCATTGTACTGTGTGAGAAAATATGGAGATGTTTTAAAATATTTTTCGAAACTGGGTTCCAAGACCTGAAGAAGTATGGCTGCAATGAAAACATGTCTAGGTCTATAGCAGCGGTGGGGAACCACTGGCCCATGGGCCAGTCTTGACCCACTGAGGGGTCCAATTTGCCCCATGAGGCTATTTCCCCAGCCCCACAGCTGACATCTTTCCAGACATCAGGGCAGTCACATGCAATTCTGCTTTCAACACCGTTGGCATGTGCAAATGTTTCAGGGCAATAACACTGTTTAATTTCCAATCAGTGCACATCCTGCTAAAATCCTGTGAATTTTTATACCAGATATATCTCACCTTTTTGTCATACTTTTGTTTGCATTATAGTCCCCCTGGATAGTAAAAACGTGTTGGTGTTGGGAAAGGATTGCAAAACAAAATAAAGCAGACTGAATCTACTGCTAGTGCATGATTATTGCGTCAAGAATATATTGCAGAATACACCTTCAATAAAACACTGGGAGTGGGGCTATGACAACAAGCACTTTTTAACATGACAATTAAAGGGAGAAACAACCTACTTTAAAGTCAGTGATTGCTTCTGGAAAATTCTTCCTAAGACATTATTCTCTCAGAACAAAATAGGCCTTGTTTAAGTCTGACAGAAAGCATATGTAGCATGTATTATGGGCCTTGTCTCATGACACATGAAGAATGTCTCTCAGCATTGAAAATTAAGTCAACAATAGCAGCAAGTGTGAAGCCCTAAAGCCTTAAAGCCAAGGATGTGTTAAGCCTCTCTCAAGATGAAGATGTCATCACCTCTTCTTTGTGATTTCGATCTTGTGAAGATTTATTCAGATTGACTCTAGGAAGAAATCACTTCATCTTTCTTAGCAGGATCTCAGACAGAACACAAGAAGTAAAGGGAAGAAAAATGCCAGAAAGGAAAGCCTGAGAATATGTTGCTGAAAAATAATTCTCTCCCCTAGTGTGTCCCAGATCTTGCATTGCTGACATGTTATTTGTTCCCCTCCTGAGAAAGATATTTAATGAAAAGAATAAAAAAACACACCACATGATTAAACAGCTAAACTAAATAAATATATATATATGTACGTGAGGATGTGCTCCAAAAATAAGCACACAGAGTGTACAGCATTATATATTCCAGGCATATTGTCTCATACATATTATTGCAATTAAGTCTTTCTTTATTTTTTTAAATGTATATTTCTCTAAGTGGATCGCTACGTGCTGAACAGTTACCTAATGCCATAAGAAATATGGTTTCACAATGTTTCCTTTTACCAGGCCTAGAACTGAATCACAAATGGATATAGCGGGAATACACATACCACAAATCCATGGGCCATTTTTAAAACTTGAAGCATCATTTATCAAAGGTAAGTCATTGAAAACAATGAAATGGGACTAAGGATGGATCTACACACAGGAGGAAAAACGCTATAAATAAGTCAGATATTAAATCTTTATAATAAAAGGGGGGAAAGCTTTGTAAAATTGCAAAGATTTTTTGGGGGGCTCTCCATTGCCATTGGGTATTGCATGTTTATAACACATTCAAAGTGCTTTCTTTGACTAATGCAGCTGAGTCCTTAAGCTGCAATTGTAAATACACTAAGGCAAGATGGGGAACCTGTTGCTTAGCTATAATTTCCACAACCCTGACCTCTCGACATGCTGGCTTAATTTGATGGGAGTAACGTAGAATTTGGGAGGGGGGAGGGGGCTAGGATCCCCATCGCTGCACTGAGTGAGGCTGTAATCCTAACCATAAAATCTCAGCGGTAAATCCTATTGAATTCAGTGCTGTTTATTCCCAAGTAAATGTTGTTAGGATAGCAGCCTAAGTCCCACGGTTATTACTTACTTCAGAGTAAACATGCATACAATTATGCTGTTAATCATAACTAATCTTTGCTGGTTTGTACCTTTGGTCCCTTGACGGTTCGAATCCCTGCGACGGAGTGAGCTCCTGTTGTTCGGTCCCAGCTCCTGTCAACCTAGCAGTTTGAAAGCATGTCAAAGTGCAAGTAGATAAATAGGTACCACTCCGGCGGCAAGGTAAACAGAATTTCTGTGCGCTGCTCTGGTTTTGCCAGAAGTGGCTTAGTCATGCTGGCCACATGACCTGGACAAACGTCAGCTCCCTCAGCCAGTAAAGCGAGATGAGCACTGCAACCCCAGAGTCGTTCGCGACTGGACTTAACTGTCAGGGGTCCCTTTACCTTTGGTCCTAGGGAATGTGATGACTCAGATGCCAAGAGGTGCCTGGTGCCTTTTTGGTGCCAGGCAAAAATATTTCTCTTCCCCCAAGCCTTTGGCTAATTAAACAATCTATGACCTCTTAACCTCTGGGGTAAGTATTGTTTTTATTCGTTACTGTGCTATATATTTTTGTGTTTTTATATTTCAAACAGCTTTGTGGTCTTCGAATGAAGGTCTGTTTATAAAATAAATAAATAATATCAGCCAATACAGAAACTGGATTTATGCATCCATTACAGTGGTACCTCGGGTTACATATGCTTCAGGTTACAGACTCTGCTAACCCAGAAATAGTGCTTCAGGTTAAGAACTTTGCTTCAGGATGAGAACAGAAATCGTGCTCTAGCAGCGCAGCGGCAACTGGTGGCCCCATTAGCTAAAGTGGTGCTTCAGGTTAAGAACAGTTTCAGGTTAAGCCTCCGGAACGAATTAAGTACTTAACCCGAGGTACCACTGTATATGGTTTGCTGATTGACAGACACAGTTTGTTCATCCATACTGGTAGCAGCCACTCTTTGAGAATATTCATAGCTAGGTGTTTTAAGAATGTTTAAATGCTTTGTATTTCCTACACACGAATGTAGTGTCTGCTTTCATTGACTTGGTGTTTGGAACAGATGCTTCTGAGTAAAGTATACCTTGGTAGCATATTCAAGATTAGAAGCTCTGGAATTGTTGCAACATTTAAAACTAATGCCATATCGAATTAAATATAGTTCCTGTGACATTCAATATATTGCTCATTCCTGGAATGGTATCCTCACACAGAAGATGGGTCAAAGGGGTAATTTTTGTAAGAACCAAAGCAGGTGAGAAAAGTTCTTAATTCTCTTTCCCCGCCTACTATGATGTCAATCAACACCTGCTGGCCATGAACGCTATTTGCATTTTTAAAAGCATGCAGGCTAAACATCAAAAATATACTGGATGTCATGCCTAGTTTTGCCCTGACTGACATGTGATTCCTAAGTGGTCTTTCATCCAAACATTTCTCAGTTTCAACAAACTGTATATCCTTCTATGTCCTTTCAAATGTGTTTGTGAGAGGGGGGTATTATGGGTTTGTTTGGTTTTTGTTCTTGTTTCCATTATGTTTCTTTTGTTTTTGTTATTATTTTGTGTTTTCATTTGGTATTTGTATTTTTAATATTTATGTTTTATTGAAAAAATTCAGTGAGAAAATAGTGAAAGAAGAAAGACAAAAAGATAAAAAAGTACTTGAAGTTCTGATACAGTACGAAATATTGATATATAAGTAATAGTTATTCCAACTAAAATAAAATGATTAACAATACATTATATTTTTATATATAAATGCATTCCAAATATTATTGTATTTATCCATACACAGTCTGCATCCAAAAGCAATACATTCATATATTACATATATTTTTATGTTGTGCACCAACACGAGATCTTCAGATGAAGGGCAGTATACAATAATACAGTAAATAATAATAATAAATTTTATTTATACCCCACCATCCCCAGCCAAGACTGGGCTCAGGGCGGCTAGCACCAGATATAAAACAATTGATTGAAATACAACATTAAAAACAAGATTAAAATACAACATTAAAATGCAGCCTCATTTCAGCAGAAACTCAAAAACTTTTTTGGGGATGAAAACGTCAAGTCTTCACCAAGGCTAACTATCCAGACTGGCCTTATGTGGGCCAGAAAAAAGCCAGGGAAGTCCCCAAGTAGGAGTTCATCACAGAAGGAAAAAAGAAAGAGGGGGAGGGGATCAAGTTAATTCCAAGCCAAAACCAGGCAGAACAACTCTGTCTTACAGGCCCTGCGGGAAGAAATCAGATCCTGCAGAGCCCTGGTCTCATGAGACAGAGCGTTCCACCAGGCCAGAGCCAGTGTTGAAAAGGCCCTGGCTCCAGTTGAGGCTTATAAAGCTTTACCTTATAAAACTTCACAGAGGGCTAGGCTTGTATTCTGAGGTGTCCCAATTCTTATTCAATAATTTGAGTAAAATGATGAATAACATCACCCTCCAGGTGTTGAACTGCAACTCCGATCAGCCACAGCCAGCATGGCCACTAGTCAACATCTGGAGGGCCAAAGGTCCCCCACCCTTGATGGAAAGTTTGTAGCCTTAGGGATTGTAATTAAAGCTGGTGGAAGAAGACTCATTGTTTATCCCTTTGCTCCATTGGGTATATGCTTCTTTTTGTGACTTTTCATTGTAATATCCTTTTCCTAAAACTTATTTCTTTTGTTTCAGGAAACATTATATTTTATTTCATAAAACAACTTGTTTTGACTTATTTTAATCACCCCCATGCCTAGAAGCCATAAACTGTGCTGCCCTGAGAGGCTTCAGGGAGACGTAAGGTACATTTTTAGGCTGGCTGATAAAGAGTTGTCTTGTAGAAAACTGCATTTATCTGAAGGAATAAGTTCTTAAGCATGGAAAGGGTGTACTGGACAGAGGAGTACATTCGGTGATAATTGGATCTTCCTTCCTCAGGTGGCAGGAGACCGAGTGTGGCTGGAGTGCCATCACACCATCCCTTCTTGTTTTGTCCTCTGAATGAAAATATCCTTCCTTCCTTCCATCCACGGAAATCATGAATGGTTCAAGTTTCCATTACCCTTTCCAAGTTTGTTATATACTTCTGAGTTAAGTAATCAAAGCTGTTTTCAATAAGAGGCCACTGGTTGTTGTTTTTTATAATACTACTGCAGTTTAATCACACCTTTGGCTTTCTTCTCATCTGGCCTGCACCATTTTTATCTGTCATAATATATCTGTTGGCTTCCTGCCTTCCACGCTGAACCCTGTGACTCTTATACTATGATAAACCTGTCGCACAGCCCACACAACTTGCATAAATAGCAGCCACCGAGTGCCGGAGCCAGACACGCCTCCCGAACAGCAGCATCTGTGGCTTTTGAAAACATTTAATGCTTCAGCCTTGAGAAATATCCCCTGTTAACATCCCATTGTCCTGGTAGGAGCAAGTTTAACAATAGCCAGGAGCTGAGGTCAAGCAAATGACCTACTTTTCACAGTCTCGGTGAATGCCAGCAACTGCCACTGTCACAGCCTATGCAGACTAGGAGAAGGTTTATGCCTTGAAGTCATTGTATTGCATGTTTTATGCATACATTTACTTATCATTACTTATAAGCAAATAGCCAGGAGACTCTGATAGTTGCACTCTCCCTATACGTGGCCAGCTGGCTGGCACATTGACCTTCTTCTCAGATTAGCCATTCCACAGTCCTTTGTCACAAGAAGTTTATGGGTGAAAATCAGTTGTTGTTGTTGTTGTTTAGTCGTTTAGTCGTGGATCAGAGCACGCCAGACACTCCTGTCTTCTGAAAATCAGTAGGGCAATATTAATGCCCTCCCACCCCAATATGGGCTTTCTGTTACTTATTTACCAATACAAATTATCCTGTCTGAATAGGATGATTTTATCCATTCTTCTTCGGAAAATAATCACACTAAGTGGGGATTTGCTCGTTTATATATCTTAGGTCTTTTGAGTCAATGTGCTGAAAAGCAAAATTCTTTGTGACAGGCTGATGGACTTAATTCTTTGCTTCGTGAAAAAGAAAATGGTACCAATTAGATTATATGAATATGTCTGCATACACAGGTTTGATGCCTCAGTGGGGTGCATTTGCTTACTCAGTTCAGTTTATGCTTACTTTATATGCTACAATCCTATGCAGATTTAACAGGGAATAAGCTTCCTTGAACACCATATAGCTTATATCTGAGTAAACATACCAAGAGTTGCATGGTAGTAAGCATTCAGAAGTATTTCAGTGTTTTATAAGTCAAATTGGATCTACAGCATGGAGAGGTTCCATCTGTGAATTTTTACCTTGGCGTTCAGGTGTCCCCATTCATCAATATTACTACTACTACTTTATGGACATGTTACGGCATTTTCGATACTTACATAGGTTGAATATGGAAAATGCAGGTTCCCACCTCAGGGAACTTACAGATTTTGACTGGTGGGAGGGGAGGGGTAAGAGAAGGGAGAGATGAGGTTCGTGAAAAAGTGAGCAAATAGAGCAGCATGTTCTAACAACATAGAAGTAAATAACTTTCAGGTAAGTTTGCACAAAATTGCTGTGTTTTGGTTGAAGAGGTGCACGGCATTTCAAATTCTCAATCTGCTGCACTGGAGAAGCTTTTGATGAGGTGGCGATGTCTACTAGTTGAAGGTTCTGCCCATCACAGGACACCTGGCAGAACCACAGTTAGATGGAGGTTATACCTCCACCAGCGATAGTTGATGCACGCCCCTGAAACAGGGCCTAGCTATTGAGAATAGAACTAGCACCACCTGTCTGCTGTGCCAGCCTTGAGCTGGTGCAGTGAAGAAAAAGGGTTTTCCTAGCACCACCTTTCCCTCTCTCTACACTAGTCTGAAACCTTGCTGCTTCCTTCCAGGAGTTCAGATTTCTCCCTAAGGGATTAAGTCAAAAGTTTTACAAAACAAACAAAACTGGACTTTGATGAGAAATATCAAGGAACACTTTTAGGTAACCAGGGATCAAGTTCCACCTGCAAAGGTCTGCAATGAAAACTGGTTAGAAATGCTTAGGAGAGAAAGGTTGTAAAAAACAAACAAACCAATACACTCCTTTACTTATATAGGAGCTCCATATCTTTCTGTTAAACCTAATCTATTCACCACCACATCCCCCATTGAAATTGCCATGTTTTCATCAGGCAGTGCTAAAAACTTACAGTGATAAGAACAGCGGGGGGAGGGGGCGGGCTGCATAAGAATCTCAACAAGCACAGGGACATGGAGAAAGACTTCATATAATAAACAAGAGTATTTAGGAAGGAATGTGGGTGAAGGTTGTCTCAGCCTCTGTTAGGGCTTTAAAGCCTCAGAGCCAACACATGGATTTGGGACTAGGAAAAGAATGGGTATGATACAATGTCAGAGTTGTTATGTTATCAGCAGTCAAAACTCCAGCAACAGCATTTTTGATCAAATAAAGATTTTGAAGGCAGCCTGTGCAGAGCACATTATAGTTGTCTAATCTGGACGTTATCAAGCACAGATGATTTCAGTCTATTTTGTCTTCTCCAGGAAAGCACATAGCTGGTGTACTAACATAAGCCGTTATGGAGCAGTCCGTCATCTTTCCCAATCGATCATACAGAAGCAGCTCTAAGTCAAGTAGCACCCCCAAGCTGAAAATCTATATCTTAAAGGGAAGTGTAACACCAACCAAGGCAGACTGAATCCCTAAATGTAATTTATACTGATACGTCTGGTACAGTGGTATCTCGGGTTACATACGCTTCAGGTTACAGACGCTTCAGGTTACAGACGCTTCAGGTTACAGACTCCGCTAACCCAGAAATAGTACCTTGGGTTAAGAACTTTGCTTCAGGATGAGAACAGAAATTGTGCTCCGGTGGTGCAGCAGCAGCAGGAGGCCCCATTAGCTAAAGTGGTGCTTCAGGTTAAGAACAGTTTCAGGTTAAGAACAGACCTCCAGAACGAATTAAGTTCTTAACCCGAGGTACCACTGTACTTAACCCGAGGTACCACTGTATAACAATATTCCTTTATGCCAGACTACAACTCCCATCAGCCCTAGCCAACATGACTAATGGTCAGGGGAGAGAGAGGAGTTGGGGTCCAATGACATATGTAGAGCAACAGGCTCCCCGGCCCAGATTTATGCATTTCTAAAGCCTACAAAAGGATGTGTGCATATTAAAGGTTTTGGGTTTTTTTAAGGAGCCTGGAAAGCACTGCTCTGACAACTATATACTAAAGTTGCCATCTGCTATTTTCTTCTTTTTGGTGACATTGTTCACACTATCTACTGCAAATAGAACAGAAGTGAAAATCTAAGAGAATTTTAAAATAGTTGTGAGTTTCTATAGGAGAGATAGATTTAGGAAGAAGACAACAAATTCACCTTTGATACACACAAAAGATATAGAGAGCATCTCTTTCTTTTAAAAACTGATTCACACACTGAATCATAGTTGAGTGCAAAAAAAGATCGTATGATATTATCTGAGATAGGTTACAGATGTGTAGAGTGTGATCCAAATATGCATATCAGAAAACAAATATCTTCCCTGGTTTATGGCTGCTCACATTAAGACTGAAATACATATATATGTGCACAACCAGTAGCACTTTATCTTAGATATGTTTTTGGGTTTGTTTGTGCTTTACCAAAACTCAAAATCTATGTGTAAGAAGAAGAAAACAGAGCCATTTCCAAGGCACTTATCAGAGTTTCTAAATCCAACAATGTTATTTTGATATTTTCCAGATAAACACCCCCAAAATACTTAAGCAAATGTTTGTCAATTAAGCAAATGTTTGCCACTTTGGTCAGTCATCTTTCAAAAGCTGGAATGTTATGGGAATAGTGTGTGAATTGGGGCAGGGGACTGTCATCCAGATCTGGAACATTTACAGAGAACTGTGGAGTTTAATAATGTTACCCAGCTGAATTTCAACTCAGCCTAGCCTTGTAGATTTGGTCTGTACTGAGTACATATCTAGTCTGAGCTTTATCATCTTGTGGACATCCAGGTCCATAAACTCTGTATGGTTTTGATTCATCACTGTAACTACCCAGATGGTAGCAGATGTGGGAGTGTTTTCATAGACCTATCTAGTGAGGAAACTATTTTGTGGAAGCTCAGTGTTGGAGCATATGATTTCCATGAAGAATGTCCCAGGTTGAATCCTTTCCACTTCCAGATAGGGCTGAGAATGTCCCCCATCTGAAATATTGAAGAGCTGCAGCCAATCAGTGTTGGCAACCCTGAACTTGGTGAACAAATTAAATTAATCAGTATAAGGCCGTTCTCTATGTTTCCATCATTATTACTGTGATGTGGCAACATATGTTTATTTCAAACAACAGCTGACTGTGATATAATATACTGCAAAGGAAAAAATGCTTTGCTAATCTAAACTGTGTGAATTGGCTCTATAAACCAATCTTAGTACTGTGGACGAGCACTGCTATTTTTTTTTACCTTTTATCATTATATCACATCACATGTTTAAAAATAAGAGACGCTTAATAATAATTGCAGGGGATATATGTGGGCAGACAACATGATAACAGCAACTTGCTGCTTATCTACACTAAAGGTGAAACAATTGAAGTTCCACACTGCATCCCTGTTATTCCACAGTAGTCCAAATGATTGAAGGTAATTTTTGCCTAAATGACATTCATCTGTATTCTCATGGTCCCCAGCCTGTCAGATAATCCTGCCAATCAGTGACATTTTCTGAGGCGTTTTTCACTGAGAATTGGATGAATGCCAGTGCAACACATTGGATGTAGATGACCAAGCTATCAACAGATGGCTGAATAAGCTTTAAATCATGCATCTAACTAAAACACTTATCTAATTTTAAGGAATGTGACCCCTTTCTCTATCCAAACAGATCTTAGTAATTTGGTTGCTGAAGGATATGAAAATTCCTTTAAAATGCTGCCTGAAGAAAATGTGCATTCTATACACATATTTTGTTACAAAGTCAGAAAGTGCAAAGTATTATTAGCCCCCTTTAGAATGGCTATTCCTCCATTGTTTTGACAGTAAATGTATAACTGACCTTCCTTTGTTAAAAACAAAATGCTTGTGAGATTCATTACATTTAGCATGTCTACCAGAGTCAGCAAGCATATGAAACAGCAAGGTAAGGGTATCTGGAAGACACATTTTGGACCTTAATTGCAGCCAACATCTCTGTGCTTCCAGTGTCCCAGGTCTTTTAGTTTCTTTCCAACCAATCATTATTGAATAGCCAGTAAGGCTACAGCTATATATATAGATGGATCATTACCAATGACTGAACAATTTAAGTCAAATTAGTTATTCAGGTGGGATGCCACGTGAAAGTAATGCTGATGCAGATTTCAGGTCAGCTGTAACCCTGAACTGAATTGTCACGTACGTCCAATGTGTTGTCTGTCTTATTTCAGTAGATGTGCCAAATGCATATATGCTTTTTCTGAACATATTGGTCTGCTGCCGTTGGGTAGGGCAACCTACACACACACACCGACACACACACACACAAGCCACATATCAGCAATAGCTCTGCATATCTCCAGATATGCAAAGATACATTTTGGAAATTCCTTCTTATTGTCCTGGCCCTGGGGTTGAGCCCTCCTTTTTCAAGGGATTTGGAATGGGGGGAGAAATTGCTCTTAGGAACAGCCACATACATACATACTAAACCATACACACTTCCACAGGAGGAATTTGCTTCTAGAACTTGGAAATCTAGCTCAGAAGCCCTAGTGGAACCACAGTGTCCCTTGCTCTGTTGGAGACAACTATCACTAAAGCAACCTGGGCCCTTTTAAATGAGCCGCCTCCTCTTATGGGAGGTGCAGCTAGCTACTGAGATTGGGCTGCATCTCTCCTTTAAGGCTCAGTCTAAGGGTGACAGCTGCTGAAGCATTCTTGCTCTAACAGTCTGAGTTCTGCATGGAGCTGTCCAGGGTACTATTGAAGCTTCGTCTTGATAGTGCCGAGGCCAACCCTCAAAACAAAACACCTATTAACTTTATCGGATAAAAAAGTAGGGATTCTATGATATCTGTTAATGTCAACTTAGTTAAAGGAAATCAACCTTTAAATTCAGTAATATATAAATTAAAGCACAGATTTCTGTATTTGATACAATACTCCTAGCAACAATTGCCCCTTGGGGTAGAAATCGAAATTGATAAACTCTTTAATCTGAGTAGGCTGAAAGTAAAGAGCGAGGTTACCATAACTTCAATAATAGAGCTTCCAGTATGCTGATACCAACATAGTGTGTGCACACTCAGAGGATGACCTCCATACTATCCTAAATATATTCACAGAAGCTTACAGAAAGCTTAGCTTATTGCTCAATATCCAAAAAACCAAAGTGCTGCACCAACAAGCACAAAAAACCTCTGCAGTGCCACAAATACAACTTAATGGTATAACGTTGGAAAATGTTGAGCACTTTTCCTACCTGGGCAGTTATCTTTCCACAAGGGCCAATTCCGATGCCGAAATCCAGCATTGCCTGAGCTCTGTGAGCACAGCTTTCTCCCGATTGAATCACCGAATGTTTGAGGACCAGGACATCCACAGGGAAACCAAAATGGTTGTTTACAAAGCCATTGTACTACTAACTTTATTGTACCCTTGTGAAACACGGACCACTTATAAATGATTATCGCCTTCTAAACAACTATTCTATTCCTAACTTAAGAATGAAAAGCGAAATACCGGTGGACAACAACAGAGGTTTAAAGATGTTCTTAAAGCAAATGTAAAAAATGTAGTATAAGCACTGATAACTGGGAAACACTGGCCTGTGAGTGCTCCAATTGGAGAACAGCCTTTACCAATGGTGTTGTGGACCTTGAAGAAGCACGAACTCAAGGAGAAAAGAACTTAGAGGAAGGCACGTTTGGCAAACCTTCACCATGATCAACTCCCACCTGGAAACCTATGTCCCCACTGTGGAAGGACGTGTGGATATCCAGAATTGGCCTCCACAGTCACTTACAGACTCACTATTAAGACCATTTTCATGGAAGACAATCTTACTGGACTATGAGTGATCGCCAAAGAAAAAGAAGAATTAACAGTTTAGGGACAGATGAGGAACCAGTCCTTATGAACATTCCTGAATTGTTGGGAAAGCCTAGTCCATGATGATCTCTAGCCATTCAGCTTGGGCTACATCTAATTGTGCTCAAGCACTGAGTGAAGGCAGCCTACAACTAGTTTTTGACAGGCAACTGTGAACTCTCATTTAATATGTTTTAGGTAGCAATTGGGTTGAATATGTGTATGAGGAAACATGGTTGCATCACAGTCTCTGGCATGGTTAGGCTTCGGATGTACTTTTGAAGGCTTGACTTTCATTCTGCACTGTAACAGTGAACATTTTTGACCCCATATTGTACTTCTATGTCAGGGACTGGACTGAGGAGAAATGGTGGGAGCCCCCCCTTTTTCTGAACCTTCCCAGGGGCAGGAGGACAGTATTGATTTAGAACAGTGGTTTGCAGAAGGGCATAGTCCAGAGGGGAAAAGCTTGGGGAATACTGGGCAAGGAACAGCTAGAAGAGCGTACAACAGGAGAGAGACAGCTGGCAGATTCCGTGTCCTTGGACAGCATTCCTGATCCCCCCCTTCACCTAAGACTAGACGGACTTGGAAAGTGACAGAACAGAAAGTGCAATTGCAACAAGCTCAGATTACCCGATGCAGGCATGGCGTATACACTGGACCCTCTAGATTCAAACTTAATTCGTTCTGGGGGGGTCTTTAAGTACCCCAAAAAGTCTGCAACATGAGGCACCGCTTCTGTGCACAGTGTGATACAGCACTTCTGCGCATGCACACAGAGTTCTTCTGTGCATGCGCATGCGGTGAAACCTGAACCATGTTCACAACCTGAAAGTTCCGTTACCTGAAGGTAACAAGTGATTTGCATTCCTTTGTCTCTCGCTGTGATTATTAAAGAACTTATCTGGTAAGAATGCTCCTTTTGTTTGATCTGCTTAATTACTGCCACCGGGGGAGGGATCTGATTCCCTGAAGCCTGACATTCTACAGATTGTAGTGAATTAAGCTTGATTGTTCCCTGCACCTTTTTTAAAAAAACTTTGGTTTTCTATATCTTTTTTATTGTAGGCCAAATTACTAAGGCCAACAGCCATTCTTCCTCATACCTCATTTTCTTGTATTGTGCTACAGTAAAGTCACATAGCACAGTTGATTCATACCACCAGGCAGCCTCCATACACAGAGTGCACGACTCTGCTTCACTTTTGTTAGAATGTCATCTTACACTATTTATAGGAATGGAATTTTCTCAAAGTATTGGTGTCAAGTTTATCCACACAGTGTTTTCCCTCCCCCAATTCCCATCTCATTCCTTGATCTTGACAAGTGGTGAGCTATTTTAGTTCCACTAAAAATATGAGCATATGCATATAAAAACATGTATAATATTTTCATAAAATATATGTTTCCTAAAACAGAACATAAACAGATACATACAACAATGCAGATTACTGTATAGAAAATGTTATATGCTAATACTTATAAAAATATAGTAGAGCGTGGGGCTTGACACCCTTTTTCTATTATAGATATAACACAAGCATTTCTGTGTATATTTTTTTCATATAACCAATTGGGCACTCTTTAAGAAAGTAAAACATGACAATGAATGTGTAGCTCAGACATAATTAGAAGCTCAACGTAAGAGGCAGTCTAATGTGAGCCAAGCTCAACACTGTCCAAAATGCCACATTTCATATAGAAAGCAATTTAAAATAGATTTCTCCTCTGGCCCTTGGTGTGTAAGCATCCATCCTTTATCATTATCTCCAGTTGTCACTCAAGTCAAATTAAATTGCAAATATAAGGGGGAAACAAGGTGTCTTGCATATATAAAAAGTCTTTTAGAAAAGCACATGATTAATTTTTAATATATATATATATATATATAAAACCAACCCTTCACCTTTGAAGCCTCCTACAAATAGTAGGAACTGGAGTAGGAACAGAATAAATGAATGAAAAAATGTATTATATATTTTCTTTATCTTACTAGGAGTTCAAAGACCGCTATGGGTGGGGAAAACACGCTTATTTAAGAAAGCACCACTCTGAAAGGTATATTGCCATCCTAAACAAAAAGAAGATCTTCTGGTAAATGGTACAACTACACAGAGGATTAACAAGGTGTGTTATGGCAGCTCAATCCCAAAGTAGCAAGGAGAAGGTTATTTATTATGCTATTTAAATTATAAAAGAAGCTCACCTAGCAAAAGACTTAATACGTCTGTGAGACAAGCTGATTGTGTAACTGAACACAGGGACGATTCATTGCTAAATAGTATGCTGAATTAATTTTACATTTCCACACCATGTAAGCTTTAACCTGAACTGTGAAAGAAAGTGAGGGAAGAAATATTCGACTTACAGAAGGCTTATGTAATTGGAACTGGGAATACAAGCTGTTTAAAATAGAGCTGTGTGCAAATGGCCTCTTGAAATTCTGCACCCTATTCGTGGTCAGAGAAACAGCATGGGGGGGATGGTATTTCACCAAACTTTTCCAAGGGAAAATAAATTCTCCAAGTGTATCTCAGCATCTTTGTTATCAGCCTGGACATTATTTTTCTTTGTCTTCTTGGTAATGCATTTTATCTCTTTTGGTGATACGTTAAGTGAACACACTACTAAAGACCTCCTGTGGTTGTTATGGAAAGATTCTAAAGGCATAGATACCAGTCTTTGGAGCAGAGAATAATAATAATAAAAAGAAATGATTTAAAAATGAGTGACTAGTTGTTTACTGCGGTGTGTTAGGCTGATGCCCACCTTTCCTGGAAATGTGATTTTTCTGGATTGTAAATGCACATATACAGTAGTTTTCTGTGCCTCCATCCTTTCCTAGTGGTAGAAATTCAAGTAATATTTTGTTGGCTAAGCTTCCTTTGGCGGTGCCCTTGTAATAATCCGTGTATTTCCCTTGTAATAACACACATATAAACTGAGTATTACAGGAACACAGAAATAATTACAACAGGCATAGGCAAACTTGGCACTCCAGATGTTTTGGGACTACAGCTCCCATCATCCCTGACCACTGGTCCTGTTAGCTAGGGATGATAGGGTTTGCCTATGCCTGAATTACACAGACAGCCAGTAATAGTCTCAAAGCATCATGAATCCAGTAACCTTAATCTTTAAACCATTTTTTTTTTTTGTCCTGGACAAGTCCAACATTTTTGGCTTAACACCCACCCAAATATTCACCACTCACACCAAATTGGTGTAAGTTTGACAAATAGCTCATTCTGGGTAGCTGTCCATTTAAATAGGCTGAGGGTGATTTGGGTTCTGTTTGCCCTGCCCATTTATGGGTTTTCATTTCCCACAGTGCTAGAATAGAGATAAATCCCTGATTTCTGTACTAGAAAAAACATGGCTCACAATGCTTGGCTCACAACTCTTTATGCTTCCATGGTGCTAGTTTGTTGGATTTTCATTTTTGCGTTTATTCCACTTCTCATGTAGTAGGCTGTGGCACCTGCGCTCAGTTTTTATAAAAACAAACAACTGAAAAATTGCATCTGTGGAGGGGGACAAACATGAGAAAGTGACATTTCCAATTCCCCACCCCCACCCTGCTGATGGTCAGTTAAATGTTGCCGTGGGTCTTAAATGCCACGTCAGTTGTAAAAAGCATTTTAAGCATCTGTTTTAATAGATGATATCTGCCACTGATTCAACAGTTTGTAGGTTTTTACTGGCGGATTAAATGTATTAATACCTTGGCCTTTTCTGGTAGTTGAAATGGATCCAATTCTCGTGTGTATTTGATTACTTTTCTACAGGTCTGTTTGGGTTTTGGCAGGTGTTTTCATGTTGAACAGAAATAGCACAGTACTTTTGAGCTACTGTTCTTCAGCGAAGGACCACTGTTTTAAATTCAGGGGTGAGAAAACTTTTTTTTCCAGCTCAGGGGCAACATTCCTCCAGGGCAGAGCCAGATGCAAAAAGTAGGTGCAGCCAGAGGCAAAAGTGGGACGAACAACAAATGCGGCTTTTACATTAATGCCATGCAAAAGTCAGTGGTTTCTACCTACCTACCTACACAAACATGTATGGGCAATCTATCCGGAAGATAAAATTATATTTCAAGGAGTTAGTGATCTGACTCGGTTGCCCTCTTCCTGTCTCTTTTCCTTCCTTCTTCTTCTTATCTCTTGTTAAGTTCTTTGATGGCATGAGAACAGCCTTTAATGTCCTAATCATTTAGGAGGAAGAGATAGTGATGAGAACCTTATTTGATGTTGGACATTGTTTGGAGAAAGTGATGCATTGGTAAAGGAAAAGGTAAAGGGACCCCTGACCATTAGGTCCAGTTGTGACCGACTCTGGGGTTGCGGCGCTCATCTCGCTTTATTGGCCAAGGGAGCCGGCGTACAGCTTCTGGGTCATGTGGCCAGCATGACTAAGCTGCTTTTGGCAAACCAGAGCACTGCACGGAAACACAGTTTACCTTCCCACTGGAGTGGTACCTATTTATCTACTTGCACTTTGACATGCTTTCGAACTGCTAGGTTGGCAGGAGCAGGGACGGAGCAACAGGCGCTCACCCCATCGCGGGGATTCGAACCGCCAACCTTCTGATTGGCAAGTCCTAGGCTCTGTGGTTTAACCCACAGTGCCATCCACGTCCCTGATGCATTGGTGACTGGGGGAGTCACTTCACCACTTCTTGAGGGCTTCCAAGTGGCAGATTGAGGTGCTTGCTTGGTATGTGTATATTGCTTGCTGTTTAGAATAAAATCTTTCATCTTTTCACTCACTTGTGTTTTGTATTACTTCTGAATCTCATTTTAAAAGAACCACCTTGCATTCGGCAAGACAAAACACACATCACCATCCTCCTTTAAGGTAAACAAGAAGCATTATGACACTTCAAGTGCCCATTCAGGTCAGTCAAAAGAAGAGTGCACAGCCTGTGTGGGTTGTGGCCAGGGGAGAGTGCAGAGAACCAAACTGAGAGGCTTCTCCACTCTTGCTTTAAGTCACCTGATCTTTCATGTACTGTGTGCATGCGTAACACATATTACGCAACCAGCAGTATATTTTCGGTGAATTACATAATTTATTTTACCATTCCTGACTTCTGTATTATATTTATATTCCAGCACTGTCATGAGTGTCGTTAATTGTATATCTAAAATAAAACTGCTCAAAGTGTAAAATGTGAACAGCTTATCCTTAGAGCTTTTTTGTTCTAGTTTAATTAGAACTTGCTATTTTAGTGATAGCACTCATTATCCGCATTTTTCCTCATTAGAGTGAATGCCGCTGTAGACACCACTGAGACACAAATCATCATATGTTTGCACTGTGCTCTTAAATAATGACCTACATATCACTTCTTTTAAAAAAGAAGATTCCATGGCAAGCAGTTCTGTTACATCACTGCAAGATGTAAGCAGCAGTCTGCATTTGTGTGTTTGAATATTTAAACTGTTGGGTTTTTTTTAGAGAATACCAAAATATAAGGGCCAAAATGGCAGGGCAGAGGCGGCTACTTGTCCAACCCCTTCCACTTAACCCATACAGTTTTGGCTGGGGTGATTTTGCAGCCAACCAGGATCCAGGTAAGGCACATGTGGGAGGCAGTGTGCTTCATCCCATCACTGGCTGAAGCCAGATGAGCCATTTAACCTCATTCTGCTCCTAACTTAGCCCTCTTTTGCTGCTGCCTTTGGTAGGATGAATTATTTGCAATGTACTCAAACTTGTTGCTGCCACCTTCTGGAGTGTTAATATTGCAGCATTATCAAGTTTTGCATCTTTGTTGAGCACATACTCTCTAGCTACCTCCTTTAATTAGCCACAAACAGGCCAAAAGACACAGACTTTCATTTGCAAATAGAGGCCTTGGGAGGAAGAGAACTTTCTTCAACTGGCATGCTAACCTTTGTTTTTTTTCTGTGTTGCTAGCCTTATGGTGATGCTGCTATTGTTTCTTCACACACACTACAATACAATACAATACAATACAATACAATACAATACAATACAATATAAATATGGAATGTTTAATTCACTTTCATACTTTTGAAAGCCATATATCATCTTGTGGCATTATGACTATTTAAATATCCTTACCTGTAGCTGACCAATTTATTACTTCCCCTTTATACATGTGCACAAGAATAAAAATGTGAACAAAACCCCCTTCAATATGCTTATTTAGCACAAAAAATAATAATCCAATTCCCTGTTGCACATTAGCAGTAAGAACAAGTTCTATACTTTCTAGTAGTTACAGATGGGCTTCTAAGACCATTTCTCCAGAGCTTGATGTGGGTGTGGGTTCATTATAGATGAAAACAAAACTGCGCAATACATCAAATGTGTTACAAGAAATCCCTGGCTCAGAAACATCTCTTCAGTGGGAAACACCTGACACACAATAAAAAGAAACTTCACAGAACTTTTGCAAACTTCTGTTCAGTGCACATGAATGCTCTCTGCATTCATTTCCATAGTGTACATGAAACCTCACCACACCACTACAGACAATATAGGCCGGTGTCTGTCCAAAACTTTAAGAATACATCAAAGTCCCTGTGTACATATTGGAAGTACTGAATTCAGATTCTGATATACAGCCTAAGTGTTAAAATGAATGAGGATTTCTTCACCATGCTTTTAGTGCATTTTGCAGCAAGCAAGGTGACCACACTGTGGATAATAATTTGAAAATGCACAGAAAATTTGTAAAGCATAAAGCATTAAACATTAATGCCAAAAGACGTAAAGTCAGCAACAGCAAAGCAGGAAAAGTAGCACTGAAAATATGCTTGTCTTTGGAATGATCCAAAGATCAACAACAAGAAAAAGCCGGCACCTTCTCAGAATAAATGTAACTATGTGGACTGAAACTAAGGCCCTGGTTGGTGGATATACCAAACTAATCCCAGCTAGCAAGAGTATCCAAATGGACCAAAAGTGGTATTTGAAGCAGCCTGGTTGTAGGCTATTTTTGTTGGCTTTGCAGGAAGTGGCAGCTATGGTGGGAAATAATGGCCATGATATAAATGGTCAAAATATGAGGCTGGTCAACCCAGCATTGGAGCAGCAAAGTTAGGACATATACAGTAAGTGTTTTTAACCACTCATGCAAAGCAAGCATGCAGGAATGACGCAGTATGTTCACCAACTGGAAAAGGCTTCACATTTAAAACAATTACCATGGCAGAGGTCTGCCACTCCTGGGCACTGTCTTCCCATGTAAATCAAGCCCTTTTCTCCACACCAAGTGGTGACATGAAGAATACCACCCAATCTGCACAGTAAGCTAGTGCATGCAAAAGGCTTCATCCATGGAGACTGTTGCTATGCGGATTGCTATTTAAAGAGGTCTGCAGAAACACAGCATCATACTGCATTCATATACATCTGTAATAAGACATCCTCACTCAATCCTCACCCTTTGGTTACATATTCCAAGGATACCCTTGTATCTGGAATACAGGGAAATGAGTGAAGTGTAGGACTGAAAACACATACCAAGCTCAAAACCAATGCACCAAGTCTTTTTGCAAGAAATACAGTACATCACTCTCCTTTATTTCCCTTCTACAATATTTTTCTTTCGGAGGGGGCAGTTGAACAATGAGGCAACTGAATGTGCTATCTGCTATATTGTCCCCATTTTACATGTTACTGAAATTACCAAATTTGTTTCTGAAACACAATAAGCTTTTCTATATAAGCAAGAGTAGTCAGACATTAACTTAACAATGCTTTCCCCCCGGCACTTGACAACCATTTCTGAAGAAGAGAAAATGTAGAGAAATAATGGCAACTGTGATTGTTATAGCTGAAAATCAGGAGAAACAGATCATTTGACTTTCAACAAGCATCAATCCATCTCTTTGCCATTATGAAAAGTAGAACACATGTGGCTATTAATTGCTGCAAACCACTAATTGTTCATGAAACAGAAGTCTTATAAACAGTATAAGTGTAGCCATGAATAACTTTACCTCACTTTCAGGTTTCCTTGCTGTGGTTGCCCATCATAAACAGACAAAATATCAAAATCTTCTTCAAGGGCAAACGTATGAAATGATAATTGTATCCTGTTACGCTCTCCTGTGATAATGATCCATGTGCAATTGGCATAATTTGGATAGCCATGAGGAAATCCTGGGCTTTCTATTGTACCATTTGGACCCTGTACTAACCCTCCACAGTTCTGACCTGAAAAACAAAGAGAAAGAGAGAGAGAGAATGAAAAAAAGTGAGAAAAGCTGTGCTTTCCAATTTTAATATTTCTTTTTACCTAGTTTTAAATGCATATATTTCTAATTATCATAGGAAACATGAAAAGAAATATTGAAAACTCAGCATTCCATGGCATGTATCAAACCATCTAACAGCATGTTTATTTGAACAGTCCTGCGTGAGATATCTAACAGATATTTTTCTTTAGTGTAACAGTAGCTGTTAGATTGTTTACAAGTTTCAGATTAATTTGTCCTTTTCTCCTGTACCCTTGAGTTACAGTAGGAGAATGTATTTTTTTATAAAAAAATTAAAGCTTCAGAACTTGCTTTCTGCAGTGGTGATAGAGATCTTAGCTATACAACTACGTTCAGATGCCTCTGTGAAGCGAGTGAAAATAGGAAATGTTGAACATCAAGTTAATATGTTTGCAGATGATGGTGCAAAATCCAATTGTTGTGCTTCAGTCTTTGAAAGAACATTTAGAACAGGCATGTCCAAAGTCCAGCCCGGGGGCCACTTGCAGCCCCCGGGCTAGTTTCAAACAGCCCCCCCGGCAATTTTGAAAAAGCAATCTCTTGCAGCCCCCGAGCGCCTGCCCACCAAAGCCATTTCATTTTTGCAGGCTCGTCACAAGTTCTCCCCTCTGTGCAGGGGGCGTGGCTAGCCCCCACACCATTAGGGAGTCCCCGGCTGCATCACTCCTTGGGTTGACCAATCTGGTCGGCTGGGAGGGTGTGGCTAAATAAATAAATAAGTAAATAAACACTACAGTACACGTTCGGGATGTTGATGCTGCAGCGATGGCAGTGGCAGAGGGGCGGCTGCCGCCTTGACCCAGTGACGGTTTTATGTATAGGCTAAGTAGGCTGAAGCCTAGGGCCTCGCCAGTCTGCCCGCTCCCCAGTGCCACAGTCTCCACTCTCCCAAAATTGTAAACCCAAGACTTCATGCAAGGACAGGGCAACTCAGGCCCAGCAGCTATGAGACTCAGGGCTAGCCAGTGGGGCCCAAGTTGAAGCAGTGGGGTGCAACTTGATTTTTTTTTTTTGTGGGGCCCCAGTTCACGGCCAAAGTCTGCAAAATCTTAAAGATATAAATAAAATCCATCTAGATTGCCCTGGTGAAGGGGCCCACTTAAGAGCGACACACGGGGCCCAATTAGGCCCAATTGCTCCAATAGCCTTAATGTCAGCCCTGATGAGACTGTGCAGGGGTTGGACTGACAAGCCCTGCACTTTCTAGGTCCCTGGTGTCACCATTCAGAGTACAGACTCAAGGACTTGTTATGGAAATAAAGGGGGGCACTTACTGGAAATCAGTTTTGTCACCTCTTCCCCCTCAAACCCCAAGACAATGAACCCAGCCACCTTTCATCCACAGTCGCATAAGCACTACACTACAGTATGGCCATAAACCTGTACGTTCAACTGCTGAAATACACACCCAATATGTAGCAATGGAGATTTATGTTACTGCATTATGAAGGAACACTGTGTTTATGAATGGACTCTGTATTTTGTGAATTACCTAAGAGCCACCAATAGGGACCTCTAGAATCTGACAGCTAACCAATTGGGTACTACCAAACAGCAACCCCTTTCACTGAAAGCAGGTAACCAGCAGGGAATGCTTCAGCTCAGCCTTTGCACTGTTGACTTAACACCCCCTGCTGTGCAGATAATGGTGAAAGCTCGTAAATTGTATCCCTTCTGGCATCCTGGCCAACTCTATTGCGCTGGTGTAAATCCTGGTCTGGGAAGAGTGAGGCATACAATGGGCACCACTAGTGAAAAGGCCCTGCTCCATGTAGCTCCTGCCCTGTCATTCAATAGAGTGCCCACTTGCCCTCCTTCTTGACATGGGATGCTCTCTATTGGAGTCTCCAGGTCCAGTACAAAGACCATAAGAAGGCAGAGCAGGGACCTTGAAGTTCCCAAAAGCTGTTAATCAAGCAAACAGGCAAGCAAGCAAGCACACAGGTCACCTTTGTCACAGTCAGGATGCCTTTGGCCTGGCCAGGCCTGCACCCAATCTTGTTTTTGTACAATCTTGTTTGTCCTCAGTAACCAAAATCATATTATCAACATATACAGTAAGAGCAGAAAAGTTGTTTTCCTTCATTGGCAAGGAATCATACAAAACAAAGTGGCACTAATAAAGAAAAGTTCCAGGGTGGCAACAGAAAGCAAACTAAAAATGCTTTTGCAGTTCATCAAAACTATCCAGCAATATCAATAGGAAAACTGGTGCTATTAACAGTAATCCTAGTTGGTTAGTTGGTTTGGCAACTTCCATGCACATGACGTGTAATGCTAATTATTTTCCCCAAGACTTAAATGATAACTAATCAGAGGCTACTACAGGAGAGCTATGAGAGTCAGGTGAGGATCCTTGTCAATCCCAGCAGGTATTTAAGAGGATGACTCGGACTGCCTGGGCCACAAAAGGTTTACAAAGTTCAGTTATTGCAAAAGTTTTTCAGTGTTAATTTTATGCATTTTTTTTTTAAATCACCATGATATTTAACAATACCCTCAGCTGGGAAGGGAGGCTTCACACTGCCTATCAGAGCAGCCCCGATCCCAACTCCTACTTGTGTGCATACATTCCATACACAGCCTATAGAACCCTATTTTATTTGACTTATTTGCAAGGCTGGACCCTGCCTGAGAAAATTTGGGGGCTGAGCTTCAGCACAAATTAAATCTTGAACATCTCTCTCCCCTGTCTCTCTAGTGCGACAGCTTCTCAAGCAATAACAGCCAGCGGGAATAAGTAATGTGGCTTGGTGTGATCACATTAATATTGCTAATGCTGAGTACGTTGTTCCTGGAATAGCCAAACCCCATGCTGGGACTTCAGTAAAACCTTAATTACCAAACTTCAAGCTTCAGTTTAGGTGCTAAAATGTTTGATGATGCCTTTAGTCAGGAGTGCTGCATTGTGCTAGTTGCGCTGTAGTGGACTCAGTGCTGGACTGGGAAGACCTGGGGTCTGAATTCTTTCTGAGGCAAGTTGATTCTTGGTTGGTGACCCTGAGCCAAGCACACACCCCTCTCATTCTAACCTACATCATGACATTTTTTGTGAGGAAGAAATGTTGGACATCCTTTCTTTTACGCACATTGCCCTTAGTTCTTAGGGGGAAAGTAGGATACCCATTTTAATAAATGAAAGTACTATTCAGGCTCTTGGGAGAAAAGCAATGACAAACCTAGACAGCATCTTAAAAAGCAGAGATATCACCTTGCCAACAAAGGTCTGTATAGTTAAAGCTATGGTTTTCCCAGTAGTGATGTATGGAAGTGAGAGCTGGACCATAAAGAAGGCCGAAGAATTGATGCTTTTGAATTATGGTGCTGGAGGAGACTCTTGAGAGTCCCATGGACTGCATGAAGATCAAACCTATCCATTCTGAAGGAAATCAGCCCTGAGTGCTCACTGGAAGGACAGACCCTGAAGCTTAGGCTCCAATACTTTGGGCACCTCATGAGAAGAGAAGACTCCCTGGAAAAGACCCTGATGTTGGGAAAGATTGAGGGCACAAGGAGAAGGGGACGACAGAGGATGAGATGGTTGGACAGCGTTCTCAAAGCTACTAGCATGAGTTTGACCAAACTGCGGGAGGTAGTGGAAGACAGGAGTGCCTGGTGTGCTCTGGTCCATGGGGTTACGAAGAGTCGGACACGACTAAACAACAACAACAACTATTCAGGCATACATTTTATGAACATGAAGGCTCAGACACCATATTTCAATGCAAAGTATAAGATGTTGACTTTTTAGCAGAAAGTGTTGATACTGGACTACAGTATGTGCATGGCCCCTAAATTAGGCAGTCAATAAAAGCCTCGTTTTCTAAAACTTCCAGTCACGACTGAATTCTAAGACTTTGCTCAGCAGGGCTTTGCTCCGAGATTGTATAGTATATACCCTGCAGAACCATATGAGGGCAGGCAGCTTATTAACAGGCAACCCCTTACCAAGTTGCCTTGATTTACGACAAACATTTTTTCTATCCATCTTGCTGAGCTCATTAATCCCACAAATACAGATATGCCGAATCTTAGAATTACACTGAGGCTTAAAAATCAATCTGTTTTGTAATGAATAAAATGTCTGCACAGAGAAAAGTTGGGAGGGGGGCGATGTTTTGTGCACAATGCTTAGGCTCTCACATGCAGTTTAGGCACAAATATAATCCCAATACTTGCTGTTATACCCAAAACAAAAAATTATTCCAGGCTACAATTTTTATTTTTATTTTAAAACTTCCTATGAATAGGTCTCTAAGTCTAAATCCTCTACTGAAATGCTGTCAAATGCTTGTGGGAGTTTCCAAATCTCAGCATAAAGGATTCAATAAAAAAAGGATTTGCAGGTTAAAACTAAGGACTAATAAGCAACCATTTTCTACTAAATTTAAATCAGCAACTCTAATGAATAGATATTAAAGCTGTGGGAATTCAGTAGGCCTTTAAAAAGAGAAGGATTTCCTAGCATATCTGCCAATTGTTCAAACCAAGCCATTATAATGCAGATACTGCCACATTTCTTTCCCTAAATGTAATGCCTTTTATAATTAAGTAGTTCCTAAAAATGTATTTATATCCTGTTAAACATAGCTTGAAGCAAGGGACGAGAACTCTCAGCTGGCAATAGGAAGCTGCAACAAGCTACATTATATGAATGCTTCCTTCTTGTTGCATAATGAGGAACGGAGTATTGCCACAGCAGAGTCAGCTCTCTTATTCTCTTTCTTCTAAAGCAGTGCTCCATGGTGTCTCCATGCACAGTGAATGCAAATACAGGGGAGAAGACTCATGGGAGCCAGTCATGCCCCGAGTGTTCTCTTGACCCTATCTGATCAGGTCAATGGCCCATCTAACCGAGCATCCCATTCTTACAGTGGCCTGCCAGATTTTTATGCGAAGCCCACAAGATCAACCTGAGCATAACTACACTCTGCTCAG